CCCTGCTATACTTATTTACCGATTTTGATAACATACTCGATATATCCCCGAAACAGAGAACAGAACACAAAAGCAACAACAAAAGCACTAATAACCTAAGATAGACTTTGTGACATTTCGCCTTAAAAAGGATCTATAATTACATGAAGCCATCCATACTCCCACTTTGGCAGATAATGTATTTCAAAATCCTATTTAATGTTGTTATTGTTCTTTTCTTAGAAAATCACGTGTGTCTTTTTATTTCTAGTTTAAGTAGTACGTAATTATTCATAAGCTAATGCATACCCGCGTACAAGGCTAGCCTTCTGCGGGTTTTCTACCATGTTTATTATTCTAAGATGTCATTTCTAGTTGTCTGCTTATAGTTTGGACAATAAACATTATCATTATTATTATTATTATATCTGCTATGAAATCACTATTCTCTATAAAATGATATATGGAAAATCTGCTGTGTTGTATCGCCAGCTGTTCAATGGTTGGGGTGGCTGATGATTTAGTCATTAGTAGCTCCTAAAAAGGATGTGCAACTAGTCCAAAACAAGCATAAGCATTCGATTGTCGCTTCTATTCGCTTGTCGCTGCCTGCTCGGGCATTTAAGGACCACTAGCCAATTTTGACGTCGCGGCCTGGTGTTTATTTTGAATGGGATCTGGATACACTTGACCGTTTTTGATGGCCCTTGTCACAGGATATTATTACCCACCGTACAGTAAATTAATCAAGAAACAAATTCAATTTTACATGATAAACCTTCTCTCTGTAATCTACATTGAGAAAATTTTGTCTGACACTGTACTTGTAGCGTGAGAAGTACATAGTTTCCGTCTAAATTCATGAGACGTCGCACAATATAGGGGCTTCCGAGGTATAACGTTCTTGGAACGCCTGGAATTTGGGTCAAATTTAAGTTCAGTAGTGATCAATGTTACTATAGGAGGAGCTTGGAATACCGACCGAAAATGTATTTAGTATGCACAAAGCGTTCTTCATGACTAATTTTGAACTTTGGCGATTCCGTAACTCAAGACCGTATATTGATGAGCTTACTGAATAATTTTAAATGATAGATGACTTCGCCGTATCCGAAAACTGTTAATCTTGAGAAAATATACAGAGTTAAGGCCTTCTGTTTCGGTACTAAATTTTTTACTGAATTTAGTATGCTAAATTTCGTACAAAATTAAGTGTCATACATCATTTACTACATAATTTTGTCTGAACTTTAGTGCAATATTTTTAGGACCTGTTCTACGGATATTCAGATGCATTATTTTATTAATTAATAAATCAATATGTTTATCATTATTAAAAAAAATAGAATGTAACACAACGAAAGCTCCAATAGACACCTTTCAAGCAGAATCAATATGACTTTGAGAAGACAACGTTTATTTTTGCAAAAACTAATAGCGTATATTTTTTTGCTCAACATGTTTATGTAAAGGGAGGCCGATATTTGTGAAATGAAATAAAATACGCCCATTTTTTCTATCTCAATCGTTTATTGAAACTTAGAAATTATGTATGAAAAATAATATCAAACAAATGGCCTCTAGAAGCCGCGCAAACCTAAGCCCTCTTGATTGCATATTTTCAGTCGCTTCCGTAATATTGTTTTAGCTACTCTACACTGTTTGGTTTGTTTGCATGAACCCAATTTTTCAAAAATGTTGACGTCACCAAATTGAGAAATTAAACGCCCCGGAAATATTGTTCGCAAAAGATTCATTGTTTCCCTAGCTATGTGACAAGTCGGTATGTCCTGCTTGAACCACATGTTTTGCAGGTTAAAGTCTTTTTTAATATAGTGCATAATGACATGCGACGAATACCTAATTCTTGAGAACGGTGTCTGGTAGACGTCTCAGGGCGCTCCACTACACTTTCACGAACTATCTCGATATTTTTCGAAGTACAAACACGGCCCAACCTTGGCAAGTCTTTAACTTCACCTGTTTCTTCAAATTTCCGCGCCAACTGACGAATGCTGTTGGCACTGGGCACATTATTTCGACCGAAATTTTGTCGTAGCTTCCGAATCGTTGCAACATTCGACTTCTTATTTAAGTAAAACGTTTTAACAATACGGACGCGTTGTGGGATCGTGTTGCGCTCCATGATGAATTGGACATATGTGCTTTAAACAACTACTGCGGCGCCACCTACTGAAATGCGTGTATAAAAAATGGTGCACAGTTATATATTATTATAGAAATTTCGGACCTATTTTTATATTATCGCTTGCTGCATCTGCTCATAAATTTTCCTGACAATATTCTGAAACTGTCTGTACATATTAAAGCAATGAGTACTGTTAAAGGCAATATTCTTGACGCTTTACCTTACTCAAAAATTATTATGACCACTTCAAAACACCTTTATCTTTAAAGTGACATGAACATATACAAGGAAGTGCTTATCCTCCGAGGAGTGGTGATTCGGCCCAGCTCTTATTGTATAAAACTCGACCAAGAACATTGCTTAGCTACGAGCCCCTTCCCACTTCAGTTGGCCCAACTATTGAAATCTTCGTTTTTTCTTATAAAACACAAATAATAAAAATGTTATAGGTTTAAAATATTGACAATGAATATTTTGATAATATATAGTAGAAAACACCAACATTATCACTCCCTAATCAAATTTGCAGCATAAAAATAACACATTGCAATTACAGCATATCAACCTATTTTCATATCAATGCAAAATAAGTCTATAACACATAGGTGGCTGCGAAAAATAAAAGCCATGACAATTGTTTTTATTAATCACAGCTGTCAGAATACGTTTAAAATAGTTTTGGGTAGTTAAGGTTTTCAAAATGGGTAGAGTAAAGTTTATTAGTGAGAAAATTCGGTTACTGATAATTAATTTTTTTAATTCTGGGAAATCAAACTCAGAAATTGCAACTTTGTTAGACTTATCGCGCTACAGAGTAAGAAATATTGTTAGAAGATATAACGTACTGGTTCAGTTAATATTAAGCCACGATATGTGAAAAAAAGTAATATCACAAATGCCGACCGAAGAGCATTAAGAAGAATAATCGTGAAAAACAGGCGTGCCAATTATTTACAATTAAGCGCTCTGTGGAGTGACGCTGTTGGAAGGAGAATTTCGAGGTCCACAACTCATAGAGAGACCCACAAACTGGGATTTAGCACTTGAAAGATAAGTTTTCTTATAAAAAAAAGTGAGGTAAAAACCCTAAAGTTGCACAACTTGTGTATAGGCCAAAGAAAAGCCACTATTAACTCCACTGCAAAACAAAAACCGGCTTAGATGGGCTAAAGAACATAGACAATCGACACCTCAACAATGGTGTGCCATACAATGGAGTGATGAGGCCCGATTCGAAGTTTGTGTTGGTGACAGTCGCAGTAGAGTTATTCGCAAAAAAAATGAAGCATTCCATGTTGACTGTCTGAAGAGAAAAGTGAAATTTCCAGCATCCATTATGGTCTGGGGCAGTATTTCATCAAAAGGAGTAGGAAAACTTCATTTTATTGATGGAAATGTGGATACAAACAAATATTTGGCAATTTAGAAGAATCGCTTTTACCAGTGATGAAAGAATGTTTGACATCCGGTCAAGATTTTGTGTTTCAGCAAGATGGTGCAGCGTGTCATACCTCAAAAAAGGCTATAAAATGGATGGAAGAAAATAATGTACCACTTTTGAAATGGGTTTCTAGAAGTTCAGATCTATCACCTATTGAAACTTTGTGGCACGAGATGAAAAAGGTTCTACGACAACATCCTGCTCGTACAATCACCGAACTGAGACAAAAGCTTCAAGAAATATGAGATAGTTTTACACCAAATTTTTGCCAAAACTTGGTTAACACTATGCCCCAAAGAATTTCAGCCGTAATAAAAAATAAGGTGATGTTACCCAAGGGTAATCTTTCAATTGTTGCTTTGTTAACTTCGCGCATTTATTCGCACATTGTTTATTTGTTCAGATGTTCTATTACTTATACGTCTTAAGTGATTTCAGATATGTATTTTTATGACTAGAGTGTATCTAAAATGTTTTTGAGAAAATAAATTGTTTTAGAAGTAAATAGTTTCGTCATGTTTAGTTTATAAAGATATTTTGGTACAAATCTTGAAGTGGGCCATCTGAAGTGATCAGGGACTCGTACAACGCCAGTAAAAACCGAATTTCGCGACTTCATCACTACGATAACGCAAAAATTCTTTAATACCCAACGAATACGCAGCTGGACGTATAATTCCAGATATCCTTGAAGACCTTGTGGATGTGTCTTTTCAACATATTATCGTTGTCCGACCGGCAAAATGCAAAAACGATTTAGGCCCAGAATGCTGTGACATTATACTTGAATAGCACCACAATAACCGTGTGCGGCTTTATAAAGCTTATGTAGTTTAGCATTGACTTACAATGTTAATATTGTTTTTCACGCCCGCGTTATGGTAAATACGAAAAAGTAACACTTTTATAGAGCTTAACATTTAAACTGATACGAAAAAAGCTTCTCAAGTTATTTCAACGTGGCCTTGCTCGACAAATTCGACTTTGAGGTCTCTATACAGTGTGTTTCAGAACTATGGGATCAAACTTGTGGGGTTATTCAGTGTAACAGTAGAAAACATTTGAGTATAGTTCTGAAACACCCTGTAGATTGGAACAAATTGACGGTCTTTGTAACTAATGAAACAACACTCTAAAAGTTTTGTAATTCCGGAAAACCTTTCTAACGTAACTACCCTGCTTTGAGCTATTCTTTAGATCGTATCTCTTCACCGTATTTCAGACCCGTCGGTAAAAGTTGAACTTGAAACTTTCCTATTAACAGAATTGCATAAAATACGCTTTTACAAAAATGTTTTATGCTTGAGTAATTATGAGCAATTCCGACAAAATGAGTTGTCTTTGGGAGAAGGTTTATATTCGGAGTATTTTCAATTATTAATGCGTCAAATATTACAGAAGGAATATTTCTGAAATCTGTTTCTTTTGTTGCAGATAATAACAACTAGGTCAAGATGTCATCTGTAAAAGTAGCTGTGAGAGTGAGACCGTTCAATAATAGAGAAATATCTAGGGAATGTAAATGTATTATACAGATGAGTGGCAACACTACAGGTACGTATCCTTTTACCATCTCTACTATCGTATTGTATTTGAGATCTATTTGCATAATGATTTAGTGTCCAAATAGAACTATCAAATTTTATTAAGTCTTAGGTAAAGAAAACTAAAACAGTAGTACTCGTGCATTTGTCTCTTAAAACACAAAATGAAAAATGTCTTTTTGTTTCCAAAATTTTGTAAAAAAAACAGACAATAAAACAAACAAATTTTGGCCTGTTGATCAACACTATTTGACGTCAGTTTAGACGGAAACCTAGTTTATTTTGAAGATTTCTATTGTACAAGTACTTGAACCCCGTTTAAAATTCTGTTCTGCTTTAAAAGCAAACTGGTTTAAATTTTCTATTCCTCATTGGTTATTGTTGTGACCGAAAAGCCTTACTATTAAGAGAGGAAATTGAAACATATGTGGTTTGATTCGGCAAGAGAAACATGGGTGATTATCAATATGAAACCAGAAGTTTCATATGTGACATTAAGTTTTCGTTCTAATGGAATTTTAAGATTCTCGAAAGAAATGATTTAGATGTTAACGATTACCGAATTCAGGGACGCGAGATATTGCCACAAAGTCAGTTTTTTATTCTTCTCTAGTGACCAAAATACCATAGTGTTTGTACTCGTACGACTTTGGTGTAGAGGGTCAGGTATATTTTTAGTATCTTGTATCCCAATAAGTGGACCTACAGCTAAAGGAATTATCTGCATTATTTTTGAATGCAATATCTACCATAGAAATATTTGTATTGTTACTATTTTTTGGATCACCTTATATTATGTATTTTGTTGGAATAATTTTTTAAGCAACATGAATTGGCAATCACAAAGATTCAATAAAGGTTGAGGATAAACACAAATAGTATCAGGCATTTCCATGTAGATTAGAAAAATCAGCTTACGGGCTTATTTTTTATTGGATTGCGTGCGAGATCCAAATGACTCATTTCTACCCTGAGCTTAATAAATATTTTTAGCCACGTGTTTATTTCTCTTTTATATTGCTGTACTTGTCTGATGCTACGATAGAACATAATTTATTTGGACGAAATAGTATTTTGTATCAAATAAAAGTATTGTATATCGAAAGCTCAAACTGCTTAGAACCTGAACGATTCAAGTATGCACATGTTACACAATGTCGTTAAGAGCACATTCAAATCGTGAAAATATAAAAAAGAAAAATCATATACAGTACACTATAACACGGGTCCGGAAATACTCCGTTTCCATTAACATTGTGTTTAGCGAAAAATTGTACGCCATTATTTTTGGTTGAAAAATGTTACTTGGAAAAAGTGCCTGCTCGATTACTGTTTTTAATAGCGAATACCAGATCGATGTACTGGTTAATAAAATGATTTTTGTTAAAGCGCGCGAGAATAAAAAACTTCATGGGACACATTTTAAGTAGAATCAATCTGACGTCAAGATACCAATTTTAGGCGTACTTCGTACTACTTTTTTGCTAAACCATGCCGAACGCCACTGATGTGAGTGTATTAAAAAGTACATCTATATATATATATATATATCAATTTGTTTTAGAGAAATGTAAGTATTTCCGGATCTATGTTCATATGAACTTTATTCATATTTTAATGCTCTGGATCTGCCTGATACCATTATGGACAAAAGTTTATAGACAAATATGAATATTTACCTAAATACCTTTGGAAAACGAATTCATACTTCATTGCTCCATAAACGAATGCGTTATTAGTAGAAAAACTAAATTCCTTGTTTTTACATTATCTCGAATGAACACAATATAAGTCTGAATATAAGCACTTTTGAGGGACAAAAATATGTAGACAAATTCTTTTCAACATTAGTTTAGTACGGTTTCGTCTCAGAAGAGGATTGGTTTGTGAGACAGATTGATGAATCTAATATCAAGAAACTTCTACAATCTATGCCGAGACGATGCCAGGCGGTGATTGATAATAATGGTTATGCTACAAAATGTTAACTCAAACATGGTTGGTTTTTATATTTCAATGAACTTTGCTTCTTTTTTCTATAATTGTTTTGTTTTGTCTATATATTTTTGTCCTTCATAGTTCCAGCTTTTTTCAATTAATTTTTTATTGAAGTCGAATGAATTTATTTATGCGTAAGTGAGTATTATTCTATAACGAATGATGTATATAGGTTGGTGTATTAATAAAACAAGTTAAAAAAAGTAATACAGCACAGTATTCATTTGTCTATATACTTTTGTCCATTACTGTATGTTTGAATCTTATAAATTGCATTGAAGTACTGAAACCACGGAAAATATACAGCAGTGCACTGAAGCTTTACTTTCAATAGTTTACAATAAAATTGTCCATTAATTGATGAACTCTTTTCCAGCAATCACAAATCCAAAAGCAGAAACTAACTCGAAAGAAGCTCAAAAAAGTTTTAATTTTGACTACTCATACTGGTCACATGATGTAAGTATATCTCAAATCTAAAATGTAGCTTTATACTATATCGATTTATTGCTAGTCGCTAATTTTGGCGCTGAACATGCCGGGTCTTCTGAACGTTGGGACATTCCTTTTCAGAAAGAGCTACGATTAAAGTAACAAAACTAATATCCGGTAAAACAGCAGCAAAAAGTAAGAAAATGGCATCAAGTAGGTTGACTCTGGACGCAACGCTGTCATCCGTTTATAAAGGATTATGTTGGGTACAAGTTAGCCCCTCAGAGAAAAATTCAGCTAGTTATCGTTGCGATCTAGAAACATCTCCCCTCTCCTACCGTCAGTACCATCCATCTTCCAGCGTTGTTATGACTTATCTCGCCACCCGTCCGTCAGACGTATACACTGAGAACCAAATTTGAGTAATGTGTACGAGAGAGAAGTGTGTATTGACACATATGCTAGAAAGAGAGATAGAAGTCGCGTCGGCTGGACAGCGAAGCTCATCACCGCGTTGCCTAGCAACGCTGACGCGGCTAACTGCCACGTTGTCAGTTCCCTGAATTAAGATGAATGTTGAAAATATGCTTATTCTCTTCGCCCAAGTAATGGTATTATTTTGGGCATACGCATATTTGAATTGTGAATTGTGTCGAATCTGTTCAGGATCGATTCCGGATCGGTCCTAATGACGGTTCATTTTAGGTCGAAATGAAAGGTCAGGATTGCCACAAATTCTGCTACATTGCATCATTGGTTCGCTTGGCAACACCGCATCTCGTACATTCCAAGGCAAGGTTTCCACTTCCATGATCACAGATGAGAGATTTGCCATAGTCGTCCAAATTTCATCAAAATTCGACCGGTATTTTCCAAGCTATAGCGGGGCTAAGGATTAAGATTAGTTTTCCGTGAGGTTCATGACATAATATAACATCTAAAAACTTGTTATCCCATTTTGGAAATTGTTCGCGATTACAATACCTAGACCTTCTACTATAAACATAGGTAGCATCTTGAATGTTTTTTTCAAACCCGACTTATAAACAAAGAATTCGGCTTACCTACATGGCTGCGGTGCCTGGGTTAGATACGCACTTCTATCTTTTTGACTAACTTTTTTCTGCGTGTCCGAATTTGATCTCGCAGATTTTTTTAGAAGTACCTCGGTTACGTTAAAACTTTGGCGAATGTATTACTGGAATATTTCGTCATTTTTACAAAAGTAGACGCTGTTTAATGGAAGGTATCAACTTTAAGAACACCCGGTATTCTATTAACTGCATTGATGCTGTGTAACTATACCTTCATTATAATTGATGTATAGGAAACCGATCCAGCCTTTTCTTCCCAACTGGTTGTCTACAAAGACATCGGCGAGGAGATGCTCCAACACTCGTTCGATGGTTACAATGTGTGCATATTCGCGTACGGTCAAACGGGCGCGGGCAAGTCCTACACGATGATGGGCAAACAGGAGGATGGCCAAGAAGGGATAATTCCACAGATCTGCAAGGATCTGTTCAGGAAGATTCGAGAGAATAGCTTCGATGTGAAATATTCGGTTGAGGTCAGCTACATGGAGATCTACTGCGAGAGGGTTAGGGATTTGCTCAATCCGAAGAACAAGGGTGAGTTATCAATGCGACGTTTTCAACATCGTGTTTGTTTGTTTGTTGAAGATTTATTTGGCATTAATTTTACAATGTCAATTTTGTATAATTATTCGTCTATTAAAATTACATCACTATGCATTTTGGGTATTCATTCACCCTAAACATTTTTAAATTCGAACACTGTTTAATATTTATTAAATTATATTTATTTAATTTGAATACTCCCTTTTGAAATACAGATTTGCTAGTTATGCTACTATTACAATTTCTTAGATAAAAATGTCTCTAGTTTCGTAGTTATGATAATGACTATTTAATTTTGTGTTTTCTAAATGTGGTGGTAATAAATGATTTTATTTGAATATGAAAATTAAATATGAAATTCTTCACATTCAGCCACTGTAGTTCTTCTAGCGTAAACTTGATCCTAACATATTTGTTTTTATTTAAAATGATTGTCATAGCTTTATTTTGTAGAATTTTTTATTTTGAAAATATGATTTCATTTGCTGTACACAAGACGGTTGAACAATATAAACAATGGGAAAGAATTATGGTGTTATATACATATTTTATATATTATATATATATATATATATACTGAGATTATGAGAAACTCTATAGAAGTAATTTACCTTTTTCTGATATTTTTGCAATAATGTACATATTCATAATGTTCCTAAAACAGTAGTTCACTATCCACATATATACCCAGATATTTAAATGATTAATCATGAGCCTAATTGTATTGTCACCAAAATGTTTCCCTATTGGCATACATTTTGTTTTATGAGTGTTTAATTTAGGTTTATTCACATTTAACCAATTCATAATTTTTTTAATGTAACGATTTAACAGATCTAAAGCAGTGTCCAAATACCTATGTGATATATACAGGGTGACTTTGAAGTTGAGTCATTAATTTTCAGATAATGATTGTAGAAGGAAGATAAACCAAAATATGTGTGTAAAAATAAAAAAAAAATTAAAAAAAAATTTTACCTTGTTTTATAAAGTATCCTCCCGACAAGTATTTCAGTGCGGACCTGTATTTGATCGTGAGGTCCCCTGTGAGGTCTTAAGTCACCTGATTCACGAGCCCGTTGTACTACATTAACAAAGGCACGAGGGGTTGGTTGCACTCGATTGGGAAACCGATCCGCATAAACATGTGCCATTTTTTATTTCGTTTGAGCCACGCAACAGACACTATTCACACGCGACTGACACTGACTGTATGTATAACTGAACTGAATAACATAATTGTAAAAACATCGTTCCAAATTCCTTCGCTTTTTTGTTTCCGATGCGATGAACCGATAAGGCGGATCATATCCGTTGTTGCCAAACACGAGCACATGATATTATTGAGACAGGGCGGTACTCAAACTTCCAAAGGGCTATAACTTTGTTACTTTAATTTTACCAGAAAAATGGTAAAGGAAAAAAACATTTCTTTTGATCAGATCTACTCACTGTTAAAATAAATGACTCAACTTCGAAGTCACCCTCACCTATATATATATAATCAATGTATCGTTCGCAAATATTTGAATTTCGCAGTATTTTCTAAAATGTCATAGATATCATTCATTTAAATAATAAATAGTAACGGCCCTAATTTACTCCTCTGTGGCACCCCTCCTGATATATTTTGAACGCTTGACATAATATTCCCAACTTTAGTTCTTTAACTTCTATTTACTAAATAATTTTATAAAATGTTCAATACTGATCCTTTAAAAACCAGTGATGCAATATCATTAACAATTTTTCCCTAAATATAGTCTCAAAAGCCCTTTTTTACATTCTTTCTCAGTTATACTTCTTCTCCAGTCTTCCACTACCTTTTGGATTGCTATTTCTGTAGAATATTTTTTTTTTAAATCTAGCTTGATTTTTTGTCATAATTTTGTGTTCTTCAATGGATTCAATGATTTGTTCGTATATTATCCTCTCGAACAGCTTCTCGACATCTGACAAGACATTAATCGGTCGCATATCTGTATACAGCTCAGAATATTGAACTTTTGGCACAGGAGTAATGGTGGAACACTTTAATTTTGATGGAAATTCATCATGTGCTAAACAGTGATTCACCAATAATAATAATGTCTCTCCAATCATATTGAAACAATCATTTAGAATCTTTTTGAGAGATTCTCTCTTGGATTTCAATTCTGAGATAGCTTTTCTTAGATTGTTGATGTTGACTGTCCTAAATTGATTCATTGATGAATTATGATATACTTGTAATGGACATAAGTTTGGATCACCGTCATCAATCGCCTTCACTATTTGATTTACTCTTTCTATAAAATAAGTGTTCATTCTTTCTGCTATAATTATTTTTTGTGTCACTACTCCATCTTCCACGATGTTCTTTAATGTTTTCCATATCTTTCTAGAATTATTTTTATTGCTATCCATCTTCTACTCATGGTATTTTTTCTTTTCCCTCCTGAGAACTGCTACTCACTTGTTGATTTTGTATACTGTTTCCAATCATTTTCACTTTCAATTTTCGGTAGACTTCATCGCGTTTTACTTTAGACTCCTTGAATTATTGATAATTTCAGGTATATTGTGCTGTAAAAGTGTTTCTTTAACTTTATGAAATCAATGTTTGTAATTTCTTCCATTTTATTTTCATTGAACATATTTTCCACTTATACCCATGAGTGACTACTTATTTTTGGAGTATGCTTAACTTCAGCAATTAGATTTTGTTCATTAGTTATGAGCAAATCTATTTTTGTTCATTAGTTATGAGCAAATCTATTTTTGTTTTTGAAAAGTTCGTAATCCTGGTATCGTCATCTATTTTCTGCTGATGATACATAGAAGTTTAGTACTTGTTTAAATTTTCTACTAGAAATCTTTACTGTCAAAATTGATATTGCAGTCTCCTATATGTACATTTGCGCAATTCTTGTACTTTCAAAAAATTCAATAAATCGATTTAACTTGGAGATTGGTAGTAAATATACAGATTGTATCCTTATTTCCAGATTGATGTACCACCATTGATATTCAACAACTTCAATGTTCTGTACTTTATCGAGATATATTTACTTTTACTCTCTTTTCATTGAAAACATTCACTTTTCTCACTACTTTTTTTTGAAAATCTCATTCATGCTTTGTGCAGCCAGTACCCATGTCTTGAATCAGAAATTGGACCAAAAAGTCCCTAGAATGACGGAACAGGAGGTCAAGTCAAAGACAGGCAAAATAGTTCATTTAGAGGGGACCTAGTCCGATTTAATAGGGAAGCCATAAAGGTCATAGGGCGATGCATCCCCTGTGCCACTGCGAAGGCCTGGCAAGGCTACGCTTCCAGATATTATTAATCTAACAGCGGAAAGCTACATGCAAAGCCCTATGTCAAGCTACTGAGTCTCATTAAAGGATCAATGCTAGACTCAGTACCTTAGACATGGGGGTCACAATTGATCAGGATGGGCTAGCAAGCAAACCCCTTTTCTGTGCCAGGTGTCAGAAACAGAGTGTATCTGCTTGAACTCCGTTGAATTTTCTTTTCAGGTAATCTGAGGGTACGAGAGCATCCTCTCCTAGGTCCCTACGTGGAAGACCTCAGCAAACTAGCTGTGATGAGCTACGAGGATATTCACGACCTTATTGATGAAGGGAACAAAGCAAGAACTGTCGCTGCAACCAACATGAACGAGACTAGTTCTAGGTCACATGCTGTATTCACCATTTTCTTCACGCAACAAAAGTAAGAGAAACTATACTGTGATTTTCTGTGCTTATTTTTTGAACGAGTCAAGCTAGGGATTTGAAATTCGGGATGATGAAGTTGATCAATTTTATCATGAAAATAACAGTTGAAAATTTCAATTTGGGCGCTATTCACCAACTTGTAACATTTTATAAATGTCCTGTGATACCTTACGTAGGCATTGAAGTTGTTCTAGTAGTCATTCGGTATTCTTTTCTTTACAGAGTCGACGAAACAACGGGTTTATCAACGGAAAAAGTATCGAAAATCTCCCTAGTCGACTTAGCCGGCTCCGAAAGAGCTGACTCCACAGGTGCCAAAGGTACTAGGTTGAAAGAGGGTGCGAACATCAATAAGAGCCTAACAACATTGGGGAAGGTCATTTCTGCTTTAGCTGAAGTGGTAAGAAATATATATAGAAATTTAACAATTTTTCAATTACTAATATATTTCTTGAATTTATTTTCATTGCGAATTTTGGATGATTAGTCGGTAAGTAATAATAATAAAGTTTTTGAATGAGTTTATTGAAAACGCGTTTTAGTAGTTTCAGATACGGTTAAATTATTAAATGATGTTTGATCGAGTTTTCGACTATAAGACGCATAAACTTGTCTTTTGCTAACTTGGTTGAATGAATTGCTAATATTTCTATATATTTGTTTGTACTTAGGCTACTAAGAACAAGAAGTCAAAGAAGGCTGACTTCATACCATACAGAGACTCCGTATTAACGTGGCTGCTTCGAGAGAATTTAGGTGGTAACAGCAAGACAGCGATGATAGCTGCTATTTCGCCCGCTGACATCAATTATGATGAAACTTTATCCACCCTTAGGTATGTTATTTATTTTTCTTATTTTTAAAGAGAAGGTCTTAGATACTCTTGCCATTTCTCTGTATGTTTAAGATAAGTTTAAAACAGGCTTTTTATTTTCTCGGCCTTAAGTTATTAAGTGGGAAATATGGCTGTGAATTGCATTTAACAATTGTTGATTGATTCCAGATACGCTGATAGAGCTAAGCAAATCGTCTGCAAAGCCATTGTTAACGAAGATGCGAATGCTAAGCTTATTAGAGAGCTTAAGGAAGAAATTCAGAAACTTAGGGAACTACTCAAGCAAGAAGGAATTGAAGTTCATGAAGGTTAGTTACTATATTTCGATCCTTGAAAGGATACGAATGATTAAGTGGGATAGATAGAAATTATAGTCTAGGGAAAAATTGTTGGCGACTTTGTCTAACCCCTTGCTGCTTTTTATACATGGTGGTCTTTGAGTGCGTTCAAATGTTGGGAAATATTGGTTTGTCTCTGTAACTACGTCAATACTTCGTATTTTGCTTTTTAAAAATATTCACTTTTTCCTTTAAACAAGCTAATATTTCAACATACTTACGGACCACCTTTCAGTTCGACTTTACCTGATTCAAAATATTGTTTCGTTGTACAATTTTATGTACAGTATAATTTCTTGTTATACAAGGTGCGGCAGTATAACTTCCTTTTTCGAAAACTTAATAAAAACCATTGTAGGAATCAGCACATTTTGATTTGTTTTTATAATGTGGGCTAAGGTATCCCAGCCTATGAGAGCAAACAAATTTTTATTCGAATTCAAAAAATGAATACTATTGCGATCGGGGAACGGTCAAACTTTGAATTTGAAAATTAATATGGGAACCATGTATGGGTTTCAAAACCTAATTTTTATTCGACAAATAGAATACTCCTTTATTTGTATTTTATATTTCTGAGATATTTATGTTCTTGTATGCAACGTAATAAAAATTGTTTTTGTTCCTCATCAGTAGTGATTAAGCCATGGAAGTCTTGCATTAACTTGACTGCTCTTTCTGCCGTATCGTTATCTGCTCTTAGGGTTTGAACCTTATTCTTAGCGGGTTGAAAGGAGGTGGCCATGAAGCTAGACACTCGTCGAGAAAACATCAATTTTGAGTCGAGTGAACAAGGTCTTGCTTTTTATTGAAACTAAGTCATCGATATGTTTCTCTGAAATGAAAAAAACGAAGAATAGTAATAAAAATACTGACTTTGTCTGTCCGACCATGGGCAGATATACTAAGTGACATATAAATCCGAACACCCAGTTTAAATGGTTTTATTTTAATAAAATTTTGTATAAGTACTTAATGAAGCATAATAAGTAAATGATAAAAATTTCAAAATGATTGCACTGCTTTAAAGCCCTTTGACCTTTAATAATGTGTGGATGCACCCTGATGTGCTACGCATTCTCCAACGTGCCTAGGCATGCTTCTGATCAGGTGGTCAATGTCCTCCTGTGGTATCTCATTCCAGGCAACCACCAACTCCTCTCGAAGTGCTTCTAGAGTCTGAGGAGGACGTTGTAAATTGAGCAATCTCCTACCCATCATATCCCACACGTGCTCAATTGGGGCTAAGTCGGGAGATCTTGGTGGCCATGGTAACAATGTGACATCATTATGTTGAAAGAAATCTATTGTGACTCTTGAAACATGTGGTCGGGCATTATCTTGTTGGATCTGCCAGGGTGTCAAGATAGGGTAAAAGATGGGGTTCTAGAACTTCGTGGATATAACGCTGCGCGTTCATGTTACCTCTGATGAAGATTAAAGGTGACCTGGAACCATAAGCTATAGCACCCCAAACCATAACTACAACAGTGTGATGAACATGTCTTTCAACAAAAAACTGTAGATTCCTCCTTTCACCACGTCGCCTTCTAACCCTGGCACGACCATCGTGCATGCCTAAAGAAAATCGAGACTCGTCACTAAAGACAATACTGTTCCATTCCTGATCCCAGAGTGACCGTTGTCTGCACCACTCAAGGCGATTACGTCGGTGTTCTCGAGTTAAAGGGAGGACCCAGTGTGGCCGGTATGAAAACAATCCAAAACTTCTCATTCGTCGGTAAACACTTCGCATGCCAATAGGTCTTCCGTGTTCTGCAAACCATTCATTTGCAATGGACCTGGTAGTGGAGAAACGGTCCCTTAAGGCCAATAATCTTAGGCGGCGACCTTCACGGTCTGTTGTTCTACGGCGGCGTCCAGTGCCCCTTCCTCTTTGCGTACGGCCTTCTCAAAGCCATGCCTGACAACACCTAACCACAGTGTCTACACTTCTTTGCACTCTAACTGCAATTGCCCGAAAATAAAGTCCAGCTTCCCGAAGTCCCACTATACGGCCCCTATCAAACTTACTAAGTTGACGAAATCGTTCAGGTCTCCGTACTCTAGGCATCGTAACCGATCGTAAAGGATGTCAAGAACCAAAATCCGCCAACGTTGATTCTTTACTGCGGCTGAAATATCCATTTTTAGAGCGTTAGTGAATTAAAAAAAAAGCAGTATAAAAACCGGAATGTCCAACTGATAAGGCTGAAAATTTTTTCACTTGTTATTTACAGTAAGATAAATACATTCACCAACTTTTATTAAAATAAAACCATTTAAACTGGCTGTTCGGATTTATATGTCACTTAGTATATTTTATACTTTTGGCAACTCATCAGCATTCCCTAGGCTTGGACTTACATCAGGATAATGTACGAAAGCATAGCAACTAACCTCTATCTGAGTACCGAAACAAAACAGTATAAGGTGCCATCTTTTGACAGAATCGCAGTTTATGTTGGCTTATTTTAACAGTTATACAGCATATTATATCGAAGCAGTACATGAAGACAAAGGAAAATTTATTCGACAGACTTGCCGTAAAGTGGGCCAGAAAGTTCTTCTTTTGATAGAATGTAGCGGTTACCGTGCTTTTATGAACTTTCTTTGGCTGAATTAGCAACAATTTTTACTTTAGTTTCCTCATCATTCATCGGCGTCAAACAGAGACCTCATCTGTCAAATACCAAGTGTTGGCAGAACTTTTTTATGAAGCTGCTTTTGAAATAGTTTTGTTTATTCCTTCGTAAGGCTTGATTTCCTTTAAAAACCATAAATCCTGGTTAGGTGCTTTTACCGCTATAGTTCATTGCAACCACGGTTTCACGTATGTTGTCACGATGAACCGGCAGATATCTAACAAAGCTGCCGTATCCTTATTAGAAAGTTTGAGCTGGGAACTTAATGAATAGGTCGCTCTGGCCATCCATCGAGTTTGATGAATGATATTACAGAAAGTTATATTAATTCTGGATAGTCGTATCAAGCAACTTCTTTGGTCAATTCATGTCGATAAAATTCTAGCAGCTTGTCGAAATATTCAGGCATGATAGCTTTCCAGTATTAATCTGTATTTTCTCCACACTTTTCCAACTCTCACGAAACTTTTTAAATATTGGAATCTTAGGGCTTGTAGTCACTTGGTCGGTCATTGATTCAAACACGCCTTTTAACACCAATTCATAGACGTGATGGTTGCAAGCAAAAATAGCATTTCTTTATTAAGGTTCTGTTCGAAAAGCTCGCATTTGAAGGAGTAGTATCACAACAAGGCATCTGAACTTTATCTTCAAGATTCCAGTCAATAATAGCATCCCAAACTGCCTGAGCCTGCTCGCTGCCTGAAGAGGTATCCAATTTGGACACAGCGATAAGTTGCTCTTTAGTTTCATCCGTTATAACAATCAGTAGTCGTTCTTCTGTAGACTTGCTTGCATTTAAAGGTGACAATTATTTGACATCCCAGTGGACAGTTTACAGTATCCGGTACCTCACATTTTATAGCTTCTGCGCGCTCTTTTCGCTTTCCGGTACGAATTCTTTGAGTGTTATGTCCAAGTTCCTCAATGGTTGCTTCAATAATAAAAACATCATTTCTCATACTTAACTCACACCTATCTTATGCTGCGACTAATTTTGGAGTTATAAAACTTTTCCTTATTTGAGTTTGATTAGTGTCAGGCTGTATGTTCTGACTTGGGATAGGACAAAGTTTCTTGAAGATCTATCTCGGAATTAATTATCTTACACTGGTTCGTAAGATGATGCTGTAGGACTTAAGGAAGCAACATAGTTAGCTCGTTGCTTTTGTTCTTCGGTCTTCCTAACACGCGCATTTTCTTCTTTAATGGCTAATTCCTTGTCCACCCCAGCTAAATGACCAGGTCGACCTGTCTCGGCACGGGTTGCCCTGGTTCTAGGTACATAAAACTTTATTTACAATAGTTTTGACATTATTCAAGCAAACTTAGAGCGTTTGAAAAAAAGAACATGCCTAAAGTTTTGTTTTACATAGTTTTGAAGTTCAAATCAGATAGGTGACGGTCCCCATTCTCCACACAGTGAGTAAACCGATTTCTGGAGTTTGTCATGACTCAGTAGCCAGTAGAGCAGGCGTTATGTTGGCAATTTGTTCCTTGATGTTGGTCTTCAAATCTTCTGGGGTCCTTGGACAGTTCAGATAAACTCGAATTTCCAAATAACCCATAAATAAAGATCACAAGGGGCCAAATCGCCACTAATTGAGATGAGACGCTCTGCGAAGTGTTCCCTCCAAACAGCCATCGATGCTCTTGAAGTGAGTGCCGCTACACGCTACGTCTTAATGGAACCAAAAGTCCCCTAAGTCTTTAGCTGTGGAAAAAATGACTGTAACACGTTTACATACCGGTCCGAATTCACTGTCACTGCGACATCATTTTCCTCAAAGAACCAGGAACCAATCCTTCCAGCTGAGGGAATTGGACGCTACACTGTGACTTTAGTTGAATGGAAAGGCCTTTGGTGCAATTCTCGAGGACTGATGTCAGTCCAATAGCGCATATTTTGTTCGTTGGCGAATCCACACAAAAGAAAACAATATCGTCCTCAGGAACGACATGGAGAAGACGTTCATCCGAGAATTGGTGTCACGTTAAGAAATCTCCTTCACAATTGCCATATTGTAAGGATGGAAATGAAGATCTTCATGAAGAATTCTCGTCACTGAACGATCAGAAAATCCAAGTGCAGACGCATATTTGCGCGAACAACGCCGTGGTGATCGCAGCATTGAATCTCTCCCTGACTCATTGTTTTAAGGTGATCTAATGTGCCGAGGGACTCAAGGTCTTCGTCTTACAGCGCTTGTTGTTCGTCTACTCACGTAACAATTGATTTCCAGTCCGGGACATGGGCTAAATTAGAGCGATTCCGAAAGGCGCTCGGATTGCGATCACAGAACATCCGCTCTAAAAGTAGGCCTCAACGGCAAAAGCACGTTTCTCACTGTACCAGCGCATGATGGCGACTGAACTGTGTCGGGACAAAACTTTATAGTCCTGCCCCGCTTGCACATCATCCGACTGAATGGTACGCATTTTAAAAAAGGAAGTTATGCTGCCGCAGGCAGTACTCAAACCCATACACGTGTTGTATAGCAGGAAATGTATAAATATAGATACTAGTAAAGACTAGAGGCTGATAGTATTTTTAAAACTTTTGCCGCTAATAACGCAGGGCCAGATGGTAAAGTAATGTATGAAAAGAAGGAGATTCCTAGTAAGTAACTGCTTGAGAAACTAAGGCTTCTGGCAACCATTTTTAAACGTTGAAGGTGATGTGGTTATTAAAAAATTGTATCAGATCAGAAAACGCAAAACATACAACCAAAAAGTAATATTTCTTCAACTTGAGTCAAGTTGACGTTTTTTTTTTTTTTAAAAATGGTTTAGATGATTGTGGCAGAGAACATCGGTTTTTAATAACCACATCTGAGATATCAGCCTTTGTTGGCCTGTTTGTGTTGACCACCTTTGTTTGTATATCAATGTCAGTCTTTATCAACGCTTATACGTCACACTCACGCCCTAGTTGTATTGTCTGATTTTAAAATGCTACAGTCACAATTGAACCCTGTAATCATTTGATTCCATGACACATCCGTTTAGCGTTGATTGAAGTTTTCGATGCGATTGACTTATTATCGTATTGGTATAAATACTCATATATGCATATCGTACGACATTGGTGGCGTCTTCCTGTACATCTGAGCTTTGTATGATTGCTCTCTAGATATGTATGATTTGAATTTTGGGTGATAAGTCAATGCTAAAAGCAGTATATTCACAACTTCATCGAACAATTTCGTCATATGGATGTTTCAAGTAACTAATTACTTATACACTCATAACACAAATAGTTTTATATGCATACATTCACATCACTACTGTTTATCAATTATTGTAGTATTCTCATTGTAACTACTTCTATCAACTCAAGTTTTACGTCGTTGTCTTTACTCGGATGCAAAAAAGGTGGCGTGGTGTAGAAAAGGTCGTTGGCGCCAAAGGGGGGAGGGTACCCGCCTTTTCACTTTTTGAAATCTCACCCAGCTAGGCTTGTTGCGAATAAAAAGACATGCTCTTTCCCTTTTTTGATTTACTTAGGTGATTCAGAAAATGTTTTATTGAATCACGATTTTTTTAGTTCTGATGACGTTAAATTAAAGGTGTTCGAAGCGAGCCTGAAACATTTTCTGAAAAATTCTTGACGTAAAATGCAATTTTTACAAATTGACTAATTTTAATATGTTTTGAATGCCTATTTAGCCATGCTATGACGAAAAGAATATATGTAATGTGCCCTTAGTAGATCTACCCCGATACATTTTTTCATAATGTTTGGGGTTGAAAAAATTCAAAATAATTTATTTCGCCAATTGTTCGATATTTTTGTAGGAAAAACTTTAAATTTTATTCCTTTTTCTATTTTTCTGAATGAAGGTTTCAAATAAGTTATGTACTGAAAATATTCAAGATGAACATTTTTTAAATTGCCTCTTATTTCTTAGTAAATGAATGCTCAAGCTGGTCCATCTCAATTTTTTTAACTCCAAAAGTTATTTAGGGCCTCTCATTATTCATAAAATAAAAAAAAATTAAATTGAAAGTTCTTTATAAAAACTATCGAAAAAAATTGATTATGACATTTTTGACCCCCTATTACTTCCCAAAAAGTATGAAACAATTCTTGAAGGTAGATATACTAAAGACACATCACATGTATTGGTGCAAGCAAAACCAGAAAATCTTCTAATGCGGCTGAGAAATTTGAAAAAACGGCAGTCTTCGTGATTCAGAAAATCGGTTTCTGAAACACCTAAAGTAAATTAAAAGAGAGATACGTACGTCTTTTTATTCGCAACAAGTCCAGCTGGGTGAGATTTCAAAAAGTGAATAGCCAATCACCGCCCCTTTTTTGCGCCAAGGCCTGTGAGGAAACTGATTACAGTTATTGGATAATTTTATGAATCAGATATGAACTATACGTATTTTTAGATACGGTTAACATTCTTTTTAAAAATTTTGAAATCATATTTGAGCTTCAAGAATGTTTTGTGGAAAAAAACAATTTAATTATACAAGCAGTATCCCGCTCAAAGCTTAAGCTTTGCTTACATGCGATTTTTTTCGCTGAACTATCGTTCAACTAATATTGGTGTGAAATTATTTTCCAAATTTGTAAAGCATTTTGCTTTCAGCTTTCGAATCATTCTTAAAACATGTCTACAAATAACGTATTTATTTATCTTATAGGAGTTGAAGTTGAGTCAATATCCAAGCACAATAACAACAATAAGGAAATTGAAAGGTCCCGCTCCCAATCCACCACTATCGCTGAAGAAGCTGTTGACCAGCTTCAAGCCAGCGAAAAACTAATTGCAGGTAAAAAATCATTCAAAGGATATTTTGTTGTTGTGCACCTTTAAAAATTCTTAACCAAGTGCATACATGGCCTCAGAATTTTTTTTATTCAAACTGCAAATGACCTTCAGGTGACCTTCAATAACCAAATCATGATTATGTTCAAGGTTACCAAATCAAATTTGCATATCTGCGTATAATCATACATGTACTTTTGACTTTTGGTCGAGCAAACTCAACCTCAAAACTATTTTTCCATAGAGTTGAACGAGACGTGGGAGGAGAAGCTAAAAAAGACCGAGCAGATTCGAATACAGCGCGAGGCGGTCTTCGCTGAAATGGGCGTGGCCGTGAAAGAAGACGGAAATACGGTGGGCGTGTTTTCGCCAAAATGCACGCCGCATCTTGTTAACCTTAACGAGGATCCCTTCATGTCAGAATGCTTGATTTATTACATCAAGGTAAGAGCCTAAAATAACCTCTCAAGGATGCTTTGCGATACAAATAGCTTTGTGAGCTTCCTGCCATACCCGTCCAACTCTAAGATAGAATTTTGTTTGTTTGTTTGTTTGTTTAAGATTTATTTAGCATGATTTATACTATTACATTCTTCCAAAAAACTAAACAATTACATAACATACACATATTTTCAAAAAAAAATTGCATCTCTATGAATTTTCAATTTCCATGAAATATTCATTTAATTGTCTTTTGAATATCTTTAATTTACAAGTAGACTTATATCATTATTTAGTTTATTAAATTCAAGAAATCCTTTGTGAAATATTGATTTTCTAGTTAAATTGCTATTACAATTTTTTAAATGAAAATCTATATTTCCTCTTGTATAATAATTGTATTAATGATTCAATTCTATGTAGTGTTCTAAATGTTCTGGCAAGAGATGTTTTTCATTTTAAATATAAAAATAAGAACCAAATATGATATGAAATTTTATTGCAATTCTTGTAACATAGATTTTATTTTGGTGTACTTATTTTTATTCAATATTATTCTCATAGCTTTATTTTGCAAGACTTGTAATTTTGAGAATACAGCTTTATTGGCAGTGAACAAGATAGTTGAACAATATAGTAAATGCGGTAGAATAATTGTATTATAAACTATTTTCTTGGATTAGGTACCAAGACTATGCAAAGCTCTATAAAAGTAATTTGTTTTTTGGCAATTTTTTAAATAATGTATTCATAGTGATCCTCAAACTTTAGTTTACTATCAATATATATATACCTAAATATTTAATTGATTCAACATTTTCAATTATTTCTCCATTTATCCTAACTGTGATAGTATTTTCATTTAGGTATTTCCCTATTAGCATACATTTTGTTTTATAAGTATTCAATTTTAGTTTATTTACATTTAACCAATGTACGATTTTTGCCAAGACAGAATTAGGATTTTTAAAGCAGTGTCTATATTTCATTTGATATGTATATTAATGTATCATCTGCAAATATCTCAAGTTTCTAATAATCTAAAATATTACAAATGTCATTAATGTATAAAATAAATAGGAGTGGACCTAGTTTACTACCTTGTGGTATACCAACAGAAATATCTTTTGATCTTGATAATGTAGATCCAATTTTGGTTTACTGACTTCTGTCAATTAAATAGTTTTGTAGAATTTTAAATACAGATCCTTTAAATCCGTAGTGATGCAATTTTGTAAGTAATTTATCCCTGTTAATAGTCTCAAACGCCCTTTTGAAGTCAAAAAACACTGTTACTGTATGTTTCCTATTGTCCATACATCTCCTCCAGTCGTCTAAAACCATTTGTGTTGCCAGTTTCAGTTGAGTGTTTCTTCCTGAATCCAGCTTGAAATTTGGTTAAAATGTTATTTCCCTCAATAAATTCGATGATCTGTTCGTAAATAATTTCTTCAAAAACGTTTTCAACATCTGGCAGAACATTTATTCGCCGCATATTGGTGTACAATTCTTAACTTTAGAAACAGGAGTTATGGTAGAATACTTAGTTGAAAATTCGCCATATTTTAAATAAGAATAAGCAATAGCACTTTCACGAGATCGCTCAGCAACATGTGGTCATAACGTATTAGCCTTGCCTTAGTGCAAGTGTGAAATAAAAACCCTTCTATCACAATATGACAACGAGACCTAGACTGTGTTGATGGTTTATTTATTTATTTTCTCTCGACAAAAAACTTTGTATAGGAAGAGTCATACAACTTGAATCTAAAAAATCAATATCTAACAAAAACAGTCAAATATTAAAAAATAAGATTTAACGGCATAAATCACAATATTCTTCCACACTATAAAAGCTATTATCAATTAAATAGTCTTTCAAGAGATTCCTAAATGTCTATAGATGGTAGCAGTTCTTTATTTCCAAAGGCAGTAGGTTACATTTTTTTAGGCCATTAGTATTTGGGACTTGCACATAATTTGAGTTCTCTAGGGTGGTATATAGACCTCTGCACTGATTCTTGTACTAATTGAATGCATTTGCCGTGATGTTGGAAATTTTTCTCTGTTTTTAAATATATGTAATTAAGTTTCCAATAGGAATAAACCAATAAGTATTAGTTCTTCAGGTTTCGTGCACGCTGCATGACTTCTGGATTTAGATGCGGTTAAAGGCTTCTTGCGTTCGAAGGCGTATTTGCATTTAGAGTTGACTGATTTTGATATAAAGAGATGATAGCAATGTATTTTTTCTAATTGCAGGAAGGTCTGACGAGAATCGGATCCGACCAGGCGAACATCCCACAGGATATCCAACTGTACGGATCACATATTAAATCAGAACACTGCGTTTTCGAGAACAAGGACAATCGAGTTACGTTAGTGCCCTTGAATGGGGCATTAATTTATGTCAATGGCAGAGAGGTAAGTAGATTGTATTTCTTACAACCAGCCTCGTACCGTTGTGCTATTATTTCGCATCACTGGAATCGAACAACTAAAGGGTGTCGCAACAAGAGCGCCGGATTTGAATTTGCCGTGATTTTTTTTGTACAAATGGTATGGTGTTTACTTGATGACAGCTGTCATGTCCAGACCACGAGATTAGACGTCATGGGGCAGTATTCAAATGAGCAACGTTGAATTATTGCGAAAACTCACTATAAAAATGGAGAAAATTTCGCGGAAAATTTGAGACAAAATTCACATTGGGGAACGTGAAGACCACTGTTCGTCGCCGTCCCGGTCGAAAATGTAGTCGCATCCAGGCACTTTCGGCATCGTAGTCAAAAATTGAACCTCACCAAATCCACTCTGCGACGAATTTTGACAAAAGATATGTGCTTGCATGCGTACAAGGTTCAACTGATGCAAGAATTCGAGCGCAGCGCCGTGAATTCATTGATTGGGCGCTGGAGCACCACCAAATTGATGCGGATTTCTCGAAGAAAATCATTTTCTCTGATGAGGCAGATTTTCATCTGAGCGGATACGTCAGTAAGCAGAACTGCCGAATTTGGGGTTCTGAAAACCCTCTGGTAATAATCGAACAACCAATGCATCCGCCGCGAGTTACCGTTTGGTGCGCATTGTGGAGTGGCGCAGTGATTGGACAGTATTTTCTCGAAAATGCAGCTGGAACTGCGGTACCTGTTAATGATGTGCGGTATCGCGAAATGTTAACCGAGTTTTTGTGGCTCCAGTTGGATCGAATTGATGTGGAGGATATGTTCTTCCATCAAGACGGTGCGACCTGCCACACAGCACTCGAAACAATGGTATTACTACGGACAAAGTTTCCAGACCGTGTCATCTTTCGGTTTGGCGATCAAAATTGGCCATCAAGATCGAGCGATCTAACGCCAATGGACTTCTTCCTCTGGGGCTATGTGAAGGAAAAGGTGGATACGAACAAACCACAAACAGTTGAACGCCTTAAAGAAGAGATACGGCGCGTTATCGACTTTTTAACAGATAATATTTTATGGTTATTTAATGTTCATTGTCTAAAAAAGGTAGTGCGTATAAACAAAGCTCCAGCTCCTTGGTTGGATGATAACATTAAACTTGTATTCAAGCAGAGAGCTGAAGCTTTGTCAAAGTTCAAACGTGATAGTACAGCCGCCCTTGGCAACAGTATTCATATTTCAGAAATCGTACATTAAAGCTCGTGCGGAGAGGAAAAATAGATTATTCACAAGCTGTTCAAAATCATGATATAAAAAAGTTTTATAAAACCCTAAAGACTTTCAAAGTGCAATCTCAGAAAGATTCCCGTGAGCTTATCAGATCCGTATAAAATAGACGAGGCATTCATTTCAATTTTCGAGAATAGTGATTTGGGTTGTGCTGATAAAACTGCATATTACCGAGCTAATAAAAATAACTCCAAATTTCAATTTAATAAAGTGACTATTGACACCGTTGTTAAAATTATACATAAAATAAAATCAAATTCTAGTGTACTTAACACATATTATCAACTGCTGTTTAGAGAAGGGATATTTCTCCAATCAGTGGAAACGTGCTATAGTTGTTCCGCTACCTAAGTGTGTGTGATCCTACTAACTATGTGCACTCTGTGATTTAACAGACAGTATAACAATGGCACTTGATAACCAAAAAGCAGTAGCTCTCATACTTCTTGACTTTACTAAAGCATTTGACACCATTAATCACTCACTTCTTGTGTCTAAATGCAGTTATGGATTTTCTGAAAAACCTCTTTCGTTTATGTAAACCTACCTTGAAAATCGGTATCAAAAAGTTCGTCTAAATCAACAATACTCTACCGAACAAAAAATTTGTTCTGGTGTACCACAGGGATCAGTCTCAGGACCCCTATTATTTTCATTATATATCTCAGATTTAGAAACAGAGGTAAAACCATGCAGCATACAATTTTTTGCAGACGATACTCAAATTTTCTATTTATTTAGGAGTAATGACTTGGAAACAGCAAATAACAAAATTAATCAAGATCTTGCCCAAAGTTCAGTAGTAGTCATAATCTTCGTTTGAAGACAAATATGTTGGTATACTCAAATAGAACAAAGAACAATACTTCAAAAAAAGGACATAGACATACATTTAAAAGGTAATAAATTAGTTCCTGTGGATCATTCGAGGAACCTAGGTATTATAATGGATGATGACTTAAAATTTGTTGTACACGTAAACTATCTAATTTCTCAGTGCTACGCTATTCTTAGAGTTTTATTTGCAAATAAGGTTATATTACATAAATCTGCGAGAAAGCAATTGCGTGAATCTTTCTTGTTTTCAAAGATATCGTATTGCTTAGTGGTTAACTATCCCTATTTAGATATTATAACAAGAAATCGTATTCAAAGTATTATGAATACATGTTGCAGACTTGTAAATGGTCTCAGACAGTATGATCATATATCGAATGCCATTAGTGAACTCAAATGGATGAAAATTGATAAAATGTATAAGTCCTAAATCTGACTCATAAGGTTCTTTATTCAAAAATACCGTCATATTTAGTAAACAAATTCATACGTAGAGGGACTATGCATGGCATTAATATTACATATAGAGAGACTTTTTCAATTCCACGCCACAGCACACCTCTATTCCAGAATACATATATTTACAATGCGATCAAATCATATAATTCTGAAAGAAGTTCTACTTGATCATTATACTTTAGTCTGTCGTTATGTATTAATTTTCAACAAATTCTGCTCTTTTACGTCTCGAACTGTGAATGGGGTTAGATGATGGTAGAATAGATATATTATCTAAATCTCGCCTCCTGTAAGAATATTACAAATACATTATTATTAAATGGAGCTACAGTTATGCGAAATCGTTATCGAGAATTTTATTAACAGACCTGTGGCAGAGCTTTCATGGTGGTAATTTACCGGATGTCCTATGTCATATTTAATCGCAACTATTCCTCTTCATGTTGAAATATGAATTCCTAGCCATCATTTTTAATTGGCGTGTCGCATCTATTACGCAAGTGAAACTATTGCGATACTGCGCCAGAGATGGCAAGCATTGCTGACCTTATCGAACCATCTCCGACCTCTAAGAAACAAGTGTTTCCGCTATTATTGCTTGAATATTTCGTTGAAAAATCTGATTTTTTCAGGTTACTGAACCAATCCAGTTGAAGACAGCCTCTCGCGTCATTTTGGGCAAGAACCACGTGTTTCGTTTCACCAATCCCGAGGAAGCAAGGGAGTTGCGCGAAAAGAACATGATGACGTCAGAGAACGAGAAAGTCGACTGGAACTTCGCCCAGATCGAACTCCTCGAGAAGCAAGGGGTAGATTTGAGAGTAGAGATGGAGAAGAAACTCATGGGATTGGAGGAACAGTATCGTAAGGAGAAGGAAGAGGCGGATCAATTGTTTGAGGAACAGAGGAAGGTATGCCAAAAAATATTGTAAAAGTAGGCGTGGCCGCAGACGTTCAAAATTCCAACGAATTCGAATAGATTAGAAGAAGCGAAGTCCATAAGTTTACATTGCATCGCTTGACTCATTTGACTACCATTGCTTACCAAGCTGGCACTTTGTAACAAAATAATAATACTTGCTGGTGGAAAGATCCAACTTCATTATGCTTGTGCCGCTCTTTGCAGATTATGTATGAAGTACAAAGGGTAATATAAAAGTTTTTCAATACAGCTTTATTTATTGACTTCGTTCGAAGTAATTTCCACCACATCAATACACTTGTTTGTTTGTTAAGTCATATTGCAAAACTCTTATTGTATCCTTTGTACTATGTCCTGACATCGTCTAACACCACAATCATCTGCCAAACTCGCACTTTTAAAAATAACACTAAAAATACGAATTTAATGACAGAACTGTCGAAAAATTAACTTATGTCTAGTCCACTTATATTATGCACTTTCATCCTGACTACAGACAAATTTTGGAGGCAAACAAATCGTAGAGGCTTGCTACTTCGGAATAGCCCAAGACTATTAGACATTTTCTGCTGAAAAATAACAGCGTGAATTAACAAGTTTTCTAAACCATCAGGTGAATAACAAACAGTCGAATTGTAGCTTGAATTGCTGATTTTTTTCACATCGCGCTTTATATCTTGATAATGTTTCTTCAAACAGTCCCGTTGAGTCAGTGATCAGTATTTGATAAGTTATGATTATACTATAAAATACGCGTTAAGGTCATTTATAATAATAAAATTTGCACTTCGCTACTAACAACTGTATTACTACCTACCGAGATCTGCACGTGTTTCTGGCGGCACAGCGGTTGATGCATTTTTAGCAGAAAATGTCTAATATTCCTGGACTATTTTGAATCAGAATTCTGAATATGTGCACCCGCGATGCACATTTTTGCAAGTAGAAGGGTTATTTCTTTAAAGTCCTTTATACATTATTCTATTTATTTTTTCCAGAACTACGAAGCTAGGATTGACGCACTACAGAAGCAAGTTGAAGAACAAAGCATGACCATGTCAATGTACAGTTCTTACACGCCTGAAGATTTCAACAATGATGATGACATTTTCGGTAAGTTGTTTCTTATATGCTTCAATCTATGCATCTGAAACTAAGTGCTTACTTTTCTATGCTTATTATGTCGTCAAAAATAAAATAGCTACTTTAACTTCTCACGCTATATCTATAGGTTTACTACTACTCTTACTATTTACTACCGAAGTCGGTCGGCAACCGACAACATTTCTACCTACCAGATCCAAAAGTCTCATGTAATTTCTCAGTTTTTATCGGTTTATAAACTATATTTTGCTATATACCAGACATTCTACAGCAGATTGAATAAAAATCTCGTTGGCTTTGACACTTTTGGAAAAAAAACTTGGACAGAGCTAAACCTAGACATACGACTGACATTTGCGTTGCCGCTTTTATTGCTTCGCAAAAATAGTAGCTTCAGCTTCATTTTTAGCTATTAATTACACGTTGTACCTGAGGCTTGAATCCTAATGTTAAAAGCGCGGATAAACAGGGCGGTATACTACGTTATATGGCTGCTAAATGCGTGACATTAACGGCAGCGACTTGCTCCTAGGATAGTTGCTATGAATACGACCTTTGGATAACGAATACGATGCCGCTTTGGTTCCAATTACTTCCTACGCCATTGGCCGTTCTGTCTATCTGTCCGCTAATTTTTCGACCGCCTTAAACTTGGAAAGTACTGCCCGATTTGGATAAAATTTCCACACAAGGCTAGTACTATGCTAAGGATAAAAAACCTTTGTAGATTTTGAGAATAGCTCCAGTGGCAGCGGAGCTAGCGGCAAAAATACGAAAAAAATAAAAATCGCTCAAACTTCGTTTTTTGAGGTTTCAAAGGCTCCTGGTTATTTTCAGAAAAAATTGCAGGGTTTCTTAACTTAATGTTGTGGTTGCAAGGGGTGGAGGAGAGTATGAGGTCGGTAAATTAGGTGATAAGAGAGATTTTATTTTATTTTTTATTCATATATAATTACGATTTTATATTGTCACACTCAAACTAACTTCTGAAGCCACAGAACGCTGGAGATGGTTCTTTCACTCCTCATGGCAGTGCTGGAACCCCGATAACGGAATAGCATTCAGCTGGTTGGTTTCAGCAGTTTGAAAATGTGTCGCTTTGAGGTGATTTTTCAACTTCAGGAAGCAAAAAAATTCAAAAGGACTCAATTCAGGCGAATAATGAGGCTGAGGAGCCACAGGAAATACTGGCCAAAAACTCGTTTATTGGCATTGCTGTGTGTCAAGGAGCATTATCGTGATGCAATAGCCGATTGTTCTTAATCTTATGGTGTGAGTCAAATTTAACTATTCGATCATTTAGATTGTGAACCGACTGTCTGAACGCACAATATCCCGGTTCTGTCGATACCTTCATCTGTCCTTGAAGATGAAAAACTGTTTCACGTGAAGGACAACCAAATGACTCAGTCGAGTTGAAACTTGTACTGAAGATAGATCACATGTTGCCTTGTCTCTCCCCAAGCCTCCAGTGTTGCCAAATCGAACGCTGCGTTGCCAGTCTCATCACTTAATTTACAGACTTCGTATATTTTTTTCATGCAAGTAATTTATACGTTTCCAACTGAGGTAATTCTATATACCTATTAGACATATTTCCTAAATCAGAGATTTCCCCGCATATTTGCCCTTAAAAGTTAATTATAAATATAATTATATCTTCGATGTACAGGAGTCGGATAACTCAACGAGCGTGCGCATCTCTGCTTTGCATGGTTAGAGATGACGTGCGTGCTTTCGGTTATATAACCCCCCCGCCAGCGCGGCATCATCCTACAGGACGCCTTTTTTTTCGATGATAGTCAATGTCATTCTTTATCGTGCGGTTATATACATGATACCTCTGACATTTTAGAAGACTGCAAAATTCAAATATTTGCGGACGATACATTCTCATATATAGCGTATAAACATTTGGACACTGCTTTAGAACTGTTAAGTAGTGATATTAAAAAAAATATATGAATTGGTTAAATGTTGATAAACACTAATAAAACAAAGTGTATGCCAATAGGGAAACATTTAGGTGACAATACAATTAGGCTCATGATTAATGATGAAAAAATTGAAGTAGTCGACTCATTTAAATTTCTGGGTATATATGTGGTTAGTAAACTACTGTTTCACGAACATTATGAATACGTTATTTCAAAAATATCAAAAAAGATAAATTACTTCTATAAAGTTTCCCATAATCTTAGTATGTATTAAAAAAAATATTATATTCTTCAACCATCTTGTGTACAGCAAATGAAAACATATTTTCAAAATTAAAAATTCTACAAAATAAAGCTATGAGAATCATTTTAAATAAAATCAAATATGCTGGGATTAAGTCTATGTTAGAAGAACTACAGTGGTTGAATGTAAAAAATTTCATATATGATTCTCATTTTCATATTCAAATTAAAAAATGATTTATTACCACCACATTTAAAAAACTTGACAAAGTTAAATCGTTATCATAACTACGAGACTAGAGGCAGTATTTTCATCTGCAAAATTGTAATAGTAGCATAACTAGCAAAGCTGTATTTCAAAGAGGAGAATTTATTTAATAAATTAAATAATAATATTAAACAGTTTTCGAATTTAAAAATGTTGAAGGTGAAATTAAAAAATCACTTTATGAATACTCAAAATGCATAGAGATGTAATTTTAATAAGCAAGAATGTAAAATTACAGAAAATAGATAAAAAAAATGTGTAAACAAATAATTATACAAAATTGACATTATAGCGTTACTGCTAAATAAATCTTCAACAAACAAACATCAATCCAGATGCGTTAACGCAATTGTAGTTCATATAATTCGCACTTCAGGGTTGCCTTTAATCTGGTAATGGACTCTAATGTGATGCTAAAAGCGCAAAGTTTTTAGGGCTGGGGTAGCAAGTTAAAGTGATCTTCCTCAGAAGTGTTAGACATTGCTTTTTTAGCCACTTCAGAGCGGGATATATTTCGAACTGATCTTTGCATGAGAGCTTCTATAGCACGCGAGTAGCTTCAGAAACCGCTTAAAGACAATCTTAGACAAGCGCGCTTTTGCAGTGAACCCTCTGTTTGACGCAGAGTGCAACTGGACCGAGAAAGAGTACGAACTGGCGGCCAACGCGTGGAGAAAGTGGAAACATCACCAGTTCACTTCGCTGAGGGATGACCTTTGGGGCAACGCCATCTTCCTCAAAGAGGCCAATGCTATCTCGGTCGAGCTGAAGAAAAAGGTAAGGAATTTTTGTTTTTTTTTGAATGCCATTCTTGTATTGAGTAGATTTTGTTCACATCCATTTTGAACGATGACGTAGTTCATCCTTGTTTATTCGCTAGTGGTTTGGAAATAAAAGAAAGTACTTCATAACTGCTGTGTTCTAACATATTGGCTTCCATCTGAACAAGATGTCGTGAGTTTGCTTCTGACGTCATCGGAAGCGAGACAAGTCCACGACCGCTCACTCTCGCTATCAAACAGCTTTGAGAGCGAGGCAGATCGTAATCTGTAATCGTGTACTGTAACGCGTTCCAGGAGAAAATTAAACTGAACTTCAGACTATTGTAGCATTTATTTAATCTTCAGGGTGTTCATTTCTTAATTCAGCGTCTGCCAAATTGTTTTCCACCAAATTTCTTCATGCTGATGTCCACTTCCTGGCCCAACAAAGCTTTTTCTTTTTCTCTCCCATTCTGTTCGCTAATATTCCAATCTGAAAATCCTCCAAAGAGGACACATATCAATCAGAAGCGCCTTTATGATCGGCTTCATGGAATAACTGAATTGTAATCGTGTGAACTGTCCACGATCCTCGCTGGTTCACGTTTCACTCGCTACTCAAGAAAAAACTGACGAAAAAGAAATCGAAAGCGTCTTTTTCCCCGTAAGAATATAGCTTAATGTTGGCACCCCTAAAAGTCGCTCCCCGGGTCGTGCCCCAGGAGAAAAACTGCGGAAGCCTGACCGTCATCCATCAGTCTCATCTCTAAAGACAACGTTAATTTTGTGATAAAACATATAATGTCATGGAAAACCTAGGAGGATATTATTTTGCTGAAAATGGATGGATTTACTTATTCAAAACTACGCATTACGCGCAAATTTACTAGTTAATCTACTCAGTCATTTACAAGAATTGTCATCCTGGTATATTTATACTAAGTGACATATAAATCCGAACACCCAGTTTAAATGGTTTTATTTTAATAAAAGTTGGTGAATGTATTTATCTAACTGTAAATAACAAGTGAACAAATTTTCAGCCTTATCAGTTGGACATTCCGGTTTTTATACTGCTTTTTTTAATTCACTAACGCTCTAAAAATGAATATTTCAGCCACAGTAAAGAATCAACGTTGGCGGATTTTGGTTCTTGACATCCTTTACGATCGGTTACGATGCCTAGAGTACGGAGACCTGTACGATTTCGTCAACTTAGTGAGTTTGATAGGGGCCGTATAGTGGGACTTCGGGAAGCTGGACTTTCTTTTCGGGCAATTGCAGTTAGAGTGCAAAGAAGTGTAGACACTGTGGTTAGGTGTTGTCAGGCATGGCTTCGAGAAGGCCGTGCGCAAAGAGCAAGGGGCACTGGTCGCCGCCGTAGAACAACAGACCGTGAAGATCGTCGCCTAAGATTATTGGCCTTAAGGCACCGTTTCTCCACTACCAGGTCCATTGCAGATAAATGGTTTGCAGAACACGGAAGACTTATTGGCATGCGAAGTGTTTACCGACGAATGAGAAGTTTTGGCTTGTTTTCATACCGGCCACACTGGGTCCTCCCTTTAACTCGAGAACACCGACGTAATCGCCTTGAGTGGTGCAGACAACGGTCACTCTGGGATCAGGAATGGAACAGTATTGTCTTTAGTGACGAGTCTCGATTTTGTTTAGGCATGCACGATGGTCGTGCCAGGGTTAGAAGGCGACGTGGTGAAAGGAGGAATCCACAGTTTTTTGTTGAAAGACATGTTCATCACACTGTTGGAGTTATGGTTTGGGGTGCTATAGCTTATGGTTCCAGGTCACCTTTAATCTTCATCAGAGGTAACATGAACGCGCAGCGTTATATCCACGAAGTTCTAGAACCCCATCTTTTACCCTATCTTGACACCCTGGCAGATCCAACTTTCCAACAAGATAATGCCCGACCACATGTTGCAAGAGTCACAATAGACTTCTTTCAACATAATGATTTCACATTGTTACCATGGCCACCAAGATCTCCCGACTTATCCCCCATTGAGCACGTGTGGGATATGATGGGTAGGAGATTGCTCAATTTGCAACGTCCTCCTCAGACTCTAGAAGCACTTCGAGAGGAGTTGGTGGTTGCCTGGAATGAGATACCACAGGAGGACATTGACCACCTGATCAGAAGCATGCCTAGGCGCGTTGGAGAATGCGTAGCACATCAGGGTGCATCCACACATTATTAAAGGTCAAAGGGCTTTAAAGCAGTGCAATCATTTTGAAATTTTTATCATTACTTATTATGCTTCATTAAGTACTTATACAAAATTTTATTAAAATAAAACCATTTAAACTGGGTGTTCGGATTTATATGTCACTTAGTATATAATATAACTATATATTTAATTTTTTTTATCCAGGTTCAGTTCCAATTCACTCTGCTCACGGATACTCTGTATTCACCATTACCTGCTGACCTCAAACCTGTAGCCGAGTATGACCAGGATGATGATGCTCCCATCCCTAGGACTATCGTAGCTGTTGAAGTCCAGGATATCAAGAATGGTGCTACGCACTACTGGTCACTTGACAAACTACGGTAAGTGTTCTGATATAGTTTTCTTTGCATATGCACTCCAAAATGTTTCTCAGAATATAAAATTGACATTGACAGCACGTGTACACATGTACTAGAGGAGGCTTTTCAGCATATTCGACGTCAGATGTATCAGCTTTAGCATACTAGGAGGCAGTAGTGTCATTTTTTACAGACTACTTACTGCAGTTTTCAGTCTTCTTGTATGTGTGTTTTTGTTCCAAAGACCTATATCGTGCTGACAAAACGACGCTGAATATGGTTGATTACAAGGCATAGAAAGCAAACATATTCATTTCACAATTATTGTGTACTGGGTTTTATTTTTTGATATATAAAATAAAGGTTGGATAGTAGAGAAGAGCATATTATGGGTTTTGTAAATAATAACTATATATTAACGTACAGCTGACAGTAGAAAGATCCTATATGCATGCAAAATCAGTATTATGACTGTCACTGTGTTGAGTTTTAACGTCATTTTCATTGATTTTCCTGGTATAAAGGCAAAGACTGGAGCTAATGCGCATGACGTATAATGAAGAAGTGCTGGATCTAGACAGTCCTGTTGAGAAGATGACTCCCCACTTGTTGGGATGTTTGGGCCAGTGTTCGACATCCAAAGCACCTTCACGTCCTTCACGTTTGTCACTTGTCAACTTATTTCCTTCAAGGTTGGTGCCACAGCTTGGTTTTCATCGTGTATGTGCTCGTGTACATGATGCTTTCCTTGTTTCCTTTATGACGTTCTTGTTGTTATTGCATTCTTAATTGGGCTAAGGTTGCTTTTTTGACATATTGTAATAGTAGTCTTAATTTAATACATTGGTATGAACTAAGTAAGTCAGCAGTAGAAGAGGTGTTCTTCCAAACCTATCCCCGAGCGTTCAGAATCGCGAAAATACATACATTTTCCTGTCTGAGATGTGATAATACCGATGATGATGTGCGTATTTTTCGTATGTAGCGGTACTTTTCTCAAGTTGTTCCTCTCCCTGTAGACCCACGGTGTGCCAAGTACTTAGTTATACAGTTGATAAAAGTGTATATTTTATCTAGTACACCGCTGATACAGGGTGGCCAATATATGACTGACTGATTTAAATTGCGCGCCATTTTTCATAGTAGGTGGCGCCGAAGTAGTTGTTTAAAGCAAATGCGTCTTATTCCTCGTGGAGTGCTTAGACAACCCTCGTGTCATCCATCAACAACCACTACATCCTCGTCGAGTCACAGTTTGGTGCGGTGTTTGGTATGGAGGTGTCATGTCTTTAAAGACGCTGCAGGTAATTCTCTTACTGTGATTGGCGAGCGCTACATTGATATGGTGCAAAATTTTCTGTCTCTTCAAATCCAACAATTAAACCTGCAAAACATGTGGTTCCAGCAGGACGGAGCAACTTGTCACACAGCTACAGAAACAATGAATCTTTTGCGAACAAATTTCCGGGACGTTTAAGTTGGCGATGTCAACTGGCCATCAACGTCACCGGATTTATTGGTTCGTGACTTTTTTATGGGAATTTTTGAAAAATGGAATGTATGCCAACAAACCAAATACTGTAGAGCAGGTGAAGAACAATATTACGGAATCGATGGAAAATGTAATCACGAGAGCTCAGGTTTGCGCCGCTTCTAGAGGCGGTCATTTGTCTGATATTATTTTTCATGCATAATTTAAGATGAATAAAATAGGCGTATTTTATTTCATTCCACAAATATTCAAGATACAAACAGTCAGTTACATATGGGCCACCCTGTACTAGCGCTTTGTATGCTTATACATATTGATTGTATTTTGCTGGCACTTTTTTATTATACAGTTTTTTAGAGCTTTTTTTGCTATTACTGCGGCACCAACCCAACCTACCTCCTACCATTTGCATTTTTAATGCCTTAAATCAAAACCATTCAATTATACATGGTATTCCCAGACTTTCTTACTTTCCAAGAAAGTTGGCGAGGAAGCATTGTAGTCGTAAAAATTGCAATGGAGATATTATGTGTTACGTGACATGTCCACTACAAAAAACCACATCACTAATTTTCATCTGTCTGTCCGATAGTCCTTGGTCTCTTTGTAGTTCGGAACATACTGCACAAATTTAGATACAAGATTATTATCATACTAAGGGCGAATAAGCGTAAAATAAATGACAATTATACATTTCCGAACGCCCACAAACTTCGTTAATCAATGCTTTTCGATATTTTGTTTATAGGTCTAATGTATTTTAAAAGAATCTCAAACGTCATGTGAAAAAATTTTGGGGGATTCAAAAAAATTAATTTGGGCATTTCTTAGGTAAATAACTATAAAAACTTTGGATTTTTTCCATTTAATTTACCTTCTCTTACTATTATGTATTCAAACCCTATTTATTCCACCTCAAAACGAATATGAGCTAACGATCGCCGCTTCCATTGGATTGTCGCTGCCACGCCCAGGCATTTATGGCCCGCTAGAAGGGGCGGGGCCTAAATGCATTCTGAATACGGATGTTTTTTCTCATATTTATTATACATTATATACGTTCATTTGAAAACTTCCCACCACGGATTTATCGAAAACCACTGATTAAGAGATTTGTCAATGGGGACAACTTTTTAACCAAAAACTACTTCACCGCCTTCCACCCACGGCCCCCAGGGTCATTCCCTTAAAAATTTTAAATAACAAGGGGCATCCAGTTATAGCTTGTTTGAAAGTTCTTTCGAAGTCCTTTATTTTGACGTTTGTCGATTCGTTTTCGAGAAAATTAGAAAACTATTTATTTATCTTAATTCGTTCAGATAGAAAACAAAAACACACGAAAATATCACTCTTTATTTCAATAAGTATTCAAAATGTTGCCCGTTAGGATTTTCCAAATCTACAATTCGTTTATAATTTAAAACGGAAACTACCAACATAATTAGCAATTCGGAAGACTAAACGTGGCAACAACCAAATAACAACCCGAATTTGCCGCATTCTTTCATCCACACAGATATTCTGAGCGAACTGTATTTATTGTTATACCTGTTTAGTTATTTGTTGCTAAGGAAAAGAAAGAATTTAATTTGCTGTCAGTTACCTTTGTGACAATCTTAGGATAGCGAAAATTAATACATTGATTCAGATTTTACTCCCAAAATAGTTTACCACACTAGCCGAAGAGTGGAAGTGATTCTATTTATTGCCCATATCGATGTGCTCGGCAAACGGCCGTCACGTTTACGCCAGACATGCAGGGAGATAAATTTGCATAGTTCTGTTCGCACCTTGTTACGAAATTTATTTGAACCTGATCTGTTGCAAATAAAATCGTGATCATCGAGAGCTTTCCATGAAGCCGCTCAAGTTGAAGTTTTGGGTCATTTTGGAATAATCCTAATACTTCATTAGGCAAAATTGTTGCTTGCGACTGGTATTTCATTAGGCTCTGTATACCCAGTTACTAAACTCCATAAATTTCATCTATTCAAAACGAAAATATTGCAAGTTTTAACCGAAGATGATTTCGAAAGGCGAGTTGAGTTTTCACAAAACAAATGACTGCAGCGATTAATGATTATACATTATGTAAAGAATATTGATTCAGTGATGAATGCACATTTTATCTAAATGGATTTGTGAATAAGTATAACTGCAAGGTATTGGATCAATGAAAATGCCCCAAAAAAATAATGTATGGGCAGGCATTTAAGAAACAAGTGATTGGACATTGTTTATTAATGATATGGCAAAGGAGGCCCTATAAATGGCCTGCTAGAATCTCCTGATTTGACGTTATCAGACTCTTTCTATGGGTCCTTTGAAATCTATTGTGCTTACTCCCCATGTTTGGATGAACTTCGTCAACGCATCATCCGAAGCTGCCATGATATCCGCAACATGTTTTTGAAATGTCCGTCAGGAATTTGAACACCCCCTATACGAGTATCTTTGTTTGGCAATAACGGGCAACATTTGAACACTTATTGAATAAAAAGTGATATTTTCGTGTGTTTTTGTTTTCTATCTGTTACAAAATTAGATAAATTAAAGGTTTTTCTAATTTTCTTGAAAACGAATCGACCGATTTTAGAAAAACAAACGTCAAAATAAAGGACTTCGAAAGACATTTCAAACAAGCTATTACTCGATACTCTTGTCATTTTAAATTTTTAAAGGGATGACCCTGGGGGACCGAGGGTGAAAGGGGGTGAAGTAGTTATTGGTTAAAAAGTTATTCTCCTTGACAAATCTTTTGGCGTTTTTTCTTTTAATCAGTAGTTTTCGATAAATTCGAGCTCTGAATTTTTCAAATGAACACCCTGCATATTTAGTCCCTTGTATTTCCTGACTAAAATATGACCGCCTACACCACTTGTTCTATACGACCTTTTCGTTTTTCCAGACAACGATTGGAGCTCATGCGCGAAATGTACCACAACGAGGCCGAACTGTCTCCCACGTCGCCTGACTACAACGTGGAGTCCTTGACTGGTGGCGACCCCTTTTACGACCGATTCCCCTGGTTCAGGCTCGTGGGCAGAGGTTTCGTCTACCTCAGCAACCTGCTCTACCCGATCACGTTGATCCACAAAGTGGCTATCGTCAGCGAGAAAGGGGACGTTAGGGGGTACCTCAAGGTCGCTGTGCAAGCTGTCATGGACGAGGACAATTCGGATCAAGTGGGGGTTAGGCAGAGTGCGAGGATCGCTTTCGAAACCACTTCCACGCCTAAATGTAAGTAAATTTCAAATATATGTAGGAAATCGAAAGCATCTCTATCTATCAACTAAACTCTCCTGTTCCAAGGACTATCCTATAGTGGAGGTTCTTTAAAAATATCCTGCTAGCCTAAGAAGAATTTTATAGGGTAAAGAAATCATGGATACTTCAAAACTTTCTTCCTGTCGAATGGGAATGCTGTGAAGGCTCAAAAGGTAGTCGTCGTTTTATGTCGGTATGTAAACATGAAATAAGTTTGAAAACGAAAAACTGATTTCTATATATCGGGTATTTTTAGTAAATATGGTCCTTCACAATTTATTGGGACTAGTTTTTGAACACAACATCTATCAAGTGGCCACCTTTATTGGCCAAAACAAAATGTGCCCGTTTTGCTGCGTTTTCCAACTTTTTCGAGCATCTCTGGTGGTATAGCGGCGATTGCGTTACGAAATGTTTGCCTTGGGTTCTTCAGTGGTCTGGGGCTTGCTGGCGTACACTTGACTTTTCAAATAACCTCACAAGACGAAGTCCGGTGGGGTCAAATCTGGAGACCTAGGTGGCCAGTCAATGTCACCTCTTTTTGACCTCTCAGACGTCCAGGGAATTTTCGTTGCAGAAACTGGATTGTTCCATTTGCAGTGTGGCATGGCGCACCGTCTTGTTGAAACCAGTAACCATCAAGACCTTGTTCACGCATTTGTGGGCAGACATAATGAGCCAACATCCACCGATTCGTTTTCGTTGCAGAAAAATGGCCCAATGATGGTTTTGGCGCAAACGCCGGACCAAACAGTCACTTTCCGGTCATGCAACGGCATTTCGTGGATCTCATGTGGATTTTTCATCCCCCAAATGCTGCAGTTTTGCTTATTAACGCCGCCACAGAGCGTGAAATGGGCCTCATCGATCATCACGATTTGCTTCCAAAAATCAGGTTCAGCATCAACCATGCGAACGACTGTTTGGGCGTATTCCAAGCAACGTGGACGGTCAGTTGGCAATATTTTTTGTGTTAACTGCACCTTATAAGGAAACAAATTCAAATCATCCTTCAAAATGCGCCGCAACGTGGTTCCACTGATGCCAAAATGCTGAGCGCGGTGTCGACTGCCCCGTACTCAAGAAAATTCGAAACCAAACGATGGATATTGTTGTCAGACGGTGCCTGTTTGCCACGATATTTTCGGGGATATGCACGTTGCGTTAACACAACTGAACGACGATTTTCAATGTACATTGTGACTATTTCGGCGCGTTGTTTCGGAGTAAAGCGATTCATGACTAAAATGGTAGTAAATTGACGTTTCAGAAACACGTATAACCAAATGACTCGGTTGGTAAATATCAAAGTCATTCGATGTTTCAATACCGACATAAAAGATGGCGCACCCGGTATGAAAGGTGATTTTAAAGTCGAGACCCGCAGCAATCTAAATTTGTGCAGTTGGCACAAATTCGACCAATTTATTGAAGTAATCGATCTGATAAATTTGGTCAATTTGTTATAAAACGTCTCTCAAATTAGAGAAAAAATATGCGATTTATATAATGTGGGCTCCTAGTTCTCATATTGAATCAAGAAATAGTTCACATATTGCATGATTCAACTACAAAGATCAATTTTTCATTTGTGTCCGGACACAAAGGTTGACGCAAATTCCACCAATCAACAAGAAGGATTTGCGTAATGTCGCAAATTCGACAAATCAAAACATGGTTGAAACCTGATACAATAGATTGGCATGACGCCATTACTAAGCACTTTATAGAAATTAATAGGGACCCACTGTTGTACAAAATTCTGATTAATAAATTCTTTGAATACACAAATAAAATTACATAATGCTTATTCTTTAACATTACATTGAGTAATTAATCAATTTACTTGAATACTTTTCGAAAAAACTCTGTTCCTCGAGCCAGCCCTGTTAGTTAGTTTCAAGTATTGTATCGCTTATATTTCGAAAGCTTTCAAAAGCACATTTTTTATTCAGAATATGCTAAAAAAACTAAAACCACTGAGTTGGGCAAACAAACAGTCAAATATTATTCAAAGTATTTTCGAGGTAAATTTGGACTTGGAAATATGCAGATTGATTAAAAGGGGTCCTCTTTAAATAAGATTATGCAAAAATCCGAATAAGAATACTTTTCCCATCAAACGCGAAGATACTACCTGGTATGCAGGGTGTTCGGTAAATAGTACGACAAAAAAATAGGGGTGATAGGCGAAGGGCAGATCTACAACATACCAAAATGTAACCCTAGTAAAAGTTTCACTGTTTTTGAGATACTAATTTTTTTGTCTCTCTTTTTTTTGCCTAGAAATAACAGGATATCTGTTTGGTTTTTTTGCAGAATATTCTCAGATGGTCTTCCATTTGAAATATCATTTTCGATGAATTAATACCAGTAGGTAAACTTGACAAACTAATTTCTTCTTCGTAATGAAATAAAAATGTACTAGACTGCTACTGCAAAATACAGTGATAAATTACCTGCTTAATCAGCAACAAAAGCTAGATCAAACGAAGAAATTTTTCGATAAGGCCAAAAAAAAAATTAATATCTCATAAACAGTGAAATTTTTACTAGGGTCATTTTTTTGTCATACTATTTACCGGGGAGAAACTCCTATTATCTTTTTTATACTACATCTGATAAATTGTCCACTCATTCTGAGAAAATCTACATATTTTTAGATTAGATGGTTATTTTCTTGCAAAATTTATTGGAATATTTTCTTATTTTTATTCCAGTGCTGGATCGGAACATCCACAACCTAGAAGAAAGAATAGTAGAAGGTACACAATAACATTGACCCTATCAAGCTAGATGAGCTGATAGAATGTGACGCAGATTCAGGGCGTGGTGACAGCTCAGTTGCGTCTGATATCAAAGAAGAAGACATCCCAGATCACCTCACCATTGGAAAAGAATTTACCTTCAGAGTAACTGTCTTGCAAGCTGTGGGTATTTCAACTGAATATGCCGATATCTTCTGTCAGTTCAAGTAAGTTATTTTAGTCATAGGATATCAGTACATCCATAATCTTGACTAAATGCTGCAAGTCAAGGAATTGTAAATGAATATATTGTGGTCTAAGTTATTAATACCTCACTTTTAATTTCTTTCAGCTTCCTCCATAGGCATGATGAAGCATTTTCCACAGAACCCGTCAAGAATACTGGAAAAGGTACACCTCTCGGATTTTACCATGTTCAAAATGTAAGTGTTCTTTTGAGTTGAAATTATGTATTTTTGTTTGTTTGTTTCAGATCTATTTAGCATTAGTGCTACAATATCCATAATATCCATATTACACAGTATACCACAAAATATATTATGTCTTCAAGACTACATATTTTTATACAAAATTTCACTACTATGAATTCTGGTTTTCCATGAGATATTTTTTCAATTTCCCTTTGAACATTTTCAAACTGACACACATCTTGATATCATTACTTAATTTATTAAATTCGTAAAATACTAACCTGCTCCTTATATTGCTATTGCAATTTTTGTAAATGAAAGTCTATACTTCGTCTAGTAGAATAATTGTGGCACTCATTGTTCAATACAATAAAATTTTCTAAGTGATTTGGTAGAAGATGATTTTTTAACTTGAATATGAAAATGAAAACCAAGTAGGCTATGAAATTTTTGATATTTAACCATTGTACTTCTTTCAGCATAAAATTTCTTCTAGTATATTTATTTTAATTTAAGATGATTTTCATAGCTTTATTTTGTTATATTTGTAATTTTGAAAATACAGTTTCATTTGCAGTGGACAAAATAGTCGGGCAATATAACAAATGAGGAAGAATGATAGTGTACTCAATTTTTTTAGGATAAACGCTTAGGCTATGCGAAATTCTATAAAAGTAATTTATTTTCTTAGATATTTTTGAAATAATATATTCATAGTGCCCCTCAAATTTTAATTTACTGTCTACGTATATGCCCAAATATTTAAATGATTCGATTGACACAATTTTTTCATGATTAATTGCAAGATTTATCGTATTTTGATCTAAAGGTTTTCCTATTAGCATATATTTTGTTTTGTTTGTGTTTAGTTTAAGTTTATTCATATTTAACCAATTTATTACGTTTTTCATATCATTATTTAAGAGCTCTATTGCAGTTTCAATGTCTTGTAATGTATCATCAGCAAATAGTTGAATTTTGCAGTGTTGTAAAATATCAGGAATATCGTTAATATATAAAATAAACAGTAATGGACCTAATTTGCTACCCCGTGGCACACCTACTGAAATGTTTTTAATGTTTGATAATGTATTGCCAATTTTAGTTCTTTGACTTCCATTGATTAAATAATTTTGTAATAAGTTGAATACTGAACCATAGCAATGCAATTTCGTTAACAATTTCTCCCTGTCAATGGTCTCAAATGCTCTCTTGAAATCTAAGAACAATGTTACAGTAAACTTTTTTCATCCATATGTCGCCTCCATTTTTCTACTAACATTTGAATTGCTGTTTCAGTAGAATACTTTTTTCTGAATCCTGCTTGAAATTTTGTCAGTATCTTATTTTCTTCAATATATTCAATGACTTGTTCATATATGATTCCTTCTAAGAGCTTGTCGACATCTGGCAGTACATTAATTGGCCGCATGTTTGTAAACATCTCAGAATTTTGCACTTTTGGAACGGGAGTAATTGTAGAACATTTTAATTTTGAAGGAAATTCGCCATACAGTAAACAGTGATTCACTAACAATAATAACTTCTCTCCAATAATGTTGAAATCATTCCTTCATAACCATTTTTGAAAGATGTTCACTACTCGTAGGATTTCTATTCGATTTCAATCTTGTAATAGCTTTTGAAAGATGGCTGATATTTATTGTTTGGAATTGTCTCATAGAAAAATTATAAGTAATTTGCATGTGACATAGATTTGGATCCCCATCTTCGATTGATTGCATTTATACTTTCTATAAAATAGGCATTCATTCGTTCTGCAATCAATATTTTTTGTGTTACTATACCATCTTCGAAGCACATTCTTGATAATTCATTCTTCCTACTGGGAGATACAATATTTTTTAGTGTCTTCCACGTCATTTTACTGTTATCTTTATTGCTATCGATTTTGTTTTCATAATATTTTTTCTTTTCGTTCCTAAGATTTGTTAAACACTTGTTTCTTGATTTCTTATATTGTATCCAATCTTCCTCAGTTTGAGTGATCATAAACTGTTTATAGTCATTATCACGCGTCAATTTAGAGTCTAGAAATATTTGTGAAAATCAGAGTGTTGGCTTTTTCCTTTGATATACCACTTTCCTAATTTGTGCGTCTCTCATGCAGTTCTCCATACAATCCATAGTTTTTGAGAAGTAAATGTCAGTATCATTAAAAATTTCAGTGATATTGGCTTGTAAGAGTCACTCTTGTAACGTTTCAAAGTCAATAATTGTGATTTCTCTTGATTCTCTCTCATTAAACATATTTTCCACCTCGAAACATATCCTCGAATGGTCGCTTATTTTTGGAAAAACCTTAATACTCTAATTCTGTTCATTGGTTATTATTAAATCGATCTTAGTTCGTAATCCTTGTGTAGTCATTAACTGTTTGCCACAGACCATGAAAGTTCAGTACTTGTTTAAATTTTTTTACATAAAAATCTTGATTATCAAAATTTATATTGAAGTCTCCCAAGTGCACAGTGGAGCAATTTCGATAATACTGTTTTTCACAAACACTCTCAAAAAAGTCAAAAAATCGGGTAATATTACAGCTTGGAGATCTGTAGTAAACGTGTACATTGTAATTTTGTTTTATCTTGATTTCAAAATTAATATACCTCCATTGATAATCAACAACTACAGTATTATGTGTTCTTACTTCAATCATACTCAGTTTGTGTATTAGTATGCCACCTGTATGTTTCGAAACTGTGGTTACTCTTACAACATCATAATGATGAATATCAATCTCCATATCTTCAATATCTTCTGTAATATGTGTTTCAGTTAAGCAAAGAACTAATGGTTTCACAATATTAAAAAATTTATAACTTCATCCCTGTGCGATAAAAATCCTTGAATAGTTATATGGTATACATTGTTAGAATATTGTCAAATGTTTATGAAACTTCACTACGATATATGGATCTAACGCTTACTCAACCGATACTTCGATTTTCTAGATCACAGTGACCACAACCAAATCATTCTTGGAATACATCAAGAGCCAGCCAATAGTTTTCGAAGTATTTGGGCATTACCAGCAACATCCCTTGCACAAAGATGCCAAACTGGAAGGTAGTGGTGTTAGGCAACCACCAAGGAGAATGCTACCTCCATCAATACCGATTTCTCAACCAGTTAGATCCAGCAAATTTGGTGCTTTGCCATCTCCTTGCACTGCACACATACATGCAAAGGTGAGAATTCATATTTTCTTGATTGAAGGATATTAGACGTTATTTTAGACGTATTGAAAAAGGAAGTCAAGTAGATTGACCATATATGAGAAATGATCGTTTCAAATTTCTATTAAAGACCATATGTTGAAAAACACCGAAAGACGAAGTTGGTATTTTTTAACTCTTGAGCGCTGGCCCGCTTTTCAAAATCTACAAAGCTTTTTTCATTTCACCAAAATCCGAGCAGTGCTTTCTGACTTAGAGAAGAGCCTATGAATACCAGGCCCGCGCCGGAAATGAGTGAAGTTCTTTTCGTGATGTGATGTGTTGTCATTCAATGCCAAAAAACAGAATATATCTTGATTTTCAAATTTTTCTTGATTCGATTCGAATTTACTCGATCTTGAGCTACATGATACTTTTCTTATTTCAGGTTGATGTACTTGTATGGTTTGAAATTTGTGAACTGGCACCAAATGGAGAATACGTCCCTGTGGTGGTTGAACATAGCGATGATTTACCTTGCAGAGGTTTATTCCTGCTACATCAGGTAAGTTTGGAATTAACATTAACATTTATTTTAAAATACCTGTTATGAAGCTCAAAATTATTAGTCGTCATAGCTACGTAAGGTACATTTCCAAGAACAGACAATATATACAAATATACATGATTACCGATATCCGAACCTTCTTATCATTTCCAAAATTTGTTCATGTTAAGAATTTTTAGGATCGCCACACCTGAAGTATTTTTCTGAGTACGCCACTGGTCTCTTTTTGATTGTATACTGTCGTTTCATCACTCAGCGCAAGATACACGTTTTATGTCGTTTGAACTGTTTCCACTTTCGTAACGATACGCATGGATATAGTTTTCCAATTGAACATTTTGTTTTTTACTTTTCTTTCGAAAGGTAGCCTATATGCGCAAAAATTGCAAGAGATTCTGAAAGTGTATTTTAAAATATTCTACATAATGAGAGTCAGAAACTCATGACACACCAGCGACGCACAATGTTTGCTATCATGTTCATATGTGCCAGAAAGTTGAAATCTAAATAGTGTGCAACATAATCCCCCATATTTCTCTGACCAATCGAAACCATATGTATTAAAAAATCTTCTATATTGTAAAAGTTTTGGACACAACGGTGACCTCAGTACAATGACTTTAAAAATATATTTTAATTACCTGTCTTCCAGGTGACACTTCATTTGTTTTTCTTTTCATTTGTATATTCCTATACAGTGTGTGACATTAGTCTGCAACATGTTGCGCTGAATGGGTGCATCGTGCAATATGTGCCGTTACTTATTACAATGTAAACGTACCTGTAGCGAGCATTTTCATATCCAGGGTATCCAACGCCGAATTCGAATAACGATAGTCCACGACCAAGAAGCAGAGATAAAATGGCGTGACGTACGGGAGCTAGTCGTGGGGAGGATAAGAAATTCTCCAGAATCTGACGAAGACGAGGATAACGACAACTCTGTGCTGTCTCTTGGACTGTTCCCAGGAGAGTATTTGGAGATCCCTGGGGATGACAGGGTGATGTTCAGATTCGAAGCGGCATGGGACAGTTCGCTACATAACTCGCCTTTGTTGAACAGAGTGTCATCGCAGGGAGAGCAGATCTTCATGACAATCTCTGCATACTTGGAGGTAAGTAAAGTGATAAGGACAGTGGATATGTGCTTGGGTTCGATTTTTAACCGATTCTCGAATATCAACTACGTATAAACTGCTTTTCTTGCCCCAGCAACTGTGAATTCTAAATAAAGTTCCATAAACCAACACTTGTTGAGTAACTGCAATTGTCACATTGCAATTCCTTATGTCATATTGCTACTTTTGCAAAATCCCACAGCATACATAGCAGTATTTTTGGATTGAAGAGGGCATTTGAAACGATTGATAGAGATATTTTGTTAGGTAAATTGAAGGCATATGGTATAACAGGAAGTGTTTTAGATTGGTTTAGAAATTATTTGTCTAAAAGGATGCAAGTTACAAAAGTAATGACACTATTTCATCAAAAATTGAAAATACGTTGGGTGTTCCACAGGGCAGTATCCTGGGACCACTTCTTTTTATTTTATACATAAATGATTTACCTGCCATAGTAAAAAATGCAAAATTCAGATTTTCGCCGATGACACTATGATTTATATGAGTACTAAAAATATTCTGACTGGTATCTCTTATATAAATGAAGACTTGAAACTTGTCTCAAAATGGTTAGCATCTAACAGACTAAAATTAAATACAAGTAAAACGAAAGCCTTGTTAATCGGAAAAAACAATGTACAAATGTTCAACTGAATATTCATGAGGATATTGAATTCGTAGAAAATTTTAAATACCTTGGGATTAATTTTTGATATTCATTATGAAAAAGTTATACATAAGATTAGTAGTAAAGTGGGATATTTATCGAGAGTTTCTGGATGTCTGAGTTCATATAGCAGAAAAATTATCTATAATACCATCATTCTTCCAAATTTCTTATACTGTTCGACTATTCTATATTTAGCAAATAATTCCATTTTTGAAAGACTGCAAATTTTACAAGATAAGTGCATGAGAATAATACTAAATAAAGATAAATGTACTCCAATTAGGCAAATGCTTAGCAAATTAAAATGGCTCAATGTAAAAAATTTTATCAAATATCTTGTAATGATATTCATTTATGAAGTAAAAAATAATATATTTCCATCAAGTCTAACTAATTAAACATCATCAAATGTAGACCATCATTTACATAATACCAGAAATAAAGATGACTTCCATTTAATGACATATGCTACAAATCTGTATTCCATCAAGGGTTGATTGAATATAATAAATTATACTCAGAGATAAAAGACCAGAAAACTTTGACAAAATTCAAAGTAAAATTGAGAAATCACTTGTTAAATCTACAATTATAGGTTGCCCAGCATTTACATCATACACCATATGGCTTGAATTTACTAGTTCTAAGTTGTTTACAATTATTCTGTTTATGTAGCCAAATGTGCTAAATAAATATTTCTACTACTACTACATATTAATGCCTTGCACTATCTGTAGTGATATTGCGACATTGCTCCAGAGATGGCAATTGCTTTGTTATCCCTAAGAAACCCTTTCCAGCTCATGGGCAGCATATACCTCTCGCTAAGGGCGGATTTAGAGGGGCCGATGCTGGCGACCCCGCCACACTGGAAACCTAAGTCTTCATTTTTTTTTTTAGAAAATGGCAATGGAGACACGTGCGCCCCTCCGCGTTTGCTCTCAGAAGCGGTGTATATGTATGCAACTCCCCTCCCCTTTAGACACATTCTTAAATCCGCACTGGCCTCTTGCACACTTGCACATCAGAATCAATGATAAAATAGCACTGAAACTGTTTCCCTGGGCCCTTGTTGTGCAGACAATTCAGTTATATTTGTTCTGTTACATCTTGTTCCAAAAGTATGCTTCAAATATTGTCCTACGAGCATGCATCCCACAAATCATGTTAGAAAAATTCGGGTTACATTAGTTAAGTTAAATGATGCGCCAGTCTTCAATGGGTGGTATTCAAGACGTAGAATCAGTGAAAATTCTGCAATAAAATACAAAACATACACTTTCACTTACAGATAGAAGAAATCTGGAAGCTGTAGTTTCCTATCCCAGATCATTTATTCATGACCTTAACTATATGATTTGTTTTGCAGCTGGAAAACTGTGGTAGGCCCGCCATCATAACCAAGGATCTGAGCCTGGTAATCTACGGTCGAGACGCCAGGACTGGCCCCAGGTCCCTAAAGCATCTTTTCTCCGGCAGTTATAGGAACGCCGAGGCTAACCGTTTATCAGGAGTTTATGAGTTACTTCTTCGTCGTGCTAGTGAAGCAGGTAGTCCAGGTAGATTCCCTTTAGTGTCCTCTCCTTGACCCCCAAGTTTACTTTTTGATTTTTGTTTTGTTTTGGTTGCTGCATAGAAACAGAGGTTAGCTCTGAGGTAGTTCTTCAAGTGAGTATTATTATGTTGCTGTACTTCGAATGGATAAAAGTGTTCCAAGTCCAGCGACAGCCAAGCATATTGGTATTGGTCACTTTGTACCTTGAATTATTTTTGGTCGCCGCGTGATGTCGCTTATTGTTATTTGTTGAAATATCCCACTTGAGTCGGGTTTAACCTATAATTGATCGGCTACTACAAGAAGTGCTCTATTTTGTTCTGCATGATACTGTGGAAAAATGTTTATGACTCGGAACACTTTTATAAATTCGCCGTAAAAAATGACTTCATAGAGCTTGACGTCCAAAGTACTAAAAGATACATTTCATTATCACCTCATTTCAAGTTTTACGAAATATAATTCGAAATGTAATATAATTTTGAATATCGTTATTTTTGGTTATATGTTATATCTAATACCTTTACTTTTTGATATCAGTGATTTAAAAGCGCGACGTGATCACGACTTGCGAATAACGATGAGTGAGTTCCGCTGAGGGAACGGATCGCACCGTAATCGATGCAGGTGTAATGAGATGTAAAGCCGTAATTATTTCTAACATCGTTCGATATTGTTGTTAAACGTTTTAAGTGTGTAGTGACGTACAGATAATGGCATTTTTAGTGAAATTTTACTAAAACGCATGATTGATCTTACACGTGCTTATTGAGAGTAATTTGTAATTGAATCAGTTAACGGAATCGTCATGACCTGATAGCCATCTATATATTTATCAAACAGGATGTTACAAATTCGACCCTCACCATTGGGATCTCGGAAACTGAAAGCGATACGAAGTCGCTTGAATGGGGAAAAAGTTGCGTAATTAAATAATCAACAAAATGTCCCTCAGAAAGTTTCGAAATTCAAAGTACTTCCGGAGAGTGACAAAAAACCGCATTTTCTCAAAATCGTTTTAATTTCTTCCTGAGTTATTTGTAGTGGGATTTCAAAATAAATTGTACATTAACTTTGCTACAAGACAACATAATTGAAATTTTAATATGACGTTTCGTCCCCTGTCCTCCAGCATTAACATTATTTTGTTTATGGACGCCATATTGAATTTTTGCGCAGATGAATAGATTTTTTAATTCTGATTAAAAAAATGCAGAATTTGATACATTGACATTTCCAAACCTTCAGAAAATAGAAGTTTCTAGGTCTTGAAATTATCAGATTCCATTTGTTTCGTATACCAGACCGGACCTCAAATTAAACATAGCAACAGAGTTTGGAAATCTTACAAAAGAGAAATGAATCGAATAGTGAGCAATTTACAGAGTTAGTTCGGCTTTGCCTCCAAAATAACGTACAACCACCAACGGATTACCGTCAATAAAATTCTCATTTTGTGTGCAGGTTTCACCCTAACTTTTTATTTCCTTATAATTTTCATCCAGCAACAAGTTCATAGCCAACTAAGGAAATACATCACTGAATTTAGATTTGAAAAGTCCATTTAAATGTACAAAATTCCAATAGAACGTCAGTAAAAAAAAACAAAGTTGCTGAAGGAAGTCAAAAGAAGAAATATCGAATTGAAAATTTCACTACGCCATCTTGTAGAGAAGAATAAGTAATGAGGTCAACATGCAATTTATTTTGAAATCCTATCTCAAATAAAGTCAGGAACAATTAAAACGATTTTGGGAAAATTCTGTTTTTTCGGTCCATCTCCATAAGTACTTTGGATAAGCGACATTTTCTTGACTACTTAAACTATGCAACTTTGCTCCCATTCAAGTGACTTTGTATCTCTTACAGCTTCCGAGAATCGCAATGGTGAGGATCGAATTTGAAACAGCCTGTATATTCTGAGTAAAATACCGCGATAAAATCACTTGAATCGAAGTACCAACACCTATAAGGCACAATATCGCTTCCAAGCCATGTGGTAATCCTACGGTGGTGTATGACTTTCGACCTTACCAACTGCACATCTCCTACACATATTCCAACATTAGCGCCTAGAACCCCAGGTGGTGATCACGTCACGCTGTTTCACGGTGTTTCGTAACAGCCGTGATTCGTCATTTATAATATCAGTTACTAAATCACAGTTCGTGAAATATCTGCCACGACTAGCTCGCTCTATGATTTATATGCTATGATGCTTTTTATTGTTTTTAGCGATATAATTTATCCCAATCTCTTTTAGATATAGATTTAGATTGAACTTAAACAGGGTATTCTTAAAATTTCGGCAATTTCCTTCACACAGCCTATATTTCTTGTAAAAGTCTTAAGTGAACCGAGTTATAAGGTAATGCTCTAGTAACCTAGGTAACGTCTACCGTGTACTTGTAACGTGTAGTTCTGTCAGGTAGCAGCAACGCGGCTGTGTACGAGAGAGGTGTGTTTAAACACATACCTGTATGTTAGAAAGAGATTGAAGTCGGCTGGATAGCGAAGCTCATCATCGCGTTGCTTAGCAACGCTGACTGCGGCAATCTGCCTTTTGAGCGTACGCATTTTTTAGTCGTGTCGAATTGGTTTAGGATCGATTCGGGATCGGCCCTAACGGCGCTTCATTTCCGGTCCGGTTCGCTACAAATTCTGCAACATTACATCGTTGGTGGGCTTGGTAAGACCGCATCTCGTACATTCCAAGGCAAGCTTTCCACCTCAATGATCACAGATGAGCGATTTTGGTCAGTACCCATCTAGCGCTCATTGGGGAGTGTCGTCCTGCTTCGAAATGGTTTCCACCTCCGGTCACGCAGGCTGTGATAATTTGTATTGCGTAGGAAATCAAAGATAATTCTAAAATAAATTGATTAATATTAAAATAAATAATTCTAATCAAAATGAAAACAACATATTAAATTAAATGTGCAATCAGACCTTCTTATTGGGTTTCATAGTAACCTAACCTTTTGAAGAAGCCTGTGCGAACATTTTCTGGTGTAACATATTGGCAACGCGGCAGATTGAACGACCTTCTGTGTCACCGATGCTAGGTGATGACCTTCGCTTCTATCTCTTTCTAACGTGTGTTGATGCAGACTTCTCGCGATTCTCTCTTATACACATTAAACTCAAGCCGTTAGACCAATTTGTTTTTTTTTCTGTATATTAGGTAATATTTAGGTTAAGACTTTAGTCAAGCGGATTCGTACGGCGACCCACTGTTGGGTCACTCAGTGGACGACACGGTGGAGCAAGTTCCTAAACATCCAAGGTCACGGCTCGCACCGTGATAAAAAATTAGCGCGAACTTTTAGTAAACCCAAAAGCACCTTCTAACAAAATCTAAATCAAATTTTGTTCTTAGTTCATCTCAAAATTTATCCATGTACCAAGTTATAAAACCTAAATGCTTCCTCTTAAACTGATACACTTCTGTTTTCTCTGCTCTTCTCCTAGACATTGTCTGGGTTCTGGACAACCGAGACTGGCAGATTCGACTATCGCCCTAACAAAAAAATGACGAATAGACTTTAGTTTTAATCTTTCCCTGAATAAACCGGTTTGGCGAGCGGTAAAACTATAGTGCGATTTTTATTATAAGGTTCCAAAAAATCTGTGGGATCAAATCCGGCACTGCCTCCAACAAAAATTTGGGTGAAAAAATACAACATAGGTCAGTATACAACTCTACGCTACGCCTTGTGTTTACGAATTGGATTCAAAAAACCGAAAATGGCACAACAATATAATCATAATATATATAATAATCATCTTTTCGTTTTGATGTTAATTTACGGTGGGCCCCTTTAAAAACTATTGATTCTTGGCGGGTGCATTGCGATTGTTTTCCTAGACGTTTCCATCCCGCTCCGCGTGAGTTTTTTTATCTCGTACGAAAATCAGTTTGTAGGAACGTCAAAGTGGGCCCAGTAGAAGACCTGTACCGCACCAAGAATGTCACAAACTGAAAAAGGTCAACAAAGCTTCTCTGAGGGAAAGTCTAAACTTTCAGAATACCCTGTAAAGACAGTTTTAATATTTAACCAATAGAAATTCGACTGATTTAATATTTTTGAACTATCATCGTAACGTGTATACCAAAATCTACATTCTTATCAACTTCTATTATAGGAGTCCAGAGGCGCCAGCGAAGGGTCCTGGACACTAGCTCCACCTATGTCAGAGGTGAAGAGAATCTCCATGGCTGGAGACCAAGAGGCGACTCCCTCATCTTCGATCACCAATGGGAGTTGGAGAAGTTGACGCGATTGGAAGAAGTCGAGAAAGTAAGACACACCTTGCTGTTGAGGGAAAGACTCGGATTGGACAGAACGCTCAACTACAACCGATACCACTTGGATTATACGAAGAACGAAAAAGAAGTTTGCAATATGGTGGCTAAAAACAATAACATAAATGCTAATGGTGAGTTTTTTTATCATGAGTTTTATTAAAGATAGTATTAAAATTAATTCGAAGATGAACAGGATGTAATTGAAAAGGTTGAACCTTGAACCAAAACAATGCAGGTTACACATTGAAGATTTGGCGTGAAAAATGATGGTATTCTCCGCCCTTGTATTTTTAATAGTACTTCGTTTTTTGCACGAGTATTCGAGTATTTCAAATGCATACATTAAAAGAGAACTCCTACATGCTCTATATTTCACACCGGAGGAATCAACCAGGATAATTCGATTTTTATTCTGGATACCTATAGATCAGAGATAAACGTTATTTTTTTGTCATGTGACAGAAGCCTAATCCATCATAACAGAAGAACGGGGCGTGGAAAAACTTATAGCGTTACGCTAGAACTTACTACGAGACAGTTTTTGGCAGAGAACATTTCTCGATCATAGAAAAAAGTGAAAATACTTTGAACTTATTTTTGGAGTCTAAATGTTAGTAAAAAATAGGTTATTCAATGGCAAGTAGACCGCATCTACTTTACAGCCAGAATCGTCAGCATCTAGCGGTCACCTGCACTGAGATCAATAATAGTTCCAACTAATAGCACCTCCCGGGTGACGGATAGTTGCGATTTAGTTCGTTGACCTAGAGACGAGAAACCACGCCTAGACCATGCTGATGAGTAGCTAAGAAGCACGACACAGATGTCCGTGGTTGGCTGTATTTTGGTCGGACTGACGAAAATACTAGTGGCTACTCCGCCGAGTTGAAAATTTTGGAAAATGTCTTGTTCCATGAAATAGACGAATTACTTTCTTGGTAGTTCTAAAGAAGCTTGTTGGTATAGTTTTACGCCCATAAGCACTAGGTAGCGATACAAGTATGTTCCAGAATCTAGTGCGCATATAAAATTGGCGTCAAGTAGATAGACTCCGTACCGCCCACGCACTTTGAACGTATGCAAATAACATATAATGAACATTTAAAATTTTTCTCTTTCAGTAACCGTCGACAACTCATATGACTACTCAGATCGCGAGAAGCAACTCCTCCTGAAATGCGTCAGGTTGATTCAAGGTCGCCACCGAGGGGGAGATTCTGCTACGAACAATAACAACAAAGATAATGAGATAGCCAGTCCTTCAGAAGAGATCACTGAAATGAGTACTAGCCTCATGTCCAGCATCATGTCCAGTAACTCAATGGAACTGTGCTCTCCAGAAAGGTAAACATAGTGAACTCCGATATTCAAGTTACAACTTTATTCGACACATAGTAAAATAGTCAAGTTTGTGGACGACACAGCTATACTTTATAAAGGTTAAGGATTAGAACGACTTGAAAGATATTATCCAAAGTAATTTCTATCACTATCTAATCATCTACCAAGTTATAACCACGTTCTCTTTTAGGTAAATGATAAGATCACAAAATCAATACAGTCGCTGATCCAAAATATACTCAGTAACATTAGAAGTGTTGCATCCAGATAAAAATAATTTCTTTAACTTGTTTTTTGGCAATGGGGTAGTTTTACTTCAAGACTGAAACGATAACATTCTCACGAAATTTTATCGACAAGTAATAAGAAAAATATTAATAATGTGTTGGGCGACCTCGCAGCTGAATACAATCCTGTATACGTCTAGGCATCGACAAAATGACATGATCTATGTCTGGTTGTGGCACCTCATTCCAAGCAACTCGAACTTCGTGGATTAGCTGTGACAGAGTCTGTAAAATGGATAGTCTCCTCCCCATCATGTCCCACTCATTTTCCATGGGATTTAAATCCGGTGAACTTGGTGGCCACGTCAAAACATTAACGCGCTTCTTGAAGAAAGTCCGTCGTACGACGAGCAATATGGGAACGTGCGTTGTCTTGCTGAAAAAGGACGTGTGGACGGTCCTCTAGATACGCCAGTAAAGTGGTTTGTTGGACAATTATCGACATCACGCGCAGCAGTCATATTGCCTTGAACAAAGAGAAGGGGTGATCGGCCCCCAAGCCATTAGTCCAAAAGTCCTGTATGCATGGCTCTCAACTTCGCTGAAGATGACATTATGCCATTTTACCTCCCAATGTTGCCGTTCTCTGCTCCGGTTCAAACTTTGGCGACAGTGGTCCGCAGTCAGAGGAAGCACTAACCGTGAACAGTATAAAAAAAGTCCAAAGGCTCGAATGCGGCGATAGAGTGGTCCGCCATGAGACGCGTAGTAGCAAAACGGTCTCGTACGGCTGGTCTGAAGCGCCTATCTTGACGCTCTGTGGTACGCGCTTCGGTGGACCAGTTGTCCTTCTTCGTGTTCCTCTACCTTCTTCTATCCACATACGACACACATACGTATTACCGGCATTGCAGTACAATTTTGCGATATGACAAACCAACACCTCGATAGGCAATAATTCTACCCCTGTCAAAGTCGCACAAATATATGTTACTAAACAATTTTACTTCTTACATACCATGACCTATTATCACAAAATTATTTGTGAACGCGACTCAATCAAACATAGTCATAACACCAAATATAAATTACGCGCAAAAAATGTTTCTAAACACAAATCTGTAATGAAACTATCACACCTGTATTTAGCACCGAAATTGTATGAACATTTACATATTATTTAAAAGAATTGCTTAATACGTTGTTTAAAAAAATGAACTAATACGCTTGAGATAAACAACATTAATGGCTTAATCTCAAATGTTACACAGTAAATACTATCATTCTTACAAATCATTTCTTCTCTCTATTCTTTCTTTTTTATCTGTTGCAATTCGGCATACAATTGATCCATGCAGAGGCATTGTCCTTCTATGGATACATTATATTTACTCATTTCACGTTACCTGTATTTGTAGAGTAAATAAATATTACTATTTCATAAGTCAAATAAAATTAACGCTAGCGTACAGATATGCGGTAACGTGAGTGGTTATAACTCTTTGTCATTGATGAGGAAGTTAGAGAAATAAGGAAACTTTGAAAGTAAAGAATGAATTAATAATAGGGCCTTAGATCGAAAAAGTTCCCATTTTTCACATACTTCCGTATAAGGACGTTAGGACTTTCTGTGGAAATGCAATCACCTTGTATATTGCTATTAGGTCTGCCGCACTTCCTGGAGAATGCGCCTCATTCCCACAAATCCCGATGGCTCCAATGGGCCCCAGAGATCCTGAGCTCGTCCTCTACGTACCCGATATGGAAGAGATAAGAATTTCTCCCGTTATAGCGCGTAAAGGGTATCTCAACGTTCTGGAACACAAGACACACGGTTGGAAGAAAAGATGGGTGGTAAGTATCTCATTAAAACTACATTACATTACATTTCACTCGACTTCATGCCTTTTTCGACACTTTGATGGTCTTTGTCAATTATTAGTTGTTGAACTTGTGCTATCATGCTTCTAATAAACTTATTCCATTATTCTAGACTCCTAGATTTTAAGTTTGTTCGTGCTCATACGATGGCAGAGGATTTTCAGTAAAATCCTGATTGTATTATGATTTTTTAACATTTTCAATCCTTTTTCACAGGCTGTTCGTCGACCTTACGTCTTCATCTTCAGGGACGAGAAGGATCCTGTTGAAAGGGCTTTGATTAACCTAGCAACGGCTCAAGTAGAATACTCCGAAGATCAGTTGTCTGCAGTTCGTCTACCTAACACGTTCAGTGTAGTTAGCAAACATAAGGGATACCTTTTGCAGACACTACAGGTAAGCATTGCCACCTGGTATGATAAAGGAAATATCAGAAATTGACGAGAAAATAAGTATATATGAATATTGATCGATGCGTTTGGCGTGCGGGTTAAATGGAACGTTGGACCGCAGCGCAACGTGCTTTTGCTATCGAAGCTTACTTTAAGAGTGGTGATTCATACGCAGCTGCCCTTCGGAAATTTTGTACACGGTACAACATTGGCCGACCAAGAGATGCCCCAAGTAAGAACCCATTCCTGGCCCCACTACTGTATCAACCGAAGAAAATGTGCGTCGAGTAAGTGATTCGGTCATTGCAAATCCTCGGCGTTCTGTCGTTACCTCCGAGAGTACAAGGCCAAACAACTGGGCCCTGAAAAGCCTATGACGTCACGCAAAGTAGTCCTATGCATGTTCTTATGGAGTTTTGCGATGCCTGGCTGGCAAGAGAACCGCGCCACCATTTCTCTGCGGTGTTGTCATATCTAGATTTGATATAGCAGTATCGAAATCTCTACTATAATTAGTTGTACCTCGCTGTGGGCGAATTTGCAAGATGTACTCGGGGCCTGCGCAGCTTCAGTTATGATGTGATTATTCTTTCTGATCTGCCTCAGTATTTCAATAATACATTTTCGATATTACGTTCAATCTGTCACTTGTGAAGTCTAATATTCCATTCAAAATTGGAATATGTGGCAACCTTGGTAATACCGCTAACATCCAACAGCCAACTAACCTCACATTCTGAGCCTCTATTATGTATCTTTCTATGCTATGTAAACTGAAAATTATTGATGTTTTAAACTTATATTTGTGTTTTGTTTAGCTATGTTTTCAAAATGCCTTACAAGTGCTGCGTTCCTAATTGTGCCGGTAATTACGGGAAGGGTCCGAAGGCACACGTATTTTCGTTTCCATTGAATGAAAACTGTCGTAAAAGATGGCTCAATGCAATCCCTCGTAGTGATTTAGTGGTTACAAAAAACACCCGAGTATGCAATTTGCACTTTGCTGAGGACAGCAGACAGATAGGACCATTACTGTACCCCTTAAGTATCCAAAATTAAAGGCAGATGTAATTCCAAGTATCTTTGCAAATTGTCCAAAATACCTTTCGACATATCAAGCAGAAGAAGCCGATATGAGAAATTGAGGGACAAGGAACAAGAACAACTACTTAAAGCACTGCAAAGTAGCATTGATGATTATTCCTCCTATCAAAAATTAACAAGTTTGCAAAATTATTCAGACTTTCTCACAGTTTTCAGTTCATGTCAATGTCCATATGGGTGGCATAAAATTGTTCAGGATAAAGTTACATTGTTTAAGTTAGAATATAAACCAGCACCCATCATAACTCACTCTTTAATTTTTGATTTTCATTGATATTATATGGAAGTGGTGGAGAATTGTCAATGTAAAAAGTCCATTGAAAGAAAAGCGGTTAAATGACCTTTATGCAGAGCCTATTGTTTGCTCCAACAGTGATGGACAAGGTGGTGACAGTAAGCTGACATTCTTGTAAAAAATGCTAGAAAATGGAAGAGTGGAATGATCCAGCAAAATTTTCAAAAAGACTAACTAGTCAGACTTACACTACACTACATCATACAGTATATGGATTATTGGAATTAGTAAGGTACTGTAAATCTGAACTGCACAGTAATTATAAGTACCATTATATTATGCCTATAATAATAGTAAATTGTCCACATATTCCTGTGAAATTTTGTTGATCTGTTGTGTGAATTTATCATTTAAAGCAAGCTTTTATAACATCAACGTATTACTCTAATGCGCACGTAATGTTGGATGAAATATCAGTGAAAATCAGGGTGGAAATTAATATTATTATTATAATATTATACTTCAATATTTTCCACCAAGTTGCCTTCATATACCAAAAACACTTTTCTGAATTATCCATTATTTACATCAGGCAGAGTTATATTAAATATGCTGCAATAATAATATATTATTCACTAGCGCTGATGTACGGCATGCCGTGCTGTCGACCGGCCTACTCGTGGTGACGTCACGAATCTGTTGTCAGGCCTTGTACTCTCGGTGGTAACGGTTCTGTACGGAAGCATTCCGCTGCTTTGGGAATCCCTAGGTCAACACTGCATGGCATAATGGAGAAAAAAAATGGGTTTTCATCCTTATAAAATCCAATCAGTCCATGTTTTAAAGGAAAGTGATTACGTATTACGAAAATCTTGTGCTACGCAGCGCCAGACTCGAGAACGCTATTTTCAGTGAGGAGGCCCACTCTCACTTAGACGATTATTTTAACAAGCAAAATTGCAGATATTGGGCACCAACGAGCCAAACAACAGCTACATAGTCCAAAGGTGACTGGTGCGCCATATCGTTTAGCGGTATTATTGGGCCATATTTCTTTGAAGATGAAAACGGTCATGCATTGACAGTCAATTCTGAGCGATACAAGGACATAATTGATACTTTTTAGCTCCTATTGTAAGAATAGAAGATCGATTCAACAGAAACACATGGTTTCAACAGGATGGGGCCTCTGTCCATGCTTCCAGAGAATCGATGGACACGGTGAAAGCACTTGTTCCTCAAAAATAAGTTATATGGAAGTTTGGAGACATTCACTGGCCTCCTAGGTTACCCGACCTCATGCCATGCGATTATTTTTTGTGACGGAAGGATATTTAAGAAATAAAACCCGCCGAATTTACGAATATGTTGATAGTAAGAAATATTTCTTTTCATTTTTTTTTCTTAAATCAAAAAGTGAACTTTCCCATTGGACACCCTGTACTATGCCAATGGCGAAAAGACTTTATATTTTTTGAAGGTCAGTCCAGTGGCGGGGGGAATAAAGCGAAAAAAACAACAAATCTCTTAAGGTACGTTATTTGACGTCCAGAGGCTGATCATTTTCAGAAAGAATTTGCAGGGGCTAAAAATTAGCGGTTGTAGGGGATGACATTAGTATATTTATATGCTCCCAACCACTTTGTTTCTGCTCCCTGAGTTCACTGGAGGGTGTGCCGATCTCTATAGATCGAGTCTCCTTTTACCACCGCTGTGGCGCGTCGTACGGTCCGGTACGCGGAAGAGGCGACGTTGTCAGATGGATGGTACTATCGGTAGGGCAGGGAAATAATAATAATAAAACTAATTGTATTTACCTGATTGACCGGCTTGATCTGTTTAATTTCTCTGTTCTTGTTCGTAACTAACTTTTTTCTCAGAGGGTCTAACGTGTGCTGAACATGATCCTTTATGAAGTGATGCCATTTTTTCAAGAGTGATGCATTTGATCTCATTTTTGTCGTTGTGCGTATAAAACGTATTTGAAATTTGTTATTTTTCCATGGCGGAACTCTGGTTATATTCTAAAGCACAAGGCGTGCCAGAACTTACAACTTGTTTTATGTTTCAACTTTGGAGGGCAAATTTTTGCCACTTCTGGTTCATAGAAGACAAAATAAAAATACAATTTTAATAATAAAAAAAATGGAACACGACACATAAAATAAATCAATTTTGCTGCCGCTAGCATGGTTGGATGCCAAACTGCCAAGGCAAAAAGACATATTTGATAGAAAAGTAAGGTGTAACCTTAGACATGACTACAAACCCAGCTAGTGCTATCTAATTTTAGCTTTCCAGATTACCCCCATTGTATGTGGCCAAGAAAAAAGCATCTTAACGTCGGTCTCATTTTTTATGACATGTTATTTCGGGCCCCAGACTGTCATGAGTGTCCTCAGTTTTAGTTCGAGAAGCCGGTATTGAGTACACTATATCATAATTTATTACGACTCGCAAGTCAAACAACAAAACCCATTTTTTTTTTAGGAGAAAGACGTTCACGACTGGCTATACGCGATCAACCCTCTGCTAGCCGGCCAGATCAGATCGAAATCTGCACGTCGCAACCCGCAACAAGAGAACAGCACCACCACCACCCCAACCAATGCCACCCCTAAAGAGGTAACCGTCAATCTCAAATGAGATTTGATCACCATGGAATCCGTGCTGGTCTATTAGTAAGCTTCAATGTACTGTCGTATTACTCATCGTATTTTAAACGAACAGGGCTGTGATTCGTTCTGTGAAATACCGAGAGACGTCGGGCTTGTCAAGAACGAGCGCAGGCTTGTACATTTTGGATTTCATCAAGGTATTGCGGATAGTCGAAATTAAAGCAGTTTTTTGATCGGAAAATGATTTGGTATTCATTTGGGAGCTGTGTTACTTGAATCGCTGCTGAAAACACTATGCGCTCATACGGGATGTAACTTTTCGTGCTCATGTATAGGTTATGTTGATGGTCTCTAATATTTTTTTAAAAATGCTGTTACAATGAAAAATCAATCCAGATGCTGCACTATGGCTCTATGCTAAAGGAAGGAAATACAGTTTCATGATAGAGGGTCATAGGCATTGCTGATATGATTAGACATGTCTTCAAGAATATTTCATTTGAGTGCAGGCTTCATTCGAATGTAGACGTTGTCAATAGAGTAACGTCAACAAAAAAGCATCGCGCAGGCTCATGTTATACGATTCCTTGGTGTTACCTTGGTCTAACTATAACCAATGTTAATATACATACCTTCAATATAATCTATAGAATCTTGTGCTTTTTTATAGCTCCACATTCTTAATATTTCATATATTCATACTATGGTGAATTGCAGCTTTGTAGATTGAAGAAGAAATGAAATGCGTTTACCTTTGTTGGTCTGTAATGATGTCTCAAAACTTGATAGTTCGTTGCATCTTTGTGAAATCCAAACCTAGCGTTATATTTTTTGTATAAAAAAGAAGATATAAATGGCATTTTTGGAGAGTTATCGGAGGACATTGAAGGTTGTGATTCATTTTGTCCAAACAGAGAATGTCCATTTATTGCGAAAACTTCAAATTTCTAATTTTCTCGAAAATATTTTATAAAGGTTATGTTGCTGTTTTGTCACATAGAAGGCAATGTAACACAATAAGACACACACGTATTGCATTTCTGTTTTGAAGACCATCTAATCCTCATCGTAAGTAGTTACATTTTAGATGTGCATGTGCATATGAGCGTACGCTGGTATGAAATACTTCACTTTTTTTGGAAAATCAATTGCCAGTGTTCATAATAGCAATTCATACGGTCATTTAAAGAGTTTAGGTTAGAAGCTTTTGTGGTATCATAGAATGGACATTCTTCTTACATTTTTATTACGCGGATTCCAATTTCGTTTTTATACGCTATAAAGGGTAATAAGTTATTACAAGTGATTAATTTTCTAGTCAGTTTTGTTGATAAGCGTAGATTTATTTATAATCTAGTTTAACTGATATGAAAGTGATATTTGGGAACGTATAGAATTTTAGAAAAAAAAAGATATATTTGACGAAGGCTAGAATCATGGTGAGAATGGTGGTTGAGTCATGAAAAAATGCAAGAAGCTAAGAGTGTTTTACTAAAGCGCTTAAGGTTTCCTCACACGTAGCGGTTTATGGTAAAGATCGCACTGAATGAAGGGAAAAGACATTAAGGTAGCTGAAATTGACTGGCAAGACTATTTTATGTAGAGGGAGATCTAAGTTTATAGACCAAAACTATAATGATGCGCCAACATAACGCTACGTGTGTGGAAGAGCTTTAGGTTGTGTAAGATTGGCATAAAGTCAAAATTTTGCTCAGATGTCAAGGGATGTTCCTACATTTTTTCAGGGCTGGCCAGTTGTGAGATAATTGTTGAAAGCACTTGAGTATTAATCTTAGGTTTTTTGGAGATCTCAATGTTTTCAGAGATGTTAAAGGATGCTTATATTTATCATTGTAATGAAAATATATGTACCAATTTAAAAATTCACCTATTAAAAAATCTTCTCTTAACGATAGGGCCTCATTTTTTAAAGTGCAATATCCCGTAACTATTACATTTATGACATGTAACATAACGATTTTTTTGTTTTTGGCACAGTAAGTGTTGATGTACAGGGTGTTCTTATACTTTCCGTATTTTAGGGGCGCTGAACTATGGGATTTTATGCGCGATTGTAACTTCACTATTACTGGATCAGTTGGACAATACAAATTACAAAGACGTTTCCATAAATACAAAGCTGAAGCTCAAACTAAATGTCATACGACATTTTGGTAGTGAGGATTTATGATTTTATACCTCAAGATGGATCTGATGGTAGCTAGAGAAATAAGTGTATGATTCGATATTGATTGCATTATGCTTTGACAGATATAATTAGATTTAAGTTACCTGCAATCCGACAATCAGAAGCTGTGAGTGACGGGTTGCCAACCTTACACTTAAATCTAGTTGGATTTGTCGAAATTTCCATTTCGTTACGACATATATTTCTTGCTTTAGCAGAAAAGTCACTTAAATTATTTTCATACAAGTTTGTTTTCCTACAATAGTTTCAGAAATCCTCCGCAAGGTCGCTGTAGCAAATACTAGTTTCGCTTTATCAGTCAGAAAGTCAAGCATTAAAGTCAATTTTATATTAGAAAAGATCTATGGAAAATGATTCATGTGGAAATACTGATGTATTAAGAGGTGACACTAGTACAGTTTGTCAGTTCCAGCTTATGCATTGTAGTCTAATCATATTAGACGAAAATACCCCTGGTTTGCGAAATAATTGTCAAGTCTGGTTTTATTGACGCAAGTTGTTCAAGGGGGTATTCAAAACATTGACTCATAAAACGGGTACAGCAATTTTTGTGGTCTCATTCTGTAGGTCTCATAAATACCTGAAAATATTATTTGAAGAGTTTTCTCGTTCCTGTCAACACTTTCTCATTCGTTGTTGTCGAAAAAAAAAGTTTTTCTACAAAAATTGGTGTACCCATTTTAAGAGTCCATGTTTTAAATACCCGCTTGAACATCAATAAAACCAGACTTAACAATTATTTCGGGGAAATTTGCTAATATGATTAGACTATTGAACGCACAGACGAAAGGGTGAGAACGTGGATACCGAAAGAATCGGTTACTTATAACCGACTGGTTTTGCCAAACTGTCCTTGTCATCAATTTAGACTTACATCTTGCCATGCTCCAGAAGTAGAATCAACAAATATAGACAGAAATAGAAAAGTTGTAATACCGCATATAAAATACCTAGCTTTTCGCCACTCCTTATGCCATTACGTTTTTACCTTTTGTGTTCTACCTTCCAGGTATTAATTCAGCCTGTGGATTTCCTAGTAACATTCCGTTTCCGAGTACTTTTATGTTAAGCACAACTTTCGTACGAAATCTGATACGTAGATCTGGCGTTTGTAAGTGGTGGCTTACATTAATGACCATGTGACTGACTTCAGTGTACATGAGATATAAAGCCATAGGACCAGCCGTATAATACATGTTAATTCACAGAGATCTTTACAAAACGCCCCACTCATCAGAATATATAGTGCTTTTCAGAAAGGTCTTGAATAAGGGCCGTATCGTTAGTCGTTTCCACAATAAATTGTGGGATCCCTTTATGGCATCCTTGATTTCCATAGTTTTCTACTGTTCCGTGTCAGCGCCCGATTTTGAGGTTATATCACAAATATCTGTTTGCATCAAATTGTTCATGATTTTGATCCGTATCATCTGTTTCGTCAGCCTGAAAGTTCCTACGATTCAAAAAAAAAAACATAACTTCACTATAGAAGAGCGCTGACGCTGACACGGAACAGCAAAGATGTAGAAATACCTCAGCCTTTCTAAAGGAGAGAAAAGATTATAAAAATCAAGGAAGCCATAAAGGTGTCCTACAATATTGTAGGAAGCACTGACGATACGGCCCTAAGTCAAGCGAAGAGAACTGAAATTCTGGATGACATTGACGCATAAGTACTGTATTTTAAAATAACAGTTTAACATTCCAAGATGGCGGCTTGGGGCCAAAATGGGGGCGGGGGTGATGCCTTATTTTGAAGCTGCTTATTTATAACCCTAAAATATAAAATCAATGTCTTTCAAAAGCAAAGTTGAATCGCTTAAAATTCAAGAACTAATCAACAAAATGTTATAGTAAGTTATATGAATCTGAATGTGCAAAAAATATAAGACATCATTAAAAAAAATTACGGATTCAAACATTTTTTTAATGAAATATTCAGTATTTTATTACACATTCGGATAGACCCTTCCAAGAAAAGGAGATTGATATTGATTGATAATTGGTTGTTGAGTAATAAGCGATGTAGAATTACGCTCAACCTCGCCAGCCTACCAGATCGCCATTTTAAAACACAGTGAGTTTATATGCTAGGCTTATGAAGTACTTAAGGACCTTCAAAATGAGGTACCACATGACCCCTCATTTCATTTAAAAAATATTCCAAAATAGAGCCCAGATGTCAACTTGTAAGTTTTAAAGTGCTACTTTCACGCTAAAACATAGTATTCATGCATCTATTTCATTACCTCGAATTTCACCTTTCTAAATCGACCGGTTCAAAAGGGAAGTATTTGAGAAGCACTGTATGTGGTTTGTTCGCACAGTAGTCGGTAACATATCGTAGCGTTATATGTACTAGTTACAGGTTATTGTACGAACTAACCCAACAGTTACTCGGAACTCATGCAATCACTGAAAGTGACTGCGTTTATACGTACAAACATTGTAATATAAATCGAAACTGCGCGACACTGTTGATCTGCTGTTTCAGTTTTCCATCTCCGTACACCTCAGAATTTTTTATGCCTTCATTTATTTTAAAAATTTTACCTAAAGGATTTTGAGGTGTAAGTGTAAACGTAGTCATTTTTGCGATTGTTCAGTTCTGATAAATACGAGTATCAGCTATATTTTTTTGGTACTAACAAACAGAATGTTCAAGATGCTAAAGAAATTGTTGGCTACCTGTGGCTTTCTAACTCATACGGTTTTTCAGTTATTTTGCAAAAACGTTGTAGTAAAATCAATTGATCGTTCCCCCATTTGTTGTAGGTGCTTGTTAATTGAAATTTCATATATGTTTATTTTTATAGTCGTTACTTTTCTCCCTTACTATACACATCTGCTATGCTTTATTATAAGCTATGAATGTATAAAAATATGTACTACATACTATTAAAAAGAAATAAGTAGAACATTTTAGGAAATTTTTAATTTATTGTTTATTTTAATCGACAAAAATACAATTTTTGTCCTTATTGTATAATTGTATAAGTATTATGAAATAAATAAAATCAGTAACATTTGTTTCTTTTATACCATAAAAAATCATCTAGTTCTACTTGATAAGATATTCCATGTTTCAGTATTCGATCTAGATTACCTCAATCGAAATTATACAGGGTGTACATGCCAGAGTGACACGGGAGGTAGATTCGCTGTAGATCACCCAGACAAAATCAACATGACCTTGGTAAAAGTGTTCTTGTTTTAGAGATATTGCCACTTTTAAGCTTTTTCAAAAAATCCCTACTTTTTGCTCTTTTTTCTTATAGCTTTTGTTTTTTCCTGGGCTATCATTGCTAGTTGGTTGAGACAACTGAGTATTCATTCCATTGGAAACTATCACGGTATACTAATAAAATATTCCATTTTATTTCAGTGTGAAAACCTGTACTAAAGATTGCCGAATTACTGTAAAAAAAAATGTACCAGACTGAATCGGCAAATTAATGATCTTAAAAAATTAAATTTATATAGTTTCTACCCATTCTTTTGGAAGATGTGCCTTTTGAGACAAGAAAAAGCATGTGGTTACAGAATGATGGGTGCCCTGCATACTATGCTAGTGCAGTAAAGCGATATCTTGACGAAACATTCCCTAGTAGATGGATTGGCCGGCTAGGATCAATTTTGTGCCCCCACGCTTCCCAGACCTGAACCTTCTGGATTTTTGACTGGGGATGTTTAAAAGATAAGCTTCTATGGAAAACCAGTTCGATCAGCCGATGAACTGCGTCATCGATCACGTCAAGCGGCACGCAAAATATCCGATTCAAGTTTGAGACATTTAAAAGGTCAATTTTCAAGAAGATGCAGGTTGTGTATAAGAGTCGGTGGTAGACATTTTGAAAATCTGTTGTGAAAATAATATTAATCATTTATTTCAGGCAATATTTACATTACAAGATGTTAATTTAATTTTCATATAGTTAATTTACGATGTTAATAATGACTTCTAATTCTTTATTTGATTTGAATGTTGTAAAAAACAATGTGAATGAAATAGTACAACTTGATGTTCTATTCATTATTTTGATGACTACATACAACAATGAATAAAAAAGGATAATGGATAGCTGTTTTTTTCATTCGCTAAAATAAAAAGCTATTACAGCAACTGCAAAGTTGAAATTTGGACACAAAAGACAGCTGCACTTACTATTTTTTATTTGTAGTATTTCCCAAGTATTACTCAAATGACATAAGTTGGAATTATTCAGTTTTTAGTAAAGAGAACCTACAAATGTTATACTACTTGCGAAAGAGGATTAAATAGCTGGTTTTTAAGATCATTTGCTGATTCAGTCTGGTAAATTTTTTTCACAGTAATTAGTCAAACTTTAGTAAAGGTTTTCGTATTGAAACCAACTGTAATACGTAAGATTTTTTCAGTACACCGTGCTAGTTTTCAATGGAATGAATACTCGGTTGTCTCAACCAACTATTAAGTGTAGCCTTGAAAAAAATCATAGAAGTTCTTTATAGCCATAACAGGCAAAAAGGAGCAAAAACTAGGGATTTAAAAAAACTTAAAGTGGCAATATCTCGAAAACTAGAAAACTTTTACTAAGATCATGTTGATTTTATCTGATTGATCTGAGCCAATCTACCTCCCGTGTCACTCTGGCGTGTTATTTTTGGGCCACCCTGTATATTTGATACTAACATTATTCAACACTCAATTTGAAAGTAAGGAAAAGTGAAATAATATCTGCGAGACATGTATACATACTTATGTACATAATAATATATTGCTCAATTTCTGGGGAACAATGATACAGTATTTATTCTGAAGTTTAAACTTCACTTTAGAACTTTGACGCTTGCTTTTGTAAATAGATAAATGATTAAAAAATAAAATAAAATTGAAAAAAGTGATTGCATAAAGGTGTCAATAGATTGATTGTATTCCTTTCCCAAGGAAAGCTTTAAATGTTTAGAACTAAGAGACCACCCTGATACGACTGTAATATATGAATATCACGTCTTACCTCACAGAATAGGGGCGCCAAAATCTGCCAAAAAGATGGCAACTTTCCTAGTGAAAGAAGCAATTGTTCACTTGAACCAATCGCTAATTTTCGAGATCACGCTAACTTTCCAAAACAAATATATCCTAAAATCATTTATTGACAATATATTCAACATAAAAAAATACGTAACAAGATGATCAGATAACACCAACACAAGAAAGTAGACGGAACAACCGATACGAGTGAGCTCCATTGATAAAAAAAAAAACGTTCACCTTATGCGATTATATGTTCTCGTCGTACAATGGAGTTGCATCCCCTAATGACATAGAATGAGGGGATGTATTCGTTCTAGGCGTGGATCTAGCTGACCTGGGACTCTTGCCCATACTCTTCATTCTTCTGTCTATGTCGCTCATTTGGTCGTACCTGGGCGTCCTCTGACCCACCGAGCGAGGAGTATTGCGCCCTTCGCTTCGAGGAGTACCTGAGAACAAATGTTGAACTAAGCGATTGCTCATTCTTATCGAAAGCAACTGGCAAGCGTAACCCAACGGCAGCTCAACTCATCACATGTATTCAAATACAAGTACATCTCACTTTCATTGAAAACATTCACTTTTCTCACCATTCTCACTCTCGCTGTACATATTGTAGTTTATAAACGTTTTCGAGGTAGCTGTCCTCGTTCTCTCAAGTCCCACGGAATTAAATGAAGTGATTTTTTTATAAAAATTAACTATGACAAAGTTGTCGATGTAAGGATTCTCCCCAAGCTGAGTCAATATGTATTACATGAGAAATTACTAGGATAGTTCAAATCTACGTTGAATTTCAATTCAGCTTAGCTAAAAGCACTCTATACATATGCACTAGGGATTTCAAATTCGGAAACGATAAGCAATGCAATATAAAATAGTTTATGGAGCCAAAGTTGCGCATTTAGGTAACTATAAAATACAGAATATTTCTAGAGGGACAGAAAATACGAATTAACCCTGAACCGTTTTCATTTTCTCCTGGCTTAATTTGAGCGGGGATTTCAATATAAATTTGATTAACAGTGGGACTTTTACAAGCCTTGTACAAGTATCAAGTGTTAGTTCGTTAGTATGCATATGTGGGACACATCTTGAAACTTAATTTTGGTTCGTGTGATAATGCATAATTAATTACCTGCTGCCATTTTGAACCTAATATGGCGTATGCTACATAATGGAGAATTATCATTTCCATAGTATATGATATGGGTATCAAATGAAAGAAATTGATGAGAGAAACAGAATAAGCAAAATGACGTTATTCTAAATCCAATATGACGGAGGCCGTTTGTCGATTTATAATTTCCATAGTCACCACTATATTATGGGCATCAGATGAAAGGGCTTGAGAGAAACATAATAAGCAATGTCGCCATTTCAAATGAAATATGTCGGACGCCCGCAAGATGACGTTTATAATTTCTAGTTACCCCTATGTTACGGTTATCGACTGAAAGGGATTGATGAGAGAGATACAGTAAGCAACGTGTCATCATTCTTGATGCACTATGGCGGCCGCCGCAAAATATCGATTTATAATTTCCATAGTCACCCCCATAGTATGGATACCAAATTAAAGGGATTGATGAAAGAAACAAAATAAGCAAAGTACCGTCACTCTAATCCAATATAGCGGACGTTTAATATGACGATTATCAATGCAATATTATTATTTTGACATGGAGATGATGAAGCCAGGAAGTGCCCATGAGAACCCATCGAAAAGAGCCTCGATTCCTATTCACAAGTACTCTAGTCTACGGTCTGATGATGTTAGTCAACTATTGTGTAAAAAATACTCATCTATAATAACTATATCAAATTTAAAATTTTCAACAATAGATCGCTAAAATGTAGATTCAATCAATTTGACAAGAATACTTAATAGATATAAGTACGTCTTCCGCATTTACAAAAATTTGTGATATTTTTTATGTTTGAATTTGCATACATATGAATAATTATTTTTAATTACGTCAATAAAAAAGTCACAAAGACGTTTTCTGAGTTATTCTCGTTTTTTTCATTTATATTAACCGTTTCAATTTTGCATTATGATATCGAATGTCTGAGAAGACTCACTTTTTTATGTATAAATTCGCTATTTCTCACTACTTTTTTTGGAAATCTCACTTTTCTCACTTAAATTCATGCTTTGGGCCGCTAGCAACCCTGGATAATGCGACCAGAGTTGACGGTTGCTGGCAAATGGTTTGCAGTTGTCCGCCAGTTGAGGAAATATGTCATCTGTAGATGTCACCATGACACGTCAGCTAACATTTCAGCCGCATCAAAAAATTATTGGATAAAATAAATAAGTATCCAATTTGTATTCTTTGAAGTGTTTCAGTTAGAGCAGTGGTGTTTAAAACCTTCAAAGGGGTCAATTCTCCAGTGCAGAATAATAGAATGATCCCATATTCTGGCAGCTTTTGACGTTTATCAAACATCGCTTCTCAAGAATTTTGAGACTGCATTTTTGGTAAAATAATGTTCCAAAGTTTTTCATGTCATTAAACATTTCTACATACCATGACATGGTTTAATATAAAACCAAACGGCTAAAAAAGCAATAATGTTCCATTACCGGCAGTGGGTAGGGGTATCTTGAAAAGAGACATTATGTCGGTTTTGTGGCATTTTGTAGCTTTTTCTATAAGATGACAACTTAGCTGTTGATGTGTACTCGTTCTGTAGCTGTACGTGTTGCCTAAACGTCATGATGCTTCAGCTACCAATGTCTGGCTCTGATGTGACTTAACATTTGCTTCAGAGATGGCATTATTTGAGGTCCAAGCTGTAAGTCGTATACTATAGCTGGAAGGAAACAGCAGTGCATAGGAGCTTAGTGAGTATGTGTCTGCTACTAATCTGTGTTGATGATAATTCCATTGGTTCCTTGTCCAAATACACTTACATACTTGAGATGTATGGTAAAGCTAAAAATCAGTTGCGTATTCGCTTTTTTTTCAGCCTGGAAATTACATATGAAAATTCGATGGGTTTCAAAAAAGAGAGTGAAAAGAAAGGAAAATCCCTGGTTGGTGAAGTGTATTAAAACGAAGAGGTGAGAAGACAGTTTTATAGGCGTTTTACGTAATAACCCTGCAGATCTTAACTCATTGAATAAAGGACAAGATAATTTTAAATTTTGTTTGCTAAACGGGTTTCATATCCGTCATATCTAAACCAATGCATTTAAATAATTTTCATCCAGCTGGGGTGTCATGTAGGTAGTAACTGTCCTGCTGAAATAACGCTTGTTCTAGTCCATAAATTGTCAAAATGAAGGAATATTGAAATGTGATGTAATCGAATAAAAATGTCATTTTCAAAGCCAACCATGTAATCATTAGGTTTTGTTGAAATAATTAAGATTAGGCAATGCTACATTGTATATTTTTCGAATCAGAATTAAAAACCGTATTCGCGAGTGAAAAATCCATTAGGTGCCCATGAGAAAAAATAAAGAACCCGAGGCGAAACGTCATATTGAAATTCCAATTATGCCACCTTATGAAGGAGAAAAACTAGCAATGTTAATGAGCAATTTATTTTGAAATCCCACCTCAAATAAGTACAGGAAAAATAAAAACGATCTTCGGAAAATTCGCTTTTCTTCATCTATTTCCGGAAATACTCTGAAACCTTTTCAGATTTCCCAATGGTGAGAGCCGAATTTGAAACACTCAATATATCCACGAGCTCACAATAAAATCGCCAATTGCTTCAATGGTAATGCAACGGAAATCGAAAACGGGTTGAAGTCCGGTTGCCGGCGTGGTAATTTTGCTAATGTCTTTTGAACAAACGAAAAAAAAAATCGTACTGACCTGCTTTGGATCTCGCTGCCCAAGCTTCGGCGGCTTTCTGCCAATCCATGGATTCAGTAGAAGAACCGTATCTGTTATCTGGATACGCCCCCCTTCCACCGTATCCTCTAGGCGATTCTGTCGGATATCTCGAATCTGATGGGTACCTAGCATCAGACTGTTGAAACCTAGATTCTGTTTGCTGGTACCGTGCCTCAGCTTGTTGGTACCTCGAGTCGGGCTGTTGGTATCTGCTATCCGGGAACCTAAAACATAAATCAGTCATATGGTAACTGCGGCTTCCGCATGGTGTCATTGTTTGAAGTTAGGAAAGTTTTGCATTTCCAACGTACGATTCTATTTTGAAGCTCTATTAAATCGTGTAATCTCTAGTGTAGGATTCTAAAAACTAATTTGTCAGCGATTAATTCAGATTCTATAATTAGCTTATGATTTCGTAAAGTTCTAAATTATTGATCTCGCCGTACTATTTGCGGAAGTTGGCCGCAAACAGCTGTGCGGGAAATAAGACGTCAGAAAAAATAGGCACTTAGTCAAAGTTCTGGGAGAAAAATCCATGGAAACAGGTTTGCAAATTTTAACAATTGACAATCTAAATAACTTAGTTCGATAAAACCAAAGGATGTTTTCCAACCATGTCTATATTGTGTACCATTTATTATATTTATATAAATAATTTTAAATGAATATTATTTGAGTCAGGAAAAGGTGAAATGTCAACAACTGCCTTCCGGTTCGGCAATGGCTAGACGACGAGTTTCCAGATAAATGGATAGGGCAAAGAGACAATATAGAATGGCCTGCTAGATCTCCTGATCTGATGCCACTAGACTTTTTTCTATGGGGCCATTTGAAACCTTTTGTGTTTAATCCCCAACGTCAAAGTTTTGATGATCTTCATTAACGCATCATCGAAAGCTGCGATGATATCCCAGAACATGTCTTTGAAAATGTCAGTCAGGAATTTGAACAACGCCTATATCATTGTTCGACCAATAACGGGCAACATTTAAACTGTAAACCTTATGGCAATAGATTACACTGGACAACAAATTTTAGTTTTTTAATTGTATCTTGTGGGAAAAGTGCACTTCTTTGTTAATTTTGGGGCGCTGAATCAAAAAATGACAATGAAATAAAAAAATTAGTTGCGGTTTAGAAAAAAAAACTTTTTATTTTTAAGGATATATTAAAAAAAGTAACAAGATTCATATACTTATAAGAATCACTATATGCGCTATCTTTTTGCTGTTCTTTTATGGATCGTTTCTGGAGCATCTCTACCAAGAGTCCAACAGTAGTCTGCAAGCATGGAAGGATTCCATTTTCCCTGGTACCTTTTTTCCATTGTTGAAATATCCTGATGAAAACGTTCGCCGTGCTCATCACTTACGGCTCCGCAATTGTCAGGAAAAAAGTCCAGGTGTGAGTGTAGGAAATCTTAAGAGACATATTACAGCTCATCTTTTGATACGATGACAGCATATTTTTGACAATGGTTTTATAGTTGTCAGCTTTTCTATTTCCCAAGAAATTAGTGACCACCAGACGGAAATCATTCCAAGCAGTTTTTTCAATACTTGTTAAAGTGTTTTCAAACTGTGTATCTTTCAAAATACTTCGAATCTGTGGCCCAACAAAAATACTTTCTTTAACCTTTGTCTCACTTAGTCTTGGAAATTTCTGACGCAGGTATTGAAAAGCTGACCCATCTCTATCTAATGCCTTGACAAAGTTTCTCATTAGGCCCAACTTGATATGCAGTGGTGGTAATAAATTTTTTTTCGAATCTACTAATGGCATATGCTGTACATTTTTTTGACCTGGCTCTAGGAATTGACGAACAGGCCAGTTTTGTCTGGTGTAATGAAGTGCCTTTGCCCGACTGTCCCATCCACACAAAAAACAGCAAAACTTTGTGTAGCCTAGCTGCAGCCCAAGTAAAAGTGCAACAACTTTCAAATCGCCACAAATATGCCATTGGTGCTCATCGTATTTTATGCATGTCAATAGGTACTTCATATTGTCATATGATTCTTTCATGTGAACTGCATACCCTACAGGAAGAGATGGTAAAATATTTCCAATATGCAATAACACTGCCTTTAAACTCAATGTTGAACTGTCTATAAACAATCTCCATTCTTCTGGGTTATAGTTTATATTTAAAGCCGCCAGTAAGCCGTTAATGTTACTGCAGAGATCCAAGTTATTCTCCATATTGAAAAATGGTTCTAAGTCTTTGTGGCGTTTACGAAAAACACATACCGAAACATCGTCTTCTAACAAGTTCCACTGCTGCAGTCTTGATCCAAGTAACTCTGCCTTACATTTTGGAAGTTCTAAATCTCTTACAAGATCATTTAATTCTGACTGTGTTATTTTGTGCGGTTGGTGGCATGACGTGTTCGGTATAAAATCAGGATCTCTTGACGTTGATGGCATATCTTCTTCCTGACGAATCACTCGATCGCCATGATCTGATTGGTTTTCTGATTCGCAAGTGTAGGATTCTGGGGGTTTTGGAATAGGATTTTCGTCACTGTGAGGCACAGGTCTCATCGCAGATGGTATGTTTGGGTAGTTAGTAACCGATTTTTTTTTCTTGGACATACCCCTGTGGCTTGTCCAACACAAGGTACCATGCAAAAGTAACAATCATTAATATGATTTGTAGGCTCTCTCCAAACCATTGGGACAGCAAAGCGCATAGACCGTTTTTTGCCATTTAACCAGCTCCTCAGACTTGAAGCACATGTATTACAGCAGATGTGGGGTGCCCACTGTTTGTCTTCATCACCTAGTTTACAACCGAAATAAAGCTGATATGCCTTTGTTATTAGTGGAGTAATAGACCGTCTCTGAGACGCAAAAGTCACATCACCACACACATAACAAAACTGATCTGGATTGTTTACACACTTTCGAGACATCTTGCATGAACGCTGTCAGCCAACTGAGGAAAAAATGGCTAATATAAAACAATATAATGTACACGTATGTATAACGTAACACAATCATGCCGATTACATCATCTTTCCTTGCCGAATATAAAAATGTAGCACGTGCATTCTTGTGAATTACAGTATATTAACACTGTCACAGCAGGAACACATATAATTACCGTATCTCTAAAACTTGAACTAATATTCCGGTTTTAGCACATTAAAAATAGTAATATTTTGTTGATTTTATTTAGGATATTTTTTGGCTGTTGATCAGTGTTATTAGTATACAAGGCACATACCTAGCCGCCGCAGGGGGTTCGCCATATCCCCTGACACTCCCGCCGAACGAACTCTGCGACGACGGACTGGGCACCGGACTGGAAGGCAGCGATGGTAGCGGCGTGGGGGCCCCATGCCTGCTGTACTGCCCGGGCGTGCGCTGGCCGGGCGTGACGGCCCCCGGATGCAAAAAGGTTCCACCGTTCGCGGCCACGCCAGGGGTTGCCGCGTGCTGGGAGGGCGTCTGGCCGCCGGTGCTGCTACCGTAGCGTGGTGTCGCTTGGGCGGTGTGCGGCGTCTGGTAGGGCGTCATGTACGGGGTTTGGCCACTCGGAGTGTAGGGCTAAAAAATAAATAGAATTTAGTTCATTTGAGTTATTATTTGAAACGGTTAAATTAGCAAGCTGGAAATGGGGATGATAAGATTAATGCATGTAGATATTTCAACAAATAGATGGCAGTTTACAATTTCAAGATGGCGGCTGGGTGCCATTTTGAAACATTTTTTAAATGGAATGGGGGTCATGTGATACCTCATTTTGAACGTACGTATCGATAATTTATAACCCTACAGTATAAATTTGCCAACTTTCAAAATGACGAACTGGGGGCAGTCAAATTTAAATGTTTTTACGCATATTACTCAACAATGAGCCATACATAAATAAATAGTTTATTGCCCAACAGATAAAAAATTCAATTATAGGACAATATTACTATATAATTTCAGATTGAGTACAAGTAATCACGACGTTACCTGCCTCGACAGGGGTTATAAATTACTCATAAGCAGCTAAAAAATGAGGTATCACATGGCCCTCATTCCATTGAAAAAAAGTTCAAATATGGCGCCCAACCGCCATCTTGAAATTGCCAACTGCCACTTTTACACCAAGTAAAGTATTAATGCATCGATTTCACTGCCACGAATTTCAACTTCCTAACTTAATCCGTCCGCAAAATAAGCCGGGAGGCGGACTTTTTCGAAAAAACACTATGTTAGAACATATATTAGAGAAAAAAACGTTCGAACAAGAAATGCAGACATGTTAACGGTTTGTCAATATCAACCGTCATTTGCACCCTAGACGCGGCGACTCAAGTGTCAGGGAATTGTATATAATAATAATATTTATTACCCTCATTAAACAGTATATACAAAGTTTACAAACAAAAAAAAAGCCTTATGAGAATAAAGGGCTACATCAGCTTGCCCCTTAAAGAAGCAGCTGCTAGAACCAAGAAAAACAAACAAATTTAAACAATTCTATAGTAATAATAAGCTATTAAGACATTGATAATTAATAATGTTTTAATATTAAGAAATATAGCGAAGTATAGTAAGTAGGAAAATGGAAATTTAGAGTGAGAAGAGAAAGCGAGGGGAAAGAGAAGAAAAGAAAAGGGGGTGCAGGAGATATGTTTTCTATGATATCGGAGAAAGTAAATCACTTTTAAGGTTCCTCTTAAATGTAGCTACCGAGAGAGAAAAATCTTTAATTTGGAATTTATTTACCAAAAAGGCAATTTGATATGAGAATGATTTCTTAAATGATTCTTTATTGTGTGATGGTATTGTAATCAAATTCAATCTTCTAATGTTTAGATTATGTACATCAGTCCGGTAGCTAATTTTTAAGTGAAGATAAGGGGGCTTTTTTATTTTATAATCTTGTAAAAAAAGGAACTAGAGTGCAAGGTACGCCTCTGAGCCATATTCAACCATCCCAGTTCAGGTAGTTTGTGGGATACTCTTTGTCTACCTCTTATGCCAAATATCAGTCTCAGACAAGTATTCTGAGCATATTAAACCCGTTTTAGATCCACACTCTCAAGAAATGGGCCATACACCAAATCAGAAAAGTTGATGTCTATGGGGGTAAATTAAGGTAATGTCTATGGGGGTACATTATTTTTAACATTGAATATGCTTTGCTTAGGCACAGAGTAATGTGTTCTCTAAACTTAAGTTTAGAGTCAACCACTAAGCTTAAATCCTTCTCGGAATCCCTAAATGATATTATATTGTCCCCTAGTTTGAGCTTAATATTATTTTCTAATACGTTTCTGTAGGAATCACTACAAAACAATATAGCCGTCGATTTACTAGGGTTTATCTTTAACAAGTGATCTTCAGAGGTTTTGAGAAGGATATTCAAGTCGGTATTCAGTCGGTTTGTTATAAGTTCTGACAGATCAGGTTTAAAAGAGGCATAAATTTGAGTGTGGTCAGCATAAAGATGATATTGACAATAACTTAGCGACCTAATGAAATTAAAAGTATATAGGCTATACAATAGTGGACCCAAAATACTGCCCTGGGGAACCCCTGCTGTAGTTGTAACTGTATCTGATATGTTCCCGTCTAAAGTCACGGGCTGCATCCTTTCAGATAAAAAAGAACTTATTAATGCATAGGCCGGCTGCTCTAATCCAATATATTTCAGAATAGCCACTAGTATCTCATGACTAATCATGTCAAATGCTTTCGTGTAGTTCAATAATACCAAGACAGAAGACTGTCTAGAGGGACGATATTGTTGGCAAAAAGGTAGTTAGCAACTTGTATAGCGATTGCCTTTTCCAAAAGTTTAGAAAGGGTCGGTAAAAGCGAGATTGAACGTAGTTGACCAAATTCTGTCGGATTGTTAACCTTAGCTAATGGAAGAACATTGGCCAGCTTCCAGCTTTTTGGAAAATAAGACCTTTTAATACAACTATTTATAATATGGGTAATATAAGGAGCTATCAAAGGGCAACAGAAGGAAATCAGGGTAATGCTCAGGCAATCAGCGCCAAAAGCATTCGTTTTGATACTGAGGATATCACTTTTTTCATTGTCAAAGCTGGACTTGTTAGAAAGTAGTTTAGTCAGTAGTTTTAAGGTACTTCGATTGAGTAATTAAACATGTCCGCAAAATATCCACATTTTGTAAGCAAAATGCAAATTCTCATCGTTTTCACATTTTTTAAAGAGAAGTTGTAAAAATTGTTTCTAGAAGTTCGAAAATTAAGTTTTGCGCCACAGTTCTTCCACCCTCTGTCTGAATGTTCCTATTTCTGCCATCGAGGTTAGGTTTTATCATATAACCATACAATTTTTCTATTAAATGATTCTTCCAGCGACCCATACAGGAAATTTAAATGAGTTCTATATACGAATTTCAAATCCGTTCAAATACTCAAGCGAAAAAGCAGGGGATAAACTACAATTGCTTAGGTTGATAATATTCACTTCCTGGATGAGTGTCCACATGATTAAAGCTTGTCGAAAAACGTATCCAACATACATGTTCGAAAAAAGCTTTTTGCAAAAGAAAAATATTTTTGGGAATAATTAATTGAATTTACAACATACGTCTAGAAAGAAACACGAACACATTCTATCAGCGGAACAAATATTTATCTTGCTCTAATTCCATTTTAAAATATTTTTCTTATCCTCATACCCTCATCGACCCATGAACCCATGAGGTGTCCTTCAGCCATAAATAAACATATTTCCTGAAAAAAGTTTATACGTATATAATGTCGAAAAATGTATCATTCCCAAAATATGTCTACTATTCCAGATATCTCGAATCAACCATTCTGAGGGAAACCGTTAAAGATATACTTTTTATGATACTCTAGATTGAATCAGCAATACACATATTGTGTCTTGTATATTTTCCTCGTAAGGCACCTTTTGGAAAAAAACAAATTAGTGATTTCAAGCATTACAACGTCAAAAATTAAAACTTACGGTATTCATAAATCCAGCAGCGGCATAAGCACCAGGTGTATGCGCATAGTGTGGCGTCTGGTTCGCCACAGCTGACAAGGTCTGCATCATATGCGACGGCAGATTCTGAGCCACCCTTTGGATTGCCTCTGGATTCATATCTGAAAAGGAATTTATCAAAAATGTAGCATTAATTTATACTGTCGCTGAAAAACTAGAGATATGAAATCGGAGATTGACGAGATCCAATTCTTATAATTTATTGACCTAATGCTTTGTAAATATGTTTCTATACAAAATTCAAATGTCAGCGTTTACAACGGTAGCCAATCTGTTGGAATATAAGACAGCTAACTGACGTGGCGATTTTGGCAACACAAAACCGCCACCACATAATTTAGCTACCACATATTCGAATAGGCTAGTTTGGTAGCAGCTATAAACAACGCAAGATCACTAAAAAGCGATAGTACAGGGTCCGGCAATGAAGTATGGTGTTTTTGCAACGACTATTACATGCAGCACTGTCGAGCCAATGTTTTCACGATGATTGATATCTACTCGTTCCGCGATGCCATTTTTAGTAGCCATGGAGCCGTGGTCTGTGGCACATCGCGTGTTTATTTACAACACTTTTATTGAAACTGGTCGTTCTGTTGTGCTCACACAGCGACGATTTCGAAACCATTTTAACGTTGGTCGGCATGGTCGCGTTCCAAGACGCGATACCATTTTGAAGTGGGTGAATAAATTTGAAACAACCGGATCGTTGAGACCTGGTACTGCAAGGGGAAGAGATCGAACAGTGCGAACTCCGGAAAACATTGAAAGAGTGCAACAAGCGGTGGATACTAGCCCTCACCGTTCAGCGGTACGTCACGCTCGCGCTCTTAGAATGTCAGATCGTTCAGTTCGCAGAATCTTGCATTTGGACCTCCATTACCATCCGTATAAAATTATGGTTGTGCAGAAGCTGCTCCAAAATGACTTTGTGAGACGACACAGGTTCGCAGAAAGGATGCTGGAATTGCTGCACGGCAACATCGTTTTGTTCATGAGTGACGAGGCTCATTTTCATTTATCGGGCATGGTAAACAAACAAAACTTCCGATACTGGGCACACGAAAACCCACGAGAACTGCATGAACAACCTCTGCACTCTGAGAGGGTAACTGTTTGGTGTGCCGTATCTCGAAATTGCATAATTGGCCCGTATTTTTTTCGTGAAAACGGACGAACAGTGTCAGTGAACTCAGATCGTTATTGCGCCATGTTGCGTGATTATTTTCTGCCCGAACTAAGAAGACGACGCATTGACATCAATACAGTTTGGTTCCAACAAGATGGGGCGACTTGCCATACATCAAGAGCTGCAATGGGCTTTTTAAGGGAACATTTTTCTGGGCGCCTTATTTCGTTGCATGGAAATGTGGAATGGCCACCTCGGTCACCAGACCTTTCATGTTGTGACTACTTTTTATGGGGCTATTTAAAATCCAAAGTTTACATAGACAAACCGCAAACTCTTGAGGCTCTTTCGGAACTCATAACGCGCGAAATTGAAAGGATTCCTCGTGCCATGCTAGAAAGGAGTATGGATGATTTTGCAATCCGTCTCCAAGAATGCATCGACAAGAATGGACGCCACCTAACTGATGTAATTTTTCGCACCTGACTATGTTATGTTACTTAAATGGCATCATTCCACTAATGTATTAAAATAATAAATTTTGATGTATGTTTAAAAATGAAAGTTTGTAATTTTTTTCAAAAACACCATACTTCATTGCCGGACCCTGTACTTTCTAAAACAAATTTGACTAAAATTTGGAAGTTGCTATAACAATGGTCTCATCCATCACAACATGGCGCTACTGTATCCGATACAGTGTAAACTAGAACAAGTATTCTAGAGTACTGTGTACGGTATTACATTACCAAATGATTTACAAACGCATCCCAGCATAACATAACGACAAAATTAGTGTATCTAATATTTCCATTTTCGTATGAAATGAACTTACTGAACGAGGGAGTTGCACCGCCATATGGCGTCCTTCCACTTGACATTCTTGGCGTTCCTGCTGGCAGAGGATCCCTGAAGTGTTCCTTGAACCATTTAAATAGCGACGCTATCGAGTCGAACACCTGCTGCCTGAATCGGAAACCTTCCGGTGTGACTGTTATGTATTCATGGTGGACCTTATCCCTTGGAAGGTAGGACAGCATGAACTTCCCAGGAATGTTCTAAAATAAAAAATGCAATTATAGTATCATGTTTTACTGGGCATCATGAAGAGCCATTTCACTAAGGAGCACAGGTCAGAATTAAGAGAAAAAATATCGTAATAGATTGTTCATACGAATGTCGTCTAAAACGTTTCCTTCAATGCCAATGAATCCCTTATTTGAGAAAACATTTCTTATGTTACTGACAAAATTCAGCCGCAATTATACCAAAGGTAATTCTCAAAAATGGTCATTAGTAGAAATAGCTGTAGAAGACATCTAGAGAATATTATTTAAAAAACATATTTTTCCTGAAATTGATGTATTTATTTAAAAACCGTATTGAGAAAACCCTTTATTCGTTTAAAAAACATTTTTGATTATCATCTAAGGATTCATGACTCACTGGAAAATAAGAGAGAGCGCATTTGAACATCGCGCGCTGGTGTTTGGTTTGAAGTGGCGTAAATGAGATTTGAATACACTATAGTTATTCATTACCTTGGCAGCGCTAATAACATAATGAATCTTCGATCCATTCTTTTTCCTCTCTTCTTTCAGATATTCATCAGCCTTGTCTCTTGCACCGTTGAATTCTTTGAAATATCTAAACGTCAACAAATCTCGAGCATGAGAAGCCATAGGTGTAACGTGTCGAGCAATAATTTCGTCCAAATCTTCAAATTCTTCGTTTCCAATCCAAAGAGACTTTCCTGGAATGTTTAATGCTCTATAGGGAAATATCTAGGATTCGAGCTTTAAATAAAAAATGCACATCAAGACCAACATATTGGCTCTACAGTGATCTGTACAGTGGTCGAACGTTGTTGATTATGAATTCAAAGTATAGTTAGAAACACCGATATAAACTTTCTTTACCTAATGAAAATGCATTCGCCTTGCCCTCCTCTCTAACATCAATATGCTGATAAATATTATCAGCGACCTTCCACGTAACAGTAAGATGATTTGCTCCTTTGCTGGAAGGCCTGATTATCACTTCGCCTTGGTCCATGTTGACCATACATTTCTCAGCTTCAGCAAAGGAAATGTTGTGGAATGCCGGATGGACTATCACTCGTTTTATGTACGTTTTTTGCTGTTTGTCCTTTTTCTTCTCGGCTTCTATCCGTAGATCTTCCTCTTCGCGTTGTGCATCGTAGTATGGGTCCCTAGGCGGCCTAAATGAAGACAGAGAGATTCAGGAGATATCCAACCGAACGGTACTCATCATGACGAAATTAGATTGATTGAATATTGCGAAGATTCAAAATTCGGGTGAAGGTGAGTATGATAAGGTAATGGAAGTTTTTGCTTATGGGGCCGTTCAAGTGTCACCTAAGTATATTTTTTACAATTATTAACCCCCACCCTACCTTAGTCAGGAAAAGTAAGCAAATCTCTTAACCCACCCCCCCATAAATACTTATGCAAACATTGATACATGTAGTCTTCTATACGTTTGGGTTTCTATATTGACTCACAGGGTTGAAAAAAAACATGTTTAAAAAAAATCCAAAATCATGTTTTTTTTGTTTAAAACTGTTTTTTTTTGTCCAAATCATTTAAATTTAGCTGAAAAAAAAAACATGTTTAAAACAGTAAAAAAAAAATAAAAAACTGTTGCCTATATAATCTAGCAACTTTAGTGAAGTTCCTTGAAAGTGGTATTAGTACCGTTTGCCTTTGGGTAATGGTCGTGGTGTCTTTTGTGTATTAAAGATCGGCAAAAAAAGAAAGGCAATGACAGGAAGGAGAAAGGATCCCGTGTGGAAATATTTTAGGGAGACTGATGCCGAAGCTGGCTCGAAAACAAATAAAGGAGCAAAATGTTTAACCTGCAACATGGATATAGTGCCACTGGTGGAAAAACAGAATATTCGTATATCAGATAGTTCTGATACCGACAATGAGGATGTTTCTACCGAACCTATTTCCTCAAAGTTAAGTAGTTTGGAGAATTGTGAAAAAGGTACATTTTTTTACTTGGAGTTCCGTAAATGGTAGTGAAAACTAAAAATTTATTCTATTTACATTTTCCATGATTTTATATTTTAAAAATATGGATTTAAGGATTTTTTGTTAAATAAGATGGGTTGTATACTTTTATAGAAATTTCTTAAGTAACTTATTCAATGTTATTATACAAGTAAATACATAGTCATATTATATGATTATTCTGCTGCTTGTAGTATACTAGTATTAGAGTTCTATGCAGTTTATCAAGTTCACTGGTTCATGAAGAAACAGATTTTTTTCCACTAGTATTATTTCCCTAGTTTCATGTTTGATTAATTAATAAAAAGTAAGTAAGTAAATTATATTTTTTAGTACCTATGTGTTTTAACCTATGGCCCTTTTAGTTTCGTTTTGCAAAATAAAACCAATTTTAATCATGATTAAAAAAATATTAAAAAACTGATAATTCACAAACGACAAAAAAACAGTGTTTAAAACATGTTTTAAACAGTTCAAAACAATGAAGGTGATTTAAACCAATTTTCACCACACCAGTTTTAAGCACTTTGATTAAAACATAACAACCCTGTGATTCATTAGCAGCACTTACCAAGCCTAGAAATGAGAAATTGGGTTGTGATAGAGGAATTTTCATGCAAATTAATGACATTGCAAATTCAATTATTATAATTTTAATATGTCAAAGACTAACGCGTTCATTTATTTTATTCTTTTAAATTTTTAGTATATAAAGTCAAATCAACAATTCCCAGTTCATGATACATGCATCCACTACTTTAAGTGTTCAATGGCATTGAATGTTTACTACTCAGTGTGTGTTTAATGTGATTTTGGGATAATGATATTGTTCTCTTCGAACCAGTATAGACAAGCAGAGTTGGCGTATGTGTTCAAACCAAAATCGACCAAATTTTGTAGAAGATTACAAAACTGTCAAATGAACATTGCAGACGTAATCACCATCCAGACCCCACATCACATGTCATCAAAAATAAGCATCACAAAGACTCCCCTTTTTAGTGGTTATGTAGTACAATTTATTGCTTAAACTTTTTATATGCTCAAGGCATATTGTGTGTAACACTAAGCTCTACAATAGAACAGGGTGGTATTTTGAATAATTGTTTTGCTTACCTCCATTCATGATTTTTATCCACTAAGTCGCTAGATTTCGATGTACAATCTACAGAAAACTTTTCAACGTCAATTTTCATTATTCTACAGTGTATGAGTTGCCCTACGCCTACCCTTTCTTCAGGGTTGGATACTGGTTTATCACTTATATTCTTTATATAAATATATCCTGAAAAGCAAAACAAATAATCATGAAAAATCTAGAATTAAAAACAAAAGAACTTTTATAGAAGCAAACTATGTTTTCCCGCGGCTTTTTGTTTCTTACCTAATATTCCGTTATCCAGTCTCAACTTGACACCTGTCGCTTGTCCAGGGCAAGCACCAGCATCAAAGTGGTTCCATACGTCTGACAATTCTGGAAAATCGTTTTTCAAACAAAAGGGACATTGCCACAGTCCAGTTTCGTCATTACGAACAGGATTTGCTTGATCTAACTGTTCAGGTTTCGGCCTCCTCCTTGCAATACCTGAAAAGAATGAAGCAATATGAGATCTTACATCTAACACAGAAACAAAGTGAAACCTTCGAAGTTTCAGACCCGGCTGTCCTCGATTTTCTTAACGTGTCAAGCTTCGTAGATCCAGAACTGGTCGTTATGACCGCGCCTTTGTCCTTAGGGTATCGAGATTGATCTGCCTGAGAAGGCTTTTCCCAGTTCTACTAACCTTAGTCAGTTCAAAAATCGGTTAATAAGTTTGTTTAAGCAGTCGAGGTGCCGTGGATTTAGTCTTCTACCTGAGCGGCTGATTCGATATAAAAAAATGATAGCTGATTATTTAGTGAAAGTATCGTACTTTGTACCTATTTCTAACTGACGTCAACGCTTTGGTGTGCGTTGTTTTGCTTAAAGTAATTAGATAAGTTTAGGCATACACAGGGAACGATCCAATCCTGGCTACTAATGATTCAATACTACATTTCCATTTATCTAAGAATTAAATAAATGCTAATCAGTATTTATAGAAAATACTTATGGTAGGTTACTGAATATCGATACTACTGTAAGAATGTAAAGTATCATCTATATCAGGCCTCTCCAACTCAGGTGCCACCAGTGCAGCGCCGAGCACCGCTCGCATCACAGTGCTGCGGGGTGACTCTGTGAATGTGGGGGAGGGATCAGGCAGCGGCATACGCATCGCGAGGAAGGGCTATTGTGCTAACCGTAGCACCCTGCGAATAGAAATGACCTGGGAGCTGGTGGCATTGAGTATACCTTCATCGCGGATGCGACTAAATTTAGTAATAATATGTAGTATTTAAGTAAATGAACAAGAGCTCAGTAAGACGAGGCATCCTACCAGAAGTACCTGTCATACCGACTTAAAGATACAGCGTGACAAGAAAATTTCACCGTCCTCACCGAACCCAATGAAGCCTACAAGGTTTGATGGAAATTTTAGACTCATTTGGAAAAACATGGTATGACAAACTGATTTCCGCCAGAAGTTTCTGTCGTACCGACTGAAAGCTATAGCAGGCAATGCAAATAGATAAAAATAATACATCCTGTTTGTATGCTTCATGCTTGCATTTAATAGCTCATTTGAGTCTGTCATTTTGACATAAGGCTTCTAGATGTTTGAAAGTATAAGTAAAATGAATATGAAACGTCATGACCGTTGATGTACGTATAGGTTATGGTAAAATCCTACCGTCACGTTGTATCTTCAAGTCGATATGACAGGTACTTTCATCGGCATATCAAGCCCTTTTTGTTCATTTACTTAAAAACGACATATTAAGTTTAGTCGAATCCGCGATAAGATTTAATTTCGTTGGCTCCCAGCCCCAACGGAAAATGAGTGGAGTGACATTCGTATTAACATTTGAATTGGTCTGATCGAGTCAACGCGCGGGTGATAAAATAATGTTCATAATTTCGACGTAAACACATTTATTCTTAAGATGATCTTTGACAGCATTTCGATTCAACAAGTTTTCTAATATTTGGTAGAGTGGCTTGAGCAGTGGAAATTCTGAGTATCGCCTCTAAGGACACATCAGACAAAGACCTGCTTTTAGTTTTGTTCAAATTCATTAAAGAAAACATCTCCTCGCAGAAGTACGTTATACCGAACATGGAGCAAGTTTCCAAGGCCAGTGCAAGAATTTTGAGATAATCTTGCTGCATAACACCTTGATAAAACGAAATTAAATTACTATTGTAGTGGTAGTATCTATCCTTAAGGATCCTATCGCATTGAAGCTTAATCAGCTCCATTTGGAACTGCGGCGGTTCTGTTTCGAAAAGCACTGAAGATGGCGTCGTAAAAATCTCATTTGCATAAACATCTCAACGTCGTCAATGATTTCAAAAAAAAATCTTTAGCACTTTTGCGCAGCTTAACCAGCGCGTAACACAATAAAAGGGTATGTCACCGTAAGTTGCTTCCAGGTCTTTTAAAAATACTTCAAACTGCCGTGGTTGAGATCTTGCTTTCTGCAGAAATTGACACATGTCCATAATAGATTTGAAATTACGGAAGGTTATTGCACATAGTTGTTCCTGATGTAATATGCAGTGTACCGATGATATCGAAGGTAGCCCAGCGTCGCCTACTTTTATTTTCATTCGCCCAGTACAACCTGGTGCTTCCGATAATATTGCTGGCCCTCCATCATTAACAACACTACGCAAACTTTTGAGTAGTATACCCGTGTCATTCATTGTGTATTCTACAGCATCAAAAATATCTTCTCCGGCCATTGTATCTTTGAGCGGTATAACGTCTAGTAGTTCGTCGGTGATAGTAAAGACTATTTCGACACCCTAACGAAAACAGCTAATTATGCGACGGCTGTGCGGTCGAGGTGGAGGGGGTTCAGCACCGGAGCGCACCAGCACCAAGTGCTCGAGTTGGAGAGGCCTGATCTATATAAAAAGTAACAAATCGCAAAAAGGCTCAAAATATAGTGAACTTACCAATAACTGTTGATGTGACCAGCTTTCCAATATAAAACGTTTCTGGGGTTTCTTTCGTCAACATATCGAACAATTCTTCTGGGTTAGCAGAGCGATACGGCTGCCTCAGATCCTTGTATCTACAGTTCAATTCTGCTCTAATATCGTATAGAGTGATGCTCTTATTACCGAATCCCTGTCTTTCCAATTCTTCGGCGAAAGCATCGAGATCCAAGTCTTTCAGTCTTTCAGGGGCGTCCAGGATCTCTTCCAGGGCACCAGCTGGATTTGCGCCTTCGTCGTCGTCATATTCTAAAGCGTCGACGGCCATTTTTCTAGCCCATTCGTATGTTTCGGGATGAACTCGCGAACCGTCCAGAATCTCCACGTACGCCTCAGTACTTCAAGATAAAACGGAAAAAATATTTTAGTCATGTTTTTAAGAACACATTTCTTAACAAATAGTGTTTTTTTTTCAAGAGATTTGTAGCAACTGTGTTACAGAAATTCAACAAAAAAAAAACAGGTAAATAGCTTTTGGGTGTATAATTGTGAAGGTACAGATTTTTGTAACGACAAAAGTATGGAAAAATTTCAGTTTTGCCGTATTTAATCGTTCTGCGATACTCTGACATTGCATGCGGTAAATATTTACATCAGGAGAACGGTAAAAGTAAAAGAACTTTCAAAGATTTAAGAGACAAAGTAAATGAATTATTTAGAAGTGGTGTCAGAAATGCTGACATTTCTCATAGATTAAATATGAGCATAGGGACGATTTCGAAAATTATTAGTAAATATTTTGTCCCATGAAGATTCTCAAATGCCAGCCACACATATTTTCAAAAGAATCGTAGAATCTTTCTGTCAGAACAGTGCACAAAATCATATTGCTCGGCTTGAATTTGCTAAAACTGATCAAATTTGGGACAGAACCAGAATAAAGCGATGAAAGCAAATTTAACTTTTCGGTTCTGACGGTACGGCATATGTGAAACGTCCAATACGAAAAAGATTCGACAAAAAGTATCAGTTGCCAACAGTTAAGCACGGTAGAGGCAACATCATGGTTTGGGGCTGTTTTTCTAGTTCTGGAATGGGTCCAAGTGTTAAAACTGCTGGGAAAATGGATCAAATAGTTAACAAAGATATTCTTAGTGAACATATGCTCCTTTTGCTGAAGAAGAAATGCCTTTACGATGGACATTCCAGCATAATAATGACCCCAAGTATACCTCAAAATTCGTAAAGGACTGGTTAAGACTAAAAATGTTAATGTTCTTACATGGCCTTCGCAATCCCCGGACCTAAACCCTATAGAACATATCTGGGAGCATGTTAAAAGACAACTGACAAGAAAAACTGTTAAAAATAGGAGCGATTTATTTCATGAGGCATAATATCCCAACAGACGTCTGTAAAGCATGGGTGTCTTCTATGAGCAGCACATGTCAGGCAGTGTTGAATGCTAAAGGTGCTACCAAATATTATCTAAACAGTATATCTTAAATCTTTTTGTTATTGTATTTAATTTTGCAATAAAAATATTTTTCCATACTTCTCATTTTGGGTCATAATATGAAGGTATTTTAATGCTAGTCTGTAGTACCACAGCAAGACTGTAAGCAAACTATATCAGAAAAAAAATAGTCATAATAAAGAATAAAATTGTAATTACCACAATGAATTCTGTTTGTAAAGTGTATCTAATAAATAAATAATTTATAACAAAATTACATACGTGGTTCTTGAGCAAATACATTGTAGAACTCACACATGGATTGGACATGGACATTATATGGATTGCACATTAGAAAGTTTTCAAGTTCACGGCGGAAAATATTTAATCTGTATGGTTTTGATAGCATCAGAGAAACGCAAGTACCTACATTTTGAGACTATTATAAATTGAGTGCATCGAATCATTTAAATATTTGGGCATATACGTAAAAAAACAACAACAAACTATTATATTACAAAATGAAGCTATGAGAATCATCTTAAATAAAATAAATATACTAGAATAATTTTTGTGCTGAAAGAACTACAACGGTTAAATATTAAAAATTTCATAACATACTTGGTTTTCATTTTCATACTCAAGTTAAAAAATCATCTGCACTTAGAAAATTTTATTTAATTGAACAATGAGTGCCATAGTTATTCTACTACAGGAAGTAGAGTAGAGACTTTAATTTACAAAAATCAGTATTTCAAAAAGGACTATACAAATTTAATAAATTAAGTAATAATATCAAGTTGTGTGCCAGTTGAAAATGTTTAAATTGAAATTGAAAAAATATTTCATAGTAGTGAAATTTTGTATAAAAATATGTAGACTTGAGACATAATATATTATGTGATATACTGTGTAATATTGATATTGTAGCATTAATACCAAATAAATCTACAACAAACAAATTTAGGTATTTGGTATCTAGCTATTTTTTAAAATAAGGGTTTTTAAAATGAACAATGAAAAGATTTAAATAGTGAAAATTGAAATGTCTCCTCAAGGTGGAGTAAAGAATAACATGGGAGCAGCATTGGAATCATTGCATAGAGTGAAGATCGATGATAAAATTGTTAGCTTTTTTTATTCATTTCCCGGAACCTGATTGCCACACATCATATTAGTATAAAATCGACAAAAAGTTGCAAAAGAATCCAGTATGATGCCTTACCTGTCACCTAAGCTATTGGTATCAATCTTAATGAAACCGGAACAGTTAATGAACACTTTAGGCCCCATGTGACACGCAGTAACCAGCTGCGTTCTGTTCTCCAACCTTTGATTAGTCTGCTTGAGCACCCTGAGCAGAGCCTGTCCCTTACGCGGCCCTAAGCCGCAAATAAATTGAACCAGATTACTCTTGTGCGCCTGCTGAACCGCTAAATTAACGTCTACACCCACTTCGTTGGTTCTGTTCACAAATTCTAGGCAGAGGGCTTCTAGGAGCTCTTCTTTGCCTATTTGTTCCTGGAAGAAGCGTTCATTGTTGAGTTACTAGTTAACTAACGAGGAGTATTTTCAATAGTAGTTTTTTTCAAACCTGATGACCTGGAAATCATAGAATCTTTTTGTTTTTATCATTGAGCATGTTCAAAGTCATTGATTTTATATTTTTTAAATCAACAATACTATTTTTCACTGATACTCAGTTTTCTTTACTGTTTCATGTCGATAAAGAAATTTCATAGCTATCGAATAATAAAGACACCATCATATGCAAACATTGATTCAGACACCATAAATGTTGCATATTTAAAGACTATTTGTCCAGAATTGCGTACGAAGTACATAGTTAATCTACTTGCGCGCCTTTTTACAATAAAATAGATTATAAGCAAACATTTAGAATTCTAATCTTCGTACATACAGGGTGTCCTCAAAGTTGGAGCTTTCCTTTAGAGAGTGCTTAGGTGAGACCATAATGAGCAAATAACACATACAGGGTGGCCCAGCGAAAAAGTAGCACCCCCATTTGTGACTCTCCTGGTATATTTTGGGAAAAACGTAACACGTCAATTTATATTTCCAGAGGGACGGCTATAGATGAAATCAAAATTGTCTGAGCATTTTTCCCAAAACGTACCAGGAGAGTCACAAATAGAGGTGCGAGCTTTTAGTTGGGCCACCCTGTATATCATGTACCTTGTACAGCCTTAAGATAACAGAGATATCAAGTTCTCACAAACTGTCAATAAGCCATTACGAGCCCGACTCTCTCCCCATGACTATGTGAGCCAGGATCCAAAACAGGCGCCGCGCGGTGTGTATGTTAACCTATTTTATAAAAAACCGAAATTGGCACATTCTAACAGCAATAACGTAGTAATTGATTTGATGTTCGTTTACCGTGAGCGTCTTCAAGGTCCTAGTGATACTCCGCGAGTGTATTCGAGTATTCAGAACGTCGCCGTCATCCTCGATATTTCCATCAGAGCTGAGTAAGTTTGTTTATATCGTGCAAGAGCCGCCTGGATGGACAAAGTATAAGACCTAGACTGCACCAAATGTTACAAATTTAGGCAGTAAACAAACCAATTTTTGAATTGAACAGCGACAACTTCAAGCAGCAATTCAAAACATGTGCTAGGGCTTGAAATACGGTACCAAATAAATAGCTAGTATACTTCTTCAATTTTGAAACGTAGTTTTTCTGAAAAGCAAAGTCCAAACTTTCAGGACACCCTCTATAGATGTATGCAAATCAGATGCTGACTTCTTACATACAGTAGAGGTACTGAGACAGAATACGAATACTTATATAATATTCTTGATATAATACTAGATCTGTCATTCAAATATTTTATCAACTAAATTGATCCCTTAGCTACATATTTTCTCGCAAATCGATGGTATTAATTTAACTAATAGCAAACAGGAGCTAAGGTCAGTAGATCAGGTAACGTTACTCTAAAAGTACTACCACCAAACTGCTGAAAAATATCCTAAGCAAAAGCGTTTGGTGCTTACTTGTAAAGGATGGAACCTCAAACTAAGTATCTCCTCATCCCCATTACACAACTGCGAGAACTCAATGAGTGGATCCTGCATCCTCCTGGCCAAAGATATCGCCTGTCTCAACAACTCTGGATAATCCCTGAAATCAGCCATGCCTTTGTTGGAGTTCGCGTACACTTTGGCCAACTCGTTGTCTACGATCTCCACGTGGATCTGCGGGAACTGTTCAGACTCCTCTAGGTCTTTGATCACCTGCCTTAGGTCTTCGGCGATCATCAATGCCTCCCTTGATTCGCCGCCGATTGCTATCACGTGAGGTTTTTTGTTGTAGATGAAATTACGGAGAGATGTTAGGTCGGCCTCCTGGAAGAAATTTATTTTATCGTAATGAGAATTTAGTCATCATTCTGCCGTCATTCCTCCGGCATACCGTGAAGGTGTCACAGTTGAAGACACGAGTGGATGTACCCTTTGCAGTAAACTAACCTTCAGAAGTGATTACTTTGTTGCAAAAACAAGATAATAACAAACTAATTAAACCAAATATTTAAAATGTCAATGAAGTTAAGCATGCTAATAATTTTCCAATAAGTGGACCTATGCTACAAATAAAGGCTGAAGAATTTGGGAAATTAATTTGAGATTACTTCAAATGTAGTTCCGGTTGGCTAGATAGGTTTAAGAAAAGACATAACACTGTTTTTGGAAAAATGTGTGGTGAGTCAGCTTCAGTTGACAAGAACGTTACCAATGACTGGAATTCTCAAGTTTGGTCCGCAATATCCAATGATTGTTTAGATGATAACATATTCAATGCAGATGAAACCGGGATATTTTATAGAATGCTACCAGATAAAACTCATAAATTAAAAGGTGAAACTTGCAAAGGAGGAAAACTATCAAAAGAGCGAATAACTGTTATGACTTGTGCTAATGCTTCTGGTACTGAAAAACGAAAACTATTGATAATAGGTAAGGAAATGAATAGAAAATCATGTTCTAATTTTTTTGATATTCAATGGCAGTGCTGCAAAGAATTTATCACCTTTTTTTATTTAAGAATCCCATGTATTTCCAAAATGCTAAAATAATTCCCGTCGATTATGTTGGAAATAATAAAGCTTGGATGACTTCATCAATTTTTGAAGAATATTTAATAAAGTGGGACGCTGAACTTTAAAAGCAAATATGCTAGAATTAAGTCTATTTTAGAAGAGCTACAGTGGATGAATGTAAACAATTCCATATGTCATTTAGTTCTCATTGTCATATTCAAAGTAAAAAATTAATTACCACCAGATATAGAAAACTTCAAAAAATTTAATAGCCATTATCATAACTACGAAACTAGAGGCAGTATAGATTGCCATTTTCAATTGTAATAGTAGCATGACTAGCAAATATGTATTTCAAAAGGCAGTATTTGATTTTTCATAAATTGAATGATATTAAACAGTGTTCGAATTTAAAAATGTTTAAAATGAAATTAAAAAATCACTTTATGAATACTTAAAATGCAAAGTGATATAATTTTAATAGACAAAAATGTAAAATTACAGATAATGGATTAAAAAAATGTGTAAACGAATAATTATACAAAACTGACATTGTAGCATTAATGCTAAACAAATCTTCAACAAACAAAATGAAAGCATATCTGTAGTACAGTCATCAATCAACCTTTGTAACAGCCTATATCACGAACATGGGTGTTTAGTATATTTAAGAGTGAACTTTGCCAAAAACTTGATGACATTTAGAACTTCGCGATCAGCTCAAGAATATTGATATTTGAAGTCCTTATTTCTTCCATACTTACTTTCATCATCTTCTCCTCATATCTAAAGCTGTTCTTCCTTTTCAAGATATGTGGCAACCTCAAGTAATCTGTTATCTCCCCATCTGGTGCTGATATGCAGACAAAGGCAGACACTGAATAGTCTGGTACATAAGCCAGACCCATAACCCTTACGCCTTTGCTGGTGTCCCACTCATCTTCGTCCTCATCTGGGAATGTTTTAGCATATGGGGCAATCTGTAAATATTTATTAAAATACACCACAGTTCCATTATTATGTGATATAAATTATATCCTTTTGTTATTCGGTCACATTCGACACTTGTTAAGCTTTCTCTTGACTGCCTCAGAAGAAAAAATATCATGTAAATATTCTATATGTCGCTCTGATTTTTATATTGGACACATGACCATGCCTTTTTATGTCAAGCTGTCAACGTCAGAGATTAAAGCTTGTTCTTCTGACATATCTGTTCATCGTTGTGATGAAGGAATACATCCCTCAAACAGTGAAAGTGCAGGTTCAACAAATCGTGGGACACTGTTCGTCAGCAGAAGATAAAGGCACACAGAACCTTCTTACAAAAGCCCTGTAGAGAAAAGATAAGTCGAAGTCGAGTAAAGAAACAAATATAACGAAGCGGTCCGCAATGCAAAAGATGCATGATATAAAAGTTAGGCACAGGGTAATGTCGCAGAGTAATGACGGTCGGTCTTTCTGGATGCTGGCCAAGCAAATTGAAAGGAACTTGATACAGAGTGTCAGGATGGAACGACTGTAACTGACTCCAAGGCTAAGAAGTGCTTGCCAAGACGGATGCTCTTGTCGCTCAACATCAACAAAGGTTCTGGTCCGGACTTGATTCCTGTCGTTGTATTGATGAGGTGTACAGCGGAGCTTGCTCCAGCTCTTTCGCGTCTATTTCAGATATCTTGCGAATACCGCACCTTTCCAGAAAACTAGCCTATAGCTCTGCTTGCTATTATAAGTCAGGTAGAGAGGTGCATAAATCGCAGAAGCACAACCTCAATGGTAAGGTCACATTCTACGAACAGGCCATGGAAAAACTTAATGTGACTCTAGAACGTATTGTGTTATTTGGCGCTAAATTTTACGTTTTTTTTATATTCCGACTACCACGAAGGCCTAAGGCCTAAACGCCCAGGGGGTACCGTGGGGCTATAGGGGATACAGGGGAAAGGGGGAACGCCACACGGACTCTGGCGAGGGAACACGTGTGCATGCAACATGCACACATTCTGGCCCTTCCTACGAGATCCGCTGGGTGGTACCTACGCGTTCGACCATCTACAACCTACGGACAATCACAACATCCATAGCCAAGAGGAAAATTTCTATTGGGACGGGATTCGAACCCGCACAGGGCACGGCGACTGATCAAGAGACCGAAGAGTCTACTACTGCGACTACCGCTGCTGCATGTTTGAGTGAGGTTTGCCATTTCTTGTGCATAAAAAATTAAAAACAGATTTTTAAAACAATAATCATTAATATTAAAATATCCTATAAATACACAATATTTTACCTTGATCCAGTTATACAATTTCCTGCAGCAAGCCTTCAAAACAAATTCTTTGGCTTCAGCTAATAACGTCCGTTTCAGTTCAGACTGAAGATCTGGAAAAACGCTCTTTGTTAAAGCTCTTTCTACACATTCCACCCTCAGAGCATTCCAGTCTTGAACGTTTTTACTAAATTCATCCTAAAAACAACATGCAACCATTATTCCAAAATATATATATATAGCAAAAAAATATTGTTTACGAATAACATGATAATATAAGAGAAGATCTTAACCTTTATATATAATTGTTTAACTTCATCAATGTATGAGCCTGACGTACTTCCGTCTATTGATCCACTAATTGTAATGGTCAAAAGGTGTTCCTCTTCTGCCATGCATAGCTTCAAAAACTGATCGCCAGTCAAGTCGCGAACTGGTTTGTCTTTTATGTACTTCATGCTGGAAAATAAACACAGCGATCAACGTCAATTGTTATTAATAATAACAAGGTGTTTCCAAATTGAATATCAATATTTAAGGAGGCGATTTTTATGAAGAAAATTTCACTGAACGTATATTATGGACGTCTTAACTTTTTAGCTGGAGTGGTAAAGTTTCCAAAGATAAATAATTTATTATTAGTCTCTGCAAATGCCACTTTAGATATACTAAATGACATAGAAAATGCAACACCGACTAGGAGTGCTGTAATTTTGAGCATCCTTTTACAAGTTTCAGGTCTACTGATAAATAGAAAGCGATTCAAATTTTAACTCGAAATTTCGCAAAATAGAAATGTCCCTTAAAGTTAATAATGTGTTGAAGCTTCTCTGTTCGCTACACATTCGTTAAGTCGTCGCGGCATTGATTGGATTATGTGATTGATGTCTTCTTGGTATTACAGGCTATCTGAATTTGGTTTCGTAGAGCTGCCAATGTTTGTGGAGTGTGCGGTGAATTTTGCAACCTTTTTCCCCTCATGTTCCATACATGTTCGATGGGGAAAAGTCTGAAGACTAATCGTGACGGCTGCTGTAAGCAATGCCACCCCATACCATAACACCCACAGTTCGATGAATATGCCGTTCCATGGAATATTGGACGTTCCATCTTTCATCGCGTCTCCTTACTCTTGCACGACCATCATGTGTGCCCAAACAGTATCTGGACTTATCGCTAAACACGACTGAGTTCCATTCCATATTCCATTCAAGACTGTCTCTACTCCATACCAATCGTTGGAGACGATGCTGTGGGGTCAGGGATAGTACAACGTGGGGACAGTATGAAAACAGACCAAAAGATCTTATTCGGCGATAAACTGTCCTCACGGAAACAAATGGAATCAACACAGAAAAATCACTGAATATTGAGTAAACTTGTTCATATTGTTCAGATCCTGATATGACAAAAAAACTTTTTTCAAAAAAAGTACGGTTTGGAATGCCTTCAACATTTTATCTGCGCATACTTCAATGACAGGAAATTTGTTCACAAGTTTTTATCAAAATTCAATAACCGATTCTGAGTGTTGCAGTTTATATGCCACTTAATATATTTTGATGACATTTGGCATATATGTAATATGTATCAAGAGACATTTTTTAATGTGTAAGATTTTTTTTATTTCTGAAATCCCAGCTCATTTCTAAGCAAATTTGACCGCTTGATTTTTTCAATCCGATGCACGGTTTTCGCCTAAAAAAATAAAAACAGTTCCTCTGCATGATAATATCGTTAAAATGGCAATATCACCTTGCAGAGAAATAACTTTATTTTTCTAAGTGAAAGCCTTCCGCCGGGCTAAAAAAATTCAAGAGATCAAACCTGTCCATAAATGAATACGTATTTTTTTGTTTATTTTAAGGAAAGTCTGTGGCGTGCACTTTGAGTATTGAAGAGTTTAGCACACTCTATCTCAAAAGTTGAGAGGTTTTCTTGTTGAACTGGACCCATGAATCACCCCTTTAAATATTGACATTCAATTAGGAAACACCCTGTATATGATTCCATTCATTCCATTTTAATGTGGAAACCCAATTTGAATCACCCATTATATTGACCACCCTGTATTAATGGCGCGAAAAGGTATACCGCCAGCTTGGTTTTCCAATACTTACCTATAACAGTTATGTTGTTCATCGATAACCTTTTGACCTTTCTTAGTCGGATATACGCTCATCTTTGCTCTTTCATAGAAAACTTCTCTAACACACTTTCTGACTAAAGGTTCTCTTGCTATTTGGAGGGCTACCATATACTTTGCTGCTTGCAGAACTTCCTCAACAGTTTGGAATTTGCTAAAAATATACAGTTTTTGTTATAGATGAAGATTACTTTTTCCATCAGAATGCTTCTTAGTGTTTGTAAAATTCCAGTTTACTCAATAAAGATCAAATGTTGTCTAAATCAGAAAAGACATTCATGCAGTAACAACGCGTGTTCAAGTAACAAGGTGAAAAGTTCAATATGAAGAATCAGGAGACACTTACGCTGATATGAATTCCTTTGCAATTTCTGTAGGTTCAACAGGTTCCTGATCAACCTCATGTCTTTGGTAGTTGTCGCGCAAGTTCTCGGCAAAATGTTCAGGAGATAAACCAAATTTCTTCGCCAAAGGATCTGTTATAAAAGAACTATAAGAACAAAACAGTTACACAAAAGAGAAAATCAAGTACCTAATCCCGCTTTGGTGCAAAGCGCGTAACTTCCAGATCTGTTGGCGTATTTCAAAGTTTCAGGTTCGGGTTCGTCGTCATCTACTTCCTCTACGTCGTCTGGAATTTCACCACCACCTTCTTCGCTTTCAGCAATTTGCCTCAATCTGCAAACAAAGGAAGTATTTGATTCTCCTTAAAATATATACGTCGTATAGATAATGTTCTATCGATCAACGTCACACCACCCTACGGGTCCTTAATGATGAAGCCACAACATGTTCATGTGACAAATGAATCTTGGTGTTTCGCTTACTTTTGTCACTCTGTTTACTGCATTTCCCTCCATATTGTAGTTGCTCCAAGCAATCACTATAAAAGCCAATTTCGCCCCATTTGTTTTCTATAGGACATTCTGAAAGTTGGAACCTCCTTTTTTTTAAACAAATATGCTGAAATAACACGGCAAATATGCAGTGAAATAATAGCGAAAAAAGTACTTATCAACCCTTTGAAAATTAGTCTATAAATAAATATGAATGTCTGTCCAGTGTGTCAGCATCCCATCTGAACGACAATAAGGAAAGACGAAAAAATTTAGCCACGTGTTAATAGAAACCCGAAGAAGGTTATACATACGGTTTTATACGCGAAAATATACAGGGTGTTCAAAAAATATTGATAGATCAAAATATCTTTACCCATAACTTTGGCCATGATAATGGGTATTTGAGGGTGTCCAGAAAGTAAGGAATGAACAAAATACGTTTTATAAAGAAAAATATGTAATAAAGCTGTAAGGTATAAAAACACTCATCAAATGATGATCTTGATCAATCAAGCTCATTTGAAGGCAAGACAGTTTTCTTAAAGCTAAACCCCTATTTCCGAAACCAGAAATAATAAGAGCAAGAAACTTTATGTTCAAGTATGTCCATGAGTTTGACTATGACCGTCAATGTCATTTAAAGATCAAATGAAGGTTTAATGAGAGACATTTATTTTTAATTCCTAAAATGCAAATTGCGGACGATTTTCAGTACAAGTGTATCCTTAATAATGAACCTGTCCAAGGTCATTTTAAGATCAGATAAATTTTTAAGAAAACATTATGAGGATATTAAAATAAATAATTGTTACATTAAAATGTTGAAAAAATGTTCATTGCCAAACTATTGCACTACTTTGAAAATAGCATTTATTCCTCCAAAATCAATATGCTTCACACTAATGCAAAACGAATTACACTAATTCAACGCAAGGCTACATTTGATAATACAGATTTTTTCAGAACCTAAGATCTGATACATCTTAAACCTTTGGTGTATATGTAAAGAAAAGTACCAGCATTAGAGGAAAAATTATATTTTCCATAATTACCTAGCTTCCCTTCGCTCCTGTTTCTTCCTCTCCTTTTCCTTCACCCGCCAAGCGGCGTGCATGGCAGCCAAATCCTGCGCGTAGTACAAAATGAAATGATTGTGCACGTCGTTCAATTCGTCGGCGGTTTGGACGTTCTTCAAACGTTCGATATCGGTGTCTTTCATCACTCTGACGTTATCCGGAATCGGTGCGTCAGGGTCTTTCATCAGTTGGTCCAATTGGTAGGATCGCATCTTTTCGAAGAGTTGTAACAGGGCTTCCTTGCGCGATTTCAGCTGGCACCACTGTGGAAAATATCAATAATTGTATGATGAGGTTTATACAGTATGATTAAAAAATAATGACCAATTCCTAGATTAGAAACTACGTTAAAAAATAATAGTTACAAATAGTTCTGATAAACCTAGGTTCCAAAATATAAGTTGGAAATGTCTATGCTATTGAGGACTCTGATTGCGGATTAGACATGAATGTTTTTCAAATAATCATAGGATGAGATGATATTAATTACTAACTATATCAAAAAGAATTTTCAATGTTAAATTTCACTCCCCATTTTCTCAAAATGTAGGGCTTTTAAACCAATTTTTATCTCAAACATTTGAATCAATTTTTTCCAAAATTATAACCTCTTAAAAATGTTCTAAAGAAAGACATAAAAAACTTAAGAAAAGCAAAAGACGTTTGAAAAAAGTTAGAGACTCTAAAAATATTTTTTTTTCTCTGTAAATGTCAGAACATATTTCCTTCTGGATTTTATAATTACAGAAATACCTTTTAGAATCAGTACAATGTCAAATATTTTTGTATACTGAAGTAGCAGTAGAGACAGAAGCCTAAATACCAGGGTACCGCGGCTGCTATGAGCAGTTTTAAGAAACTTTTAACCCGATTTTCGAACTCCCTAAAGTTAGTAGAACAGAGAAAAGCCTCCTCAGGTAGATTTTAGGCCTCTTGAATCAGCATCTATTTCTGCTTCTCATTTTGATTGTAACATAAGTACAAATCACAACAATAATAATTTACCTTTGCATCATACTTGTAGACTTTCCAAAGATCATTAATATTCAGTTCTGGCTGCACATACTCCTTCCTGTAAAAAGCTATAAATGGTACTTCCAACTGCTGGTTTCTCATAAAATCTAACGCTTTTCTAATCTTTCCTATAGTCTGAGGACCCTTCTTCTGTTTTTCCCTCATTTCTGGAGACAGATGAGCATCCATATTCGAGACTGTTGGCTTGCAGAAAGCCTAAAATAATTCAATGCATAAACATATTAGGCTGGTAAAATAACGATTAGTCAACATCAACGTAAGAATGTAACAATAAGTAAGAAATAATTAAAATGTATGTTCACTGCTAAGCAACCAGGCAAACATTTTGGAAATGAAGAAAATCTGGAAATACTCTCATCTCAATGACCAAAATGAGCCACATGTAGCAAACGATATCTCAATATCTACAGGATTTTGTTTTTTAATTAAACTCATATTATCAGAGTGTAAAAGTAAAGGAGATACGTTTCATAAATAATATTTTCCAAATGCTTAAAATTTTCAGTAATCTTCTGGCAGAATTGCAGCTCAATAACACCAATAACTTCAGAAATTTTTAGTTCCGGGACATTAATCGTCTGCGGATTGAGGAATAACTGCAAAAAAATGTCAAGCGGGGATAGATATTGCATCTTCTTGCAAGGCGGTGGACATCATCGTGAAGAATCATGCGGTCATCAAGAAAACGTCTCTGTGACAATCCAAAAATTTCCATTCCAAAAATACACGTGGCCCTACTTTATTGGAAGAACATATTGTTAAGATGCAGGTTATCCAAGCGGAAAATTCCATCTTTGTGGTAATGCTCGCCGTAACAATGTATCGCAATTGCCACGAAAAAATGAGACTGAACTTTGGTTGTACGTTTACACAATTCTCATGCGTCCCTCCATAGTAAAAATTCATAATTAAATTCGCTAGTCTATAAAACGCAGATAACCAATAGAAAATGACAGGTCGTTGTAAAGTGGCATTAAATATAAATGGATATTGGCACAGCGGTTATCTACAACTGTTAACATTAAAAAATCGTTACCTGTTTGTAGATCCACTCTGCTTCATCATCCAACTCTGTGGAATCGTCAGGAACTGACGTGATGGGGACATCGCGAAGTTGCATTCTCTCAGGAACATCAGTGTTTCTGATCTCATTGTCGAGATCTGTGAAGAACCCTCGTTTGAGCTCGCTGGGCTCATAGACTTCAAAGATGGACTTCTTTGTGGGCTTCTTTCTTGCAGCTTTCTTGGGACGTCGCCTGAATTCAGATAAAACTTGATTTATTCCCATGTAAACCAGTCAGCTGTCAAACACTGTGCTGTGCCTCCTTGGATGCTACAGTATATTGTTAAATGCTATATATACCATTATGATCTGCGATATGTAAGTGAAACCGAGACAATAAAACCCTGATATCGCAATACATCTCATTTTCTTCTTACCTTTCACCATCTTCCTCTTCCTGATACTCATCCTCTTCCTCCTCCTCATCTTCCTCATAATCGTCCTGCTCGTACTTCGCGAACTCATCGTAATCGAAATCAACACCGAACGTCTCTTGCGCCTCTTGCAGCGCCGCATCGGTGAAGATCGGCCTACGTTTCTTCTTCTTCTCTGCAATCGGTCTGCCATCATTGTCCACGATGAAGTCATCGGCGTCCGAATAGTCGTCCTCTTCTTCTTCTTCACCGAACGCGTCTTGTTCGACCACAGGCCGTTGGCTCCGTTCCGAGCGCCGTTCGTCGTCCTAAAAGTACGTGCAGAGTGAGAAATTTGCGTTTTTATTGTGGTAAAACTAACGCCTCGCGCTTCTAGCATCCGTCTATTATGGTCCGTTATTTTTGTAGCGTAAATTATATGAACAACCGAACAACAAACATGTTCGCGTTGGCCGAGCATGCGTCAACATAGAGGCGAAAGATAGGAGTCTCTACAAAAGTGAATAGAGCTTGATTCTGGTAGCTTCAAATCCATCCGATATGATGAAGTGAAGCAACCGAACTAATAGCTCGTCGAGTATGCGCATTTAGCATTTGTGAAATATCAAAAACTTTGCCAAGTTCTCAGAGATTAAACGAAACGCCTTTAACGTTTGTATAACTTAGGTACGGTTGTATTTATATAGAAGCAGATATTTGAGGTACATTGTAAATGTATGTTTTTATGTCATATACAGTAATGGACAAAAGTATTATAGACAAATTAATATTGTGCTATTTCTTATTTAACTTGTTTTATTAATACACCAACCTGTATACATAATTCGTTATAGCATAATACATAAATAAATTCATTAGACTCTCTTGAATAAAAAAATAAATGATAACAACTGGAAATATGAAGGACAAAAATATATAGACAAAGCAAAACAATTATAGAAAAGAGAAGCAAAGTTCATTGAATTATAGAAAACCAAGCATGTTTGTGTTAATATTTTGTAGCATAACCATTATTATCAATCACCGCCTGGCATCGTCTCGGCATAGATTGTAGAAGTTTCTTGATATAAGATTCATCAATCTGTCTCCACTTTTGCTGTAAAGCAGCAAAAAGTTCATCCTTGTTTGAATAATTTTTATCTCGTATTTGCTATCTAAATATTCCCATAGATTTTCAATGGGGTTTATATCGGGAGACTGTGAAGGCCATTTGAGAACTACTGGTATTTTTTCATCCAGAAAGAATTTCTTTGCGAGATTTGAAGTGTGCTTCGGGTCATTATCTGCTGGGGGGTACTTTGACATCTATTCTATTGAAAAGTCCCTTCCCAAACCCCGAAAAGCACCCCCAAACCATAACAGACCCGCCTCCATGTTTGACAGTGGGCAAAGTGTACTTGGGGTTCAATCTTTGTCCACTGGGACGTCTAGCGTAATGAAGACCATCTGATCCAAACATATTGAACTTGCATTCGTCTCTGAAACATACCCTCTTCCAGTCACAGATGCTCCAATCAAGATGCAACCGTGCAAATTGTAATCGGTCCTTACGGTTTTTCCTCGAGATTAGCGGCTTATTACTCGGGCGACGTGTAAATAACTTCAAATCATTAATCTTCTACTTATAGTTTTCATAGAAACACTGACAATTCCTTTTGTCTCGATTTCGGCTTTTATTTGTCTTGGGGTTTTAAACGGATCTTTGGACGAAATTACATTTGTTAATCTAACTGATCTAGCATTTAGTTTTCTAGGCCGACCACTTCTCTTAGAGGCTTCCACCTTTTTGTTTATATTTGTTCAATATTGCCCAAACTGCTTTACACTTCAGCTTCAAATTTTTGGCAATGTCGACTTCACGTTGATCACCTTTGTATAATGTATAAATTGTATAATGATCTTAGTTTTCACATCGAAAGATATTTCTGGACCACGCGGCATGGTCTTAAAATCACTCAACTTATTCCACAATACTTAATGAACACAAACTAATCCTCTTCTGACACGAAACTGTACTAAACTAATGTTGAAAAGAATTTGTCAATATTTTTGTCCCTCATAAAAAAGTGCTTATATTCAGACTTGTATTGGTTCATTGCAGATAATGTAAAAACAAGGAATTTAGTTTTTCTACTACTAACACATTTGTTTATGGAGCACTGAAGTATGAATTCGTTTTCTAAAGGTATTTAGGTAAATATTCATATTTGTCTATATACTTTTGTCCATTACTGTAAGTGCTAAGATTTAGTTACAAATCTCTTAATACCTGAAGGCATTCGCAGGTACTACCTGACTTTTGTGGAGCCTAGTCTTTGTGCTGCAATCTATTGTTTATTGCTAGCTATGATAAACTCACTGTTACTGAAAAATATGTTGGGTAACATGCAATAACTGGTTTGTAGCATTGATTAATGTAATCTACCGGTAGTTAACCTGATGCTGTATTTCATCGCCAACAAAAGTATCCGAGATGAAATGAGATACCATGTAGCCATCTACGTGAATTGTCACAGCTATATTTCTTATTATAATCACAGTACAGCTCTTATAACAATTACAAAAATATATATTAGGTATAAAGAGAAACATCGTTATGAAAAAAGTGCAATTATTCAGTCCCTGACGTAGTGTTTTTATACTATATGGCTCTATATTAACTAAGTGCTTTCTGACCTCCCATTTAAAAATGTCCTCATGTTAATCAATTTTATTGGCAGTTGAAAAACTTCAGACATGCGAGATCAGTAATTAGTGTAGTACAAATGAAAGAAAAAATTTAGGTAATAAAAGTTGTAGTTGATCAGTAATATGTAAAGTGTAATGGAGAAATATGGAAGATCCACATTCTGTCTCTGACGTATTTAAGAATGGTAAGATATTCTCAAAATGGTTGTGCCAAGTTTTGTAATTGTATGAATCATAAGATGGCCAAGAATACTACCCTGAGTCGGTGAATCCCAGTTTTGTTATCCTGAAGACTTGAAAATATAATTACGCTATAGCCAAAATGAGCAGATTCATAGCATCAGAAAATTTGATCACATTTCGGAAAAATGGATCAATATGAAAAACAGATTCAAAATTTCTGCGATTACCTTATATCATAAAATTATTACGCAAAAGAGACCCACCTAACTGCATGAAAAAATCAAATACAACCAGAAGTTCACAATATTAATATCAGATAGTATGTTTCTATCACTCCTTCTAGTCATAAAACCATTATATATGAAAGGAGCTTCAGCTACCAAATAGCTAACAATATAACAACATGCCACAGGAGTTTGTAGGGCTGAAAGAAGTCCCATTTAAGAAGACAGTTAAATCTTATGATTTTAAAAAGCAGCAAAAATGAATTTTTTTTATTTATATATTCAATTCTTATCCTTTGGTTGATTCAGTGAAATACTCAACTCATACTTTATATTTTTATTTGTAATTTTTTTTTATATGTTTGTATGGTTGAGTTTCCACTCAACCTTGCAGAGCATGCAATGTGAACTCCGCCTTTTGGTTAACCCAATAAGAACAATTATTATTATTATAGGAGCAATTAAGTTGGCTAGAGCACCATCAATGGTACACTATCCTTATGAAAGTAGATTTCCAATTATTGCACAGCCATGGCAACTAAATCATAAATATCTCGGAATTCTTTTAGACTGTCATCTTCATTGGGATGCACATATCCAATAGATGAAAAAGAAACAGATTTCTATTATATGAATTCAGATACTACAGACAAATTTTCAATTAAACATTTTATATCAAACATTAGCTGAAGGCTACATAACCTATGGCCTCTGGGGATCCACGAATAATAACCATCTAAATTCTTTACAACGAATACAAAAACTATTCAATCAAAACTTTTAGACATAATGTTATACTAGAATTCCATAAAAAGAAACATTCGACAATTTATAAAAATTATAAATATGATACTAGAAATAAAAATTATGAATATGATACTAAAAATAAAATGAAACAAATAATTATTGCAACACCAAAAACGAAATAATGTTGAAATCTTTTATATACTTCCAAAATTATATCATAATCAAAATATTTTAGAAAAAACCGAATATCATTATTAAAAATAGATGTATAGGACTGGCTTTTGAACACCGATATATAATTAATGTACATATTACACTTATATAGATTTTTTTTTAGTCCTATCAGTTTATTATAACTGTTATGTTATGTATGTTGTGTTAGCATGATATCCACATACAAGAATATTTTCCTTTAGTGGCATATGCATTTGTTCACAATGTGTAATTAATGGGAATAAATTGTTATTATTATCTCAGAAAATTCTTTGGACACTGAAATACAACACATGGTTTGCTGTCAACAGGTACAATGCCTTAATCAATGGTTATAGTATTTATTTTTTTTAATGTGAATTTCCTCTAGTTAACATGCCATGCTCATTGAATTACCTTTCTTCGATTGTGTTCATCTCTCTCCTTAATGAGACAATGCAAAGAGAATGATGTTAAAATACTGTTACAAAATCTATGTTGAATCATGTAGTTCTAGGATCTGTCTTACATTAAGTTTTGTGATAATGTAATATGCTCCATATATTCACAATGCAGTGTTTTTATTTATACAGTAGCCATGTTTCAACATTTAATTACTCTTTCTATTTTAATTATTTGTATCCATCCATATCTCACACTAAATAAAAGTTATAAAAAAATGGACCATCAAAATAGAAAATAGCTGAAACAAAAATACTTACATCTTCAGAGAAGAGATCCATTGCAATATGATCTCTTTCTTGTTCTGTATCCTGTTCTTCTTCCCCTTCACTTTCTTCATCTTGAATTCGTCGCAGTCTCTTAAATTTCTGGAATTAATAAAAATTAGTGGTATTTCAAAAACAATTTATTATCAAGTCCTTACCCTTCTTTCAACTTTAACACCCAGATTTTCTTCAAGTAAGTCATAATCTTCATCTTCAAGACGATCATCAAGGTCTTCATCATCTGATTTCTTACGTTTCTCCCCTCCTAGATAGATGTTAGGATTATTACAAATATAAAAATATTGCTAATAAATCTAAGACTTCAATTCATAATATATCCAACAACGATAAAAAAGATACTTAGAACCTAATAGTAAGTATGTTGCGGAAGAGTCTTTTCTTTCATGTAGCCATATGTACTGCCTCAACCTTTTCATATGTATAGGTCTCCATTACACAATCAAATGCAATTAATAATTAATTAACATCTTTTTATTTGTAAAATATTACAGGTTGTGAGATTTAGATACTATATCTACTCTACCACCTAACCTCTGCTTAAGAATATAAGATATAAAAAACTAATAACTTGTTGAAAATCATTACAATACAACAACAACAATAATAAAGCATATAGAAAACATAAGGTCAGTTGGCACTTATTCATTACAACATATTTCACTACTAATCAAGCAGAATTTTTCTCTTTTTTCTTGAATTTGGGTAATAATTCAGTTTCTTTTAGATTACTGTCTAAGGAATTATATAATTTGAACACTGTAAATATATGTATTTTCTCAAATGGAGATATGCTGTGATGCAATTGAAAAAGTCTCTTTATATCTAATATTAATGCCATGCATATTCCTCTATGTATGAATTTAGTTACTAAATATGAAGGTGTTTTTGAATAAATATCTCTATGAGTCAGACTTAGGAACACTTTATAAATTTTCATCCAGTTGAGGTCATTAATGGCATTTGATATATGATCACATTAACTGAGATCATTTAAACATCTGCAACATGTATTCATAATACTTTGAATAGGATTTTTTGTTATAATATCTAAATAGTAATAGTAACTACTAAGCAATACGATATTTTTGAAAACAAGAAAGATTCACACAGTTGCTTTCTCACTGATTTATGTAATATATAGCCTTATTTGCAAATAAAACTCTGAGATTTTTTTTATGTGTTCTACAAATTAGTATCATCCATTACAATACCTAGGTTCTTAGAATCCACAGGAACTATTTTATTACCTTTCAAATTTGTGTCAAACAGAGATTATGACTACTACTAAACTTTTCAATTAGAGCAAGATTTTGATTAATGTTATATTAGCTATTTCCAAGTCATTACTCCTAACTGAATAGAAAACCAGAGTATTGTCTGTAAAAAATTGTAAGCTGCATGATTTTATGTCTGTTTCTAAATCTGTGACATATAATGAAAATAATACCAGTTCTAAGACAGATCTCTGTGGAACACCAGAACAATTTTTTTGTGAAGTAGAGTACTGTTGATTTTGTCAAACTTTTTGAAATCTATTTTCAAGGTAGGTTTGAATAAAAGAAAGAGGTTTTTCAGACAATCCATATTAGCGCCATTTACATACAAGAAGTGAATGATTACTTGTGTCAAATGCTTTAGTAAAGTCAAGAGGTATGAGAGCTACTCCTTTTTGGTTGTCAAGTGCCATTGTTATATTGTCTGTTAAATCACAGAATAATGAAGATGTATTATGATCTTGTTGTTTAGATTTTAGATGAAAATGTTTTATTAGAATATAAGTAGGTGCAGAGCTGTTGGTAAACAATGCGTTCCAATACTTTTGAGAAAATAGGCAGTAAACTGATCAGTCTCAGTTGACCATAGTTAGTAGGATCAGAAAACTTAGGTAGCAGAACAACTATAGCATGTTTCCACTGATCTGAGAAATATCTCGTCTATAAACAGCAGTTGATTATATGTGTTAAGTACACATCAATTTCAGATATGTACATAGTGGTATCTGTATCTATGCAAAGTTATTTCATCTGAACAACTAGAATTTGAGTTACTTTTATTAACTCGGTAATATGCAATTTATCAACACACCTCAAATCACTGATCTCAAAAATTGAAATAAATGCCTCATTTATTTTATGAAGATGTGATAGTCACGGAAATTGTAGATTCTTTCTGAGATTGCACTTTGAAAATCTTTAGGGTTTAAAACTTTTTTATATCTTAATTTTGAACAGCTTGTAAATAATCTCTTTTTCCTTTCTGCACAAGTGTTAATGCATGTTTTCTGAAAAATATGTATACTGTTTCCGAAAGGCGGCTGTACAATCACGTTTGAACTTTGAAAAAGCTTCAGCTCTCTGCTTGAATATAAGTTTAATATTATTATCCAACCAAGGAGCTGGAGCTTTGTTTAGATGCACTACCTTTTTAGATCAGTGAACATTAACTAAACACAAAATATTGTCTGTTAAAAAATTAATTTTACCTTCAATATTATCTATAGACATAATATGCCACCAGGGAAAACTCTTGAGATCATGTTCAAATGCCATTTAATTTAAACTATTGAAATCCCTGAATGTCACAATTTGAGTTTACGTTTTTTGACCTATGATATAAAACAAAAAGCATAGCAATGCCTAAACTTGCAACTACTGTATTAAATTAATAAAAATACTACTAGTACAACTACTAATGAAAATATTGGTTGTCTATCACTCAATTCATGTGTGTGCAAGAGCAAAAACATGTGTTGGGAGTTGGCTTGAACAAGATGGAGTTTCCTTTAGAGACAGCTCTCATCCCATTTATTTATTTTATCTAGCATTATGAGGTAACAGACTAAAATGGTGTAAAGCCCTCCAAATAAACTGTTACAAAAAGATTGACTATGAGGATTAAACTTTTTGAAAGTTAGAAAATGCAAACATACCAGAAGCATCAGATTCAGCATCACTTTCTTCATCAATAGGATTGTCATCTATGAGATCTTTGAGCTCTTCTCGTAACCTTTCATCATCATCATCTGAAAACAGGTCATTGTAGTGTGTATTATTGCAATATATTTATGTTACCTTCTTCTTCCTCATCAGAACTATCAGCTACAGCTTTTATCCTTTTGACCTTTTTCCGTTCATGAGGCTCTAACTCTTCCTCCTAGAAATTAATTATAGGTTATGTAAAAAGAGAAAGTTAAACAATTGCAGTAACGAAAAATATTGTTTAGATGAATATTTCGTATAAAGCTATTGTATTTGCATCTACTTTGGATAAATAATGAAAGTTATCACAAGCTCAAAAATGTAAGGATAAGTACCTCACTATTTTCTTCTGCTTCAGACTCAATAAAATCTGCCATGGCTGAATGTAGATTTGTAAAATATGCTAAATGAAGTAAGCTACTCGCGGTTAGTTAGAATCAGTTTATTTCCTCACCAAAGGAGCATTTCTTTTAAACTGTTACAATGGAGGAAAAATTAGAAACGGACAACAGAGATCTTGTCGGGTTCTCGCATAAATGTTGTGGAAAGACTCTCAATGATACGTCAATAGTCAAAACGTCGAAACCACGATAAAACACAAACCAAAGCGCTGTCAAATTGTAAAATTAGCCACTAAAGAGAGCAAGGGGCGTGGTTTTGCGTCCAATGCAGTAAATGCAGAATTTGGAAGCAAATAAACAAGATAGTCAACGGAAATCACAAATTGTATCTTATTCCTGTTTTGTTTGCTCTTACTAATCCAAACTTACTCGGTAGTCTTAGCCTTCATCTCTGATTTTGCCACGCCCCTTTTCCTAGGACTGACGATCCTTCCTATTTAATATGTCACTCGTTGACTTTTCTGTGACATAACCTCAATCCTACGTCTTACATTTTCTCTTTCTCTTTCTTATTTCAACTTGCCGAAAAGACGTGGTTGTGTCTGAAATCCCTACAAAGTTCAAGAAAATGGCCATCATGGATTTCAATTTGAAGACAGAAAAAGGCCTGAAAGACTTCAACAACTTTTTGGAAGACAAAAGCTACGTCTCAGGGTACGTGTACTGTTTTAACGTTTTTATACCTACCTTTCTTTTTTTCTAAACCAACTGGTACTCTTTAAAGTATAATTAATGGGTCATTTTTATCTTCATATCGAGTATCCAGATACGATTTACTGAAATAGATTTTTTTCTTTGTTTCAGATGGACGCCAAGCCAAGCTGATGTGGATGCCCTGAATCAGATCCAAAAAGCACCACCCGCAAACCTTCCACACGCCTTGCGCTGGTACAACCATATCCGTTCATACCCAGCAGATGAACTGAAGAAATTTGGAGCCTCAGGAGCCTGCCCCTTGAAGACAGCCACCACAACCACAGCTCCTGCTAAGGACGATGATGACGATGTCGATCTATTTGCATCTGACGAAGAGGAAGATGCTGAGGCAGCAAAGATCCGCGACGAGCGTCTGAAGGCTTATGCTGAAAAGAAGTCCAAGAAGCCAGAACTCATTGCCAAGTCCAGCATTGTACTGGATGTGAAGCCTTGGGATGATGAGACTGACATGAAAGAGTTAGAGAAGGCAACCAGAACCATTGAAATGGATGGCCTTATCTGGGGAGCATCCAAATTGGTACCTGTGGGATATGGTATTAACAAGCTGCAGATCATGTGTGTCGTTGAGGATGCAAAGGTTTCTGTTGATGAGTTGGTTGAGAAGATACAGGAGTTTGAAGATTTTGTGCAGTCTGTTGATATTGCTGCTTTCAATAAGATTTAAATGATGTGTTGTCTTGTGTTCAATAAAATACAATTTCAGTAAATTACATTATTTGTGTTCAATTCTATAATTTTCTAGATTTGGTGTTCTGTAGAAAACAATTGTGTATTTCACATTTTTATCAAAAATTATCACTACTCTGTGGAGTGTGTTGGAATGAATAAACTATGTAAAACTGGTATGGAAATGATATGCTCATTGTAATTAGATGTCACTGACAAACTTGATTGAGTAACTTGGGAGACCAGTTGAAACTAAATTTGTAACATATTGAGGATTTTATACAGAGGATAGTCCCAGAGATCACCTTGACAGGCAATCTTGGGGATACTATTTAGGTCTTCAGATGTTTCACATCGAGCCTTTGCTAATGCATTAAGTATTGGGAATCTCCAACTAATATTTATATGGTAAAATAAAAAGAATGAATTTTGAGATTAGTGCAAAACAATGTTAACTTGCCTAAAATTAGAAATTTTGATAATCTTGTCTTCCATATAACTTGATATAGCCTATTATTGGAAGCTTCTATAATGTTTAATTATGGTTTGGTACTTCATTTAATGTCAAGTATCATATTGAGAAAAGATGTAATTATTTGATACTCTTTTATTATTGTATTAAAATGTTGAATAAAAAAATGTCCATTGGCAAAGTAATTGTTCCATTACATTGAATATTGCATTTTGTTTTCTGAAACCAATTTCCTTCACACTAACGCAAAATGAGTGACTACACTATTCCCACGCAGACGGAGCCGGCTTAGGCTACTCTTAAATAACTGCTAAGCATTCACTTTAGCAAATATACCAGAGTTAAAAGGAAACCAATTTAAAGAAAATCTTCAGATTTTTATGTAAAATATTTTATTTCTGTATTATAATTAACCTAACCTGTTTGCTTACTTCTACCCCTTATTATTTATCCAAGCTATTTTTTCCTAATATCCTATACAGTCTTAAATTATCACATCCTACAACATTCATTGTATTTTCTATATTAACACTTGGCAAAAAATAATAATTACAATTCTTTTTTAGTTCAACAAAATCTGATAGCAAAGGTTCCTTATCTTTTTGGAGCAAAGGAGGTCTAGATGAAGTCATTGGTTGTGATGGGTACTTCTCTGAAGTTAAAGGAATAAGACCCTTATAAATAGGTTTATCATATGGGAAGTTAACTTGTCTAGAGATCTGAAAATAAAATATCCAAATCAGTTAAAGAAAGTCAGTTAACTTAGCCTGCAAAGCTACCTTTTCATCAACAGCCAATTTCTTTGGATCAACGTCTGAACAGCTTTTTGTTCTTCTGGCATTTACAATATCGTCAATTTTTTTGGATAGCTTCAATGTAGACTGTAGCTCTGGTTTATCAAGTTTTAGTTGAGATTCTGAAGAAGTGGATTTCGCTCTGCCAGATTTAGGGACATCACTTTTTGCTGATAGCTCTTTAGTAGAGCTTTGGCTCTCCTTGATTACTATAGTTTTGCGAGGAGGTAGCTCAGTATTTCTCACGAGCCGTTTTTTGACGGTTTGAGGTGGTTTACTACTCATATCACGGTTGTGAAATTTTATACAATTCTACACAAATGAGTTAAGATGAAATTAAACATGAAATTTTAAAATGCTTTTGAATACAAACAAAAACATAACCTCGACAATAGATGTCATCCGATATCATCAACACAGCCTGCTCATACTTCTTTTGTGGTTATGCAACCAATGATACACCTTTTGTTAAGCTAATTACACACTGCGGGTGTAATTGCACGCGATTCGAGGCTGGCGACATGAATCCACGCGATTTAAAAACAATTCCCTTTACAATAAAGCAGCCGCGCATGCAGAAGCCTAAATGCCAGGACACCGCGGCTGCTATGAGGATCCCAAAGAAACTTTGTTAGTCCGATTTTTGATCTGCCTAAGGTTAGTAGAACTGGGAAAAGCTTTCGTATCGGCTAGTTCTACATGCACAAAGTTCGACAAGGTTAGGATGGGATGCCAAAGTCAGGCGGGTCTGCCTGGCAGGCACATCCCGCGGCGGCATCTATGAGGAGAGCTCTGAGGAGCAAAGCCCGTTGACATAGCGGTAGAAGAGAGCTAGGTCGCTGACGGTCCGTTGTTGCAAAAGGGTCCTGGGAATGTCTGTTATTCAAGTAGGTTATCGAACAAAATCCACAACTCCTCCGTTCTTTCTCAGATTGGAGTGCACCTCGTAATTTGGTAAGCTAAGATGATTAATCGGTGCAGAATCTGAGATTTTTGTCTCCGCCAAGAAAAGAATGGCGGGATGATTAGATTGTTACATTTCTTTCATCAGAGACACTGATAACCGAGTCGTTAGAACTTTTGCACAACACACAAAACGCCGGATCTTTCTGGAAAACATTATTATTGTTTAAAATAATTCGCTACCATATATTACCTATATTAGTTTTCTCCTGGCAATGCTCGGCCGTTGGTAATAGACCAAGTCTCTAAATAACGATGTTGGCTTAGTTTGGCTCATTGTGAAGATGAGCCAAACAGTCTTAGCGAAATGAATACTTAGGGTGAGACTGAACTAGAAAGTTTATTTATTAAAATGTTCCTTTTCATCTCAATTCACAAGAATATCTACTCGTCGATCTCCAGGTCTTTGTAAATAGCGTTAAATTTCAATATTTTCACAAATCTTTTCTGAACCGTAGGTAGGTCAGTCAAATTGCACATGTCAGGACTGCCAGAATTTACGACAGCCCAAAGTCCTCTTTGGGGTCCTGTAAACAGCTCCGATACGTATGGCAGTTTTTCGTATGATTGAGCCAAAACGTTGTGATATTCAGCTTTCATTGGAGACCTGAAATGACATAAAAAGTAAAAGAACCAGTTCTGGTTTTAATTTCGAAGTTTTGTAGTGTCGCATTCACTTGTTGGGCAAAGGTGGGCCAACACAATGCGACATAAAATAATGTTCTTGACTTCATGTTACCTTAAAAGGTAAGAAACGAGTATCTTCTGGACACGTTTAACGCAAAACATGACTGAATTGATGATAAAGAGAACAAGTTCTGTAAAATATTTCTTTTAATTTCGAGGCTTTATCTTACCCTATGATCCAACGAAGTATCACATAGTCACTGACCATATAATAATTGAGCCCAGCTTTGTAATCAGTTTCTATACCAGTTGATGCTCCCAATTTATCACCTACATATGTGACATTCACTTTTTGAATTCCTTTCTGAAACAAAGAATTTCATTGTGGATATGGGCAGGACTTTGAGTCCTGGCTTATATATTAAGCTTCTTGATACAGTTCTTTACCTTTTTATGATCTAACTTCTTTATATCATGGGTATTCAAAAAATACACTTCATTTCCATCTTTACTGGTTATATAAAGCTTTGAATCGGTTTTAGACTTTGCTAAATAATCCACTTTTATTACTTGTACAGGATTAATGGGTTCTATCAGATGTATTTTCCACCACTTTAGAGTGTTGAGTGAGAGCGCGATCATCTCATTTTCTCCTAAAAAGCAACAATATACAGGGTGTTAGGGAAATAATATTCGTAACTTTAAGAGGTGATTCCTTGGATTATTCTAAGCAAACAAGTTCATTATGTCCGAAAATCAACCGTTTCGGAGCAAAAAAAATGCCGAACTTATTTCTTTTTAGTCATGAAATAAATTAATTCTGCACATTAATAATTTAAATTCATATGCCTAATAGCATAAAATGTACCAATATATCTATTTATTAACCGTCTCTAACAAAATATTTTTCTTGCTTATTAAATACAATTTTCCGAAGAAAAACAGACAAACAAAATCCCTCAACAACTGGCAACGTCGTACTCCGCCTGCAGTGCCTGTATCATCGCGTGTTGTGATTACTAATACATTTAACTGTAACTTTATGTGATTTACGGACGTTGGTTTTTTCTTTTTTCGTGCATCGCATCGTTTCAAATAAGTGATAGATAATCGTAGGAATTGTTGGTGTGTATCGCCACGTACCGGTAAGTTCTGTCATATTTTGATTAAATGTACTGTACTGAAAGCCTTATTAAATAAAAAATATTAACTACACAAAATATGCGTAAAAGTATCCAATAAGTCAAGGCATATTTTTAACAAAAATATCATACAAACGTAAACAATTCGATGAATCAGTTGCGGTCGTCGTGCGCTCGTATCGCGGTTGCGTTGCAGCGTTGCCGAACGTTTGAGAAAATCTAATTATTTACGACTCACTTTCCTCGAAAACGATTGATTTTCGGTTATAAGTCATAATGAACTTTTTTGCTTAAAATAATGCAAGGAATCACCTCTTAAAGTTACGAATATTATTTCCCTAACACCCTGTATACTGACACAGAAAAGGACTCCCAGTAATAATAAATTCATTACAACATTTTTTGTATACATGTTTCTTAGGGATAGCTAAGTAAGTGTTCAAAATTTCAGAAATATCCAACCGTTGAAAAAAAACGTAAAATTTACTAATACGAGTAAGCTGGGTCTCCACGATGTATTTGCTACAGGTACCTTATATGTATCCCATCTATGTTTTGGCCTTAAATTGTATTCTTACTGGTTATCGTAGGCCTCAATAAAAACAAAAAACGTGGTAGTTCTTGGACTCTATGGCAGAGTTTCTGAAGCATTCCCAGCAGAAGAATTGTTTTGTACCTGCAGATCCGATGTAAGCTCTTGCGCCATCCTGGTATTCACCAGGATCGACTTTGATTGTGTTTAAATCTCTTCCGGCGATCCCATTAAGTTCAATGTTTTCAGAGAATGAGTTGTAGATCAAAGTGAGGGAGGTCACTTTCGGAAGGCATTTCTTGCTTCCTTTATCCAATATCCACAGCTTCGTCCTCATTTGCTGCTGCATGTCTATAGAAATTACGTCTTGTAAGCTGTTGCAATCGCCCCATTGCTGGTAGCCTAGCAGTTTCTGCCTATAAAATACAATAGTTCCTAATTTATTGGTGCAATTTATTGGGCAAAGTATTTTTTGTATTCTTTCGTTCTTTAATTGTAGAATAAAATCCGCTATCACGTATAACAGAAGCATCTGTTATCGACAAAATATACTCATGTCAAAAAAATACAACAGTCAGTACTCATACTCCCATCTTTGAGCAAAAAATGGTTCTTTTGCAATACCTCTTTGTCATTTTAACCTTCACAATATCCAACATGGACGTACATGGTGTCCCACCACAAATTCATCCCCTTTGACTTTTATGTATGACCATTTAGAAAAAAAAATATATAGAAGCCTACAGGGTCTAATATAAAGTTTTACGTGCAATATCTTTTCTATAATAGAGCAGTAGTCGCCTACCTTTTCAGTGTGTTGAGCTACTTTGATAATTTTGGAACAAACAGTGAGCTACCTAGTCCTAAGCGATGTAAGCCAACTTAAATGAAATTCTACACAGTTGCATGCGACATACATGTGTTTATTTTACTAATACTAATACATACTAATAAACTTAAATAAACTAATAACAACTGTCTTGATTCGGGTTTAAAGGCCGTCGTCGTTTGTCCCTTCTGACATCTGCAAGCTCTTTGAAATCTGTCTCACTGGAAGCTACTTCGTATGGGACGGGGGCTTTTATGAGCAGACAGACGGAGTGGCAATATGGGAAGTCCACTTAGCCCAGTCATAGCCAACCTTTTTATGCAACACTTTGAGAAGAAGGTGGTTGAGACATCCGAGAACAAACCAGCAATTTGGTTCCGGTACGTGGACGACACCTTCGTGATTTGGAAACATGGCACGGACAGGCTAAACGAGTTTCTGCAGCACCTTAACGATCGGCATCCAAACATACAATTTACCATGGAGAGAGAGAGTTACCAACAACTGGCCTTCTTGGACGTACTAGTCAGGAAGTGAGGTAACAAGCTGGCTCACACTGTGTACAGGAAACCAACGCACACAGACAGATACCTGCACGCTTTGTCCAATCATCACCCAAGTCAGAAGTATGGAGCCATCAGAACCCGGACATAACGATCTCGAAGGATTTGCAAACCGGAGAACCTCCAGACAAAACTTGAACACCTGAAAACTGCGTTCTAAGCAAATAGCTACAGCAGGAGGGACATCGAAAGATCAATGGGCTCGAGATCAGCCAGACCATGTGAAACCGAACAGCGTCCCACCACCTCTCAAGCGTATTTTCCAGTTGTGCCAAGAGTCACGAACAGGATTGGCAGAGTCCTGAAGAGACATGACATTAAAACAGTCTTCAAGCCTACGAAGAAGATCCAACAAACCATCAGATCGGCAAAGGACAAGAAGGACAAACTGAGAAGTCAGCGGTGGCTGAACATGCACTATAAGCAATGGGGACCATAGGATACACTTTGGGAGCTGCAGGTTGCTGTCATCAGTCAACCTATCACAATAGACTGGTCAGGGAAGCTATCAGGATTCACAAACATCCAGATAACTTCAACAGGAAGGAAGAGACCTTCAGACTCAACCCAATCTGGCACCCGATTCTCAGAAACGCCCGAGCAGTGCCGATCGACATCCCGAAGTCAAC